ATTTATATATATAAAGTGATTCTGTTGAAATTGTACTCTACTAACTTGTCTACTAACCTGACTTTAATTCTATATAAAATTATATATATATTAAAATTATAATAGTATATTATAATTATAATAGTATATAATTAAACCTATAGGGCCCTATAATTGGGGTATACTTTTCGTACGCCCTAGCCCCATGCCCCATGGGGCAGGAAACTCGACGCCCCACCTATAGGGGCGCCCCAGCCCATCTGGGGCGTGGGTAATGGGACCCCATGCTGCACCCTAGGTTTGATAACCGTCCTCGTGGCTGGGAGTTTGCTAGTTGATCTTGGGAAGTTGGGATGAATTGGGGGTGGATGGGAGTTTTCGAGAGAGAGTGCAAATCACCAAGGGCCAAGTTACTGCGTTGAACAACTTAATAGTCAAGACATTAGGCTTATTTGTTGATACGGATGCAGAGCTGTAGCTTTGGTACTATTATTGTGACAGCTATATTGACCGGTAAGGAACCCGAGTACGGAGCACCCTCAGCACATTTATCCTCAATGTTTGCATAGCACATCTATTAATCTATATCATGCTAGATAACAACCCATACCTTACCTTATGTACGCACTCCTCGGTACGTATATGAGAATGCAGCTCTCAAAACCCCCACGCCTACTACGTAGGCCTCGTCAGAAACCCCCACCAACCCGACCCAGGGGTAGCGCAGGGGCAGCGGTAAGGGCCGTTCCCCTGCGCCCAGACACGCTCGCCTCGAGAACGTGAGCCTTGAGACGACGTTAGTCCCACAACAATAAACCTCTTGACTTCCGATGATCCAATCTAGCTCCCAAACCTCCCAAAGCGCTTCCCTCGTCTGTTGTCGCGAATCGCATCGCCAGTGGCATCCGTGCTGGGTCCGTGTGCCACAGCGATCACGCACCCGCCGTCTCTTGTAGTCTCATCTTCTCCATAGTTCTCACCCGCGCCATCCCCGTCACCACCAGCGTCACCGGCCCTCAATTCCATCTGATTCCTGCCCGATACTCAACACCGCCCCGCGTCAATGTCAGAACAGGGCCCAAACAGGTGAGCTGAGCGGCTCCAGTGAGGCCTTCGCCACTCGGCAAGCGTACCGAGATGGCTTCAGTGCTGCCAAGAACCACCCACGATGACGCTACGAGTCTGCGACACGATGGGGAAACCCGCTTCGGACTAGAATGGACGAACTCCTCCAGAAACACCATATTCTCCGGGTATGATCTACCGCGTAGTAGAATTGGGGACACATACGAAGGGGGACAGGACCGGTGAACCATGCCGAGCGCGTTTGATCCAGGCTTGAACTCGCAAAGCCGTTTCCTGATGATTCGTGTTATAAGATTCAATCGGCACCTTCTCCGTTGCTTTCATTCTTCATACTCGCATCTTCGGTCTTTCTTGCATTCTTTCAGTTCGGTATTCATTCTCTTGGTCTCTAGTTCTGTGAACTTCTGTTTCTATACGTTCTTTATACATACTTGATCCTCTTCACCACCTAGGCCGGTCCTTCCTAGCTTTTCGTCTTATCTTTCGAATTTAAGTCACTCACTCCCCAAATCGACGACATCATGAAGTACGAATCCACCACCCTCATTGTTGCCTTAATAGGCCTCACATCGGCCGCTCCGACACCAGTGTCCAAGAATGTCTTCACCGTTCCCCGGGGTATTCTTCAGGGCCGTGAAGTTCCCCAGGAACAATCGCACGCCCGATTTCTCGCGGGCGTCCGAGTGAGTTTGGCCCTCGACAACCCTGCCGGTATCAAAGATCCTGTCTTCGGTCTTCTGGGAAATGCAGCAGCTGCCGAAGGCGCCGGGACAATCACCAACCTCGACTGCTTGCACCAAGCTACTGCAGACCAAGCCTTCACCAATGCGAAGGCCGCTGCAGATGTCACGGGTATGTCGGATGCGCTCCTGTATGCTGCGTTAGAGAGGAACACTGGCTCTGTCGGCCTCAAGAGCGTGCTCTGCACCGACAAAGCCGTGAACCCCGAAATCGAGTCTATCCAAGCCCATCAAGACCCTGCTTCCGAAGGTGCCGCTGCGACTAACAAGGCCATTGTCCTTAACCTCGCCCAGCAACTCGCATCCGTTGGCGCTGATCCCCAGCTCGCTCTCCTTTCAGGAACCTTCGCCCCAGGCGAGGTGAGTACATTGCTGCGTGTAGATTCCAAGAGGAAATTTGCTGATTTACCTAGATCGGTGACCCTACCGGTGCAGGAAACACCTGCGACGTCGCGGATGATGCCGAGGGCTGCATTTTCACCCAGAATCTTCTCGTCGAGGACGCTACTGCCGCGGAGATTGATGCTGCTGTAGCTGGCAAGGCCCAAGGAGGCGCCGCCAATGCCAATGCCACCGCCGCCGCTGCTTGCCCAGCTGCCGCAAAAGCAACTGCTGCAGCAAAGGCAACTGGCGCGGCAAAGGCTAACGGCGCGGCAAAGGCAAACGGCGCAGCAAAGGCAACTGGCGCAGCAAAGGCAAATGGCGCAGCAAAGGCAACTGGCGCAGCAAAGGCAAACGGCGCAGCAAANGGCGCAGCAAAGGCAACTGGCGCAGCAAAGGCAAATGGCGCAGCAAAGGCAACTGGCGCAGCAAAGGCAAACGGCGCAGCAAAGGCAACTGGCGCTGGACAGGCAACCGCTGCCACAGGAAGTGAGTAAATCATACTTTGGGCGCCCGAGCTATACAGATAAGGCCTGATACTAACTAAATTGCCCAATATAGCCAATATCCAAACCTTCACAGGAACTCTCGGTGGCGCGGCCCCTCCTGTCGTCTCCTCTACTGGAGATCGACCCTTCTCTGTCAATGAGTTCACCTTCGGCACTGCGGGCGCAGCCCTCGGACGCTCTTGCGCTGTAAGTACCTTCACCGAACCTGGCTCTTCACCCACTAATTTGCCACTGTCATAGATCCAAAACAATGCATGCGCGAATGCAGTCAATTCTGGCGCTGCCACTGGACAGTCTGTCGGTGACTGCAATACCCAAGAAAAGGCCTGCAATGCGGCAGCTGCTACCAAACTGAAGACTCGTGCCGCTCTCGACCTCGGCTCCTGTGCCGACCCATCCATCAAGTTTGCCGTTGGTCTTGATGGCCGCAAGGAGGCCTCGTTCCAAGCCGTCGACAATGCCCAGTTTAACCACGGCAGCGCCAACAATATCGGCATAATTGCCTCTTTCATCTGTGGTCAACTGAGCTCCAAGTGCAAGGCTGGCGCCGATGCCATCGCTGCCTGTGCCGCTGGCCAAGCTGCTGCTGGTACGTCTCCTACCATCTTATTTGTCCTATACTGTGCCGAAGTTCTGTTCACTAATATTCTTTAAACAGGTGCCGCCACTGGCCAGGCCGCTGCTGATGCCTTCAACTCTGCCCTCGGCGTCTCTGGCGCTGGTAAGCGTGCGACCCTCAACGCTAACGTTCAGGCTTTCGCTGGAAATCTTGGTGGCGCTGCTCCTGCTGTTGTCCAAAGCGACGGCGACAAACCATTCAGTGTCAACGGCTCCACATTCTTAAACAAGGCTGCTGCGCTCCAGCGTAGTTGTGCAGTCCAGAACACAAACTGTGCTAACGCAGCAAACGCGGGAACACTCGCAGGAACCAAGGTCGCTGATTGTAATGCGCAAGAGGCCGCATGTAACGCTGCCGCGTAGGTCATGGATGCATTTTTGGGGAATTAATATCCGAGATTACCTGCTGGGTGAATCTCCGGGGTCTTGGATTAAATAACAAATGGAAGACGAGGGTTTGGCGTTTTGTGTAGATATATAGCACATAATAGTTCCTTGAAGACCCTGATATAGGTCTATGAAGTCACGTTTTACGTTCATCAAAAGTCCAATTAAATGTTCTCAGCGTGCCGTAGCGGTGTAAATCATTATTATCCAGCAATTGAGGCCCATATTCTACCTTTGTCGGAGTAGAGTTGCTATAGACAGACGATAGCTCAGAGAATCAACCGCTACCAGCATGCGGATAACCTAGACATCCTGCTTGTGGAGATACAGAAGGCGGCAGAGATGCTCAGACACGGTCATAGTCTCTATTCGTATATAAATGGCAGCAAGGTGAATCAGGACAGGGCCTTTCCTCAAAGGATAGTAGCTTTGCTCCTGTAGAGTTTTGTTGCATGTCGCACTTTGATTAATGTCTCAACCTCTTAAACCTCTCCTTGGCTTGTTTTGTTGCACATCGCACAAAAATCTCAAAACCCCTGTATTCCTGACTTAATCACTGACTAGATTTCATTACTGACAGGCTGTTTTGTTGCACATCGCACAAATCTTTCAACTCCCCTGTATCCTTGACACTTTGTCACCGCCTACTAAAAAGTTTCGTTGTATATTGCAAGAGCCTTATTGCACGGTACGCTCGGAGACTATCACAACCTAATAGCTCTAATGCTTGGTATGCTCTCGGTGAATGGGTAGACGTACTTCTGACAAAGTATCGAATATTAACAAACCTTCAATACTTCTATCCACCGACAAAACTTGGTTGAATACGTCTGCTAGCACGATATATAACCGCTTCTATACATTTTGCTACTATGTGCCAACATCCCTTGCTCTTACGACCCGAAACATATATAATACTAATTAGTATGGCGGGTATTATCCTAGGCTACTCTCAAAGAAATGCATAAGAGGTTGATGCGTAGTACTATATGGGATGTTAATACTATGTTGTATCATGTTAAGTAGGAATACTTCTATCGCCTTGAATGATCGGTGTCTTATATCGATGTCATGCCTGTCACCCATATAATATTTATTCATGTTCATGTTCATGAATCGTGTTTCCTAGTTATTTTCTATTTTCGCTTTTCTTATTTTAATAATTCCAAATAATTTATTTCTCCTCGATCTTCATATATAGCCGAACGATTGAAGCTAGCGAATGATCGAGGTGGGCCACGATGGCAGGATTTGATGCTGATGTGGCTAGTGTAGCAGTGCATCTATACGACCGGTCTTCCTAAGAGGTCCAGCTCAAACTGAAAATGGGAGCCGAATGTCTCGACAACCCAATCTCAAGAGTACCATCGGCGGACTTTATGCTCTTGGGAATTGTTTCGCCTGTTCTTCTAAGCACAATCTTGGGTCCATCAGCGGCAGGTTCGGGCAGCTTGTAGAAGCGCCTTCCAGACCGACTCAGGAACTGCTCGAGCCGCTCCTGCGTGACTTCGTGTTCCTCAATTATTCCCTTTTCGATTGCCTCTTCTAGAGCTAGAATGACAAGTTGTGATGCAAAACTCTGGGTATACACGCCGGCGGGAACTGGTTTACCACTCTTGGACACCAAGAGATGCGGCGCGCTATCACTACCACTGAAAGACAAGAAAGGTCAATAGATCACGCACTAGTAAGAAGGCGGTATAACTTACAAGAAGAACTTGGGGTCACCGCTACTTGCGGCTTTAATCAGAGCATCTCTATCTTCAGCCGTCTTTGGAATAGGCTTGCAGAACGCCAGAGGATCCACCTCACTAATATCCCCTGTCAGGTAGAGGTGATGCGCTGTTATAGTTCCTATATAATCCATGTGTTTTAGAAGGTGGGTAGCAAAAGTAGAAGCAAAAATAGGGCAATTATGCAATCATGATATCAGAAATAGCTGCAGAGGAACGAACGAACCAGCAACTGATGGGCCGCAAGCCCGTACAGCATCCAGAGCTGCTGCAGTAGAACAATGCTGTCAAGTATTAGTATGATATTATGAAGTTATTCATAGGAGTCTACCCACCTCGAGGACGCATCGAAGTCGGGGGAACTTCTCATGAATCCTCTTTAGGTCTGGCAAGAAAGCCTCTTCGAGGGACATATTGGCGCTTGGTGGAGCTCCGGGGACCTCTCCGTGCAAGTTTAGTACAAGATCATGCTGTTCCATAGCGGCGAAGACAGAAGAATAGGTTTCCAAAAAGTCACCTGCAACGCCTGACTCGGAGTTTGTCGTAACACCTAAAATGTATTAACACTACAGCTCCGGGGGACAGAGGTTTGTTATTCACGCATTACCTTGAGGGTACAACTTAACTCCTGCAATAGCACGAGAGAGAGAAGCTTCAGCAATTACTTCTGGGGTAACGGAAGGATGAAGCTAGTGTTATTGTTAGATGACATAGTAGCTTTCAACAATGCCTGCTAGGTGACCCACGTAGAGAGACATGAGAAAATTGACTTTAGGTTCAATAGACCGCAGGCGAGACTGGTATTCCAGCGCTTGAGCCACACTTGTAATAGGCGGCTGTAAGTTTGGCTATCAACCAGGTTAGCTAACAATAGACATATATACTGGGAGGTATATATACCATCACGAACACAGTATCTACACCGCCCTGACGGATTGTAGGAGTCACTAGTTCCATGACCTGTAGCTCTCGACATAATGTTAGTCCAAACCAGTTTATGGGGGCCGATCAGATTGACCTTGTCCTGCCTCAAATGGACATGCATGTCTGCCGATGGTGGCAATTCCAAACATTGTACATCTTTTAGTCTCATTTTGCTGGAGGATGCGTGAACGATGATTGCGCGTTGATGTTTGGCTAGGTCAAGTGTCTATGCGGTCAGGGTTTTTAGTATTCAGTGGACATCCGAGGTGTCGGATCTTGTCTAGCCACCTTACTTAGCTAGCGTGTAGAGTATAGTACGACAGCGCATTGTTGGGCGAATTTGGTGGAAAATTCTTTTCGCTAAAATATCAGGCACCCACGGCCATTACCCAGATATGACGTCAATACCGCGTTCGTATACTCTTTCCTATACACTCGAGATAGTCGACGCATATCACCTTATTACCCCTATCTCAGGAGTCATCTTGGGGATCTCGCCTAAGATTGAGAGGTATCAAGTTAAAACGAGTTCGAATTTGTTTAAAACAGACTACAGCAATGACGCCTTTTCTGGCGGTGTACCGACATATGGGTAGTTGTCTGCTTCAAGATTCAAAAAGCGCGGCACCATTCGACGTCCAATAAGGTCTTCGATAGCCGAGCCATATCTCACCAACAAATGCTCTTTGAATGCGGTTTGAATGATACCGATTCCAAACGGTACTCCAATATTGTTAATACCGACTGGAACGGTGATTACTGGGTATCCAGCTTTAGCTGCGACTGAGCAAGCAGCGCCTCCATCAGATTGCAGAGGCACGAGTAGACCATCTAAGTTATCCCCTTCAAGTCGTAGTGCTGCATCAATGCCTTCATCTCTCGATTTTCGCCTTATGTATTCAAGAGCTTTGAGATATATGTCCTCCGGCCAGTCCTTCGACTCGAGACATTTGTCAAAGTTATCCTGACCAGTAGGCCATGCTGGTTGTGTTCCAGGGATTCCTCCCTCCCGAGTAGTATGCTGGACATTATAAGTAACCACATCTTCTAGCGAATAGATTTTGGCCTCATTTTCCTCGAGTCCGCTGAGATATGATCGCAGACTGCGGTAGAATTCTGTCCTCACAACTTCAAATTCCGAGAGCCTAGATCCCATCTTGCCATCTCCGAACTCCCAGTCCCAGCCGCCTGGTGATATTATTTCTTCAGCACTTGGGAAATTAACTTTAACGACCAATGCGCCAGCCTTCTCTATCTTCTCGATCAGCTCCATTAGAGAATCATACTCTAGCCCCATTTCAGCATTTTTGCTCGCTATTTCCCACACCCTTTTCCAAGGTATGCTAAACCTCGCTCCTTTTAGAGCATCCTTCTTGCTCAGCCAGGATGTGTAAAGTCCAGGGCAGAAATTCTGTATTGATGTAGAGACTAGGCGATCAACATAGGTGTCTGTAGTCGAACGTCTCTCATGAATAATATCTAGGACTATTGCAGCGTCCTATACCGATCGGCCGAATGGTCCAATAGTGTCCATGCTTGGAGACTCTGGGATAACTCCCATAGTAGATGTCAGCCCAACTGTCGGCTTAAGGCCTACCACGGCATTGCGATCTGCTGGGAACATGATACTTCCATCAGTCTCAGTGCCGATGCTGAACGCACACATATTCGAGGCGAGTGAGCTGGCACTTCCAGAGCTAGAGCCTCCTGGGTGATGGGCAAGATTGTAGGGGTTTCGGTTCAGTCCTCCTCGGGAGGAGTAGCCTTCGGCGTAATATGACGCTCGCATAGAGGCGAATTCGGACAAGTTCGCTTTCCCGAGGAGCACGGCGCCAGCTTCTCGCAGGAGAGTAACAACGCGAGCATCGCCTGGGACAACAGTTCCTGCCAACGCGGCACACCCCGCTGTCGTCTGCATCTTATCCTTGGTTGCGATGTTGTCCTTGACAAGGAACGGAACCCCGTGCAAGAGGGTTCTAACATGGCCATTTTTGCGCTCTTCATCGAGCTTGTCGGCAATATCCAATGCGTCAGGATTCGTCTCGATCACGGCTTTCACATAAGGGTTGACCAGCTCAATTCTACGTAGGTAGCACTGCACCAACTCCTTGGATGTGAAGGCCGCTTTGCTTAGATAATCCTGTAGCTGTGATATCGAACACTCTTCGATTTCAATTCCACCACACCTCGGCATGCGCAAGCATGTTTCGGGGGCGTTCGTGATCATTTTGATTTGGGAGAAGTGACTAGAGTGCACTGCTGCGTCTTTCTTCTTTAGTTGATGATATGTTTGTAGTCGTGCTAGAGAGATGAGGGAGCCACCCCATCGTTTTCCAAGGTTACCCTACATTCACGCTGTGGACCTTTGTGTTCTATTCTGATCAGGCTATTCGTCGAGACTCAGCAAGCATCCGGCCACGCACGAGATTGAAACATACCAAATAAATTCGCCGTTGGGAAGCACAAATACATACACGTTGGCGAGCCCCCCGACTCACTCCCTCCCACCACCACAATTCCGTCATGTTGGCTGAGGGAGTGAGTTGGGGGACTCGCCAACGTGTTCTTGTAGTACTCGAGTAAATGAAGAGTAAAGCGGCAAGGGGTCACGTACCACGAGGCTTGGCGAACATGTCCGCAGGATTCAGGATAGTTAATAAATAGAAGCTGAAAAGTTTACTTTCTATTCTCTTATCCTCTGTCACTTAATGACTTGCCGGATAGGTAAGCGGACTATTCTGTATCGTGAAGGAGTGGTGCACAATGTATGCAACTGGAGTAGGTAGAATGTTCCCCACATTTGCAATTATCGCCAAAAAATCACAGTGCAAACAATGTATGTAGCAAAATAGACTTTTGGACTGCTTGCTATATACAGCTGTACAAAAAACCAGTTTCTCTATGAGAGGCAAAAACAAAAAGTAATGACCAGGCTGAGGCTCGATCTCAGGACCTTCTCGGAATATTGCTAACAATGTTAACGAGATGTGATAACCAACTACACCACCCGGCCGTTTTTATTGGGGTGCAGTTGCGCTACTTTAATTTATTAACGAGATTTATGCGAGCAAGGGTACGAGAAGTGGCTCGAATCTTGGGGCTCTTTAATCCACCTAGTCTATGCGAGTGTTTATTACTACGTACCCACAATTGAGATCTCTGATCTCAAGCGGTACTGTTATCTAGACGATTCAATTAGATTGCTAAAGAAAAGCGACTTCTAAATGGTTAGCCATTGTCATCCAAAGCCCAAGATAAGACCATTACTACTAGGGAGTCGAAAATGGATTTCGCCTTGCAGTTTCTTGGAAGTCCTTTGTCCCATGGCCCAATCGACGCAGCCCAGAGCGTGGTGTCCCTTGTTTGGCGTTCGCCTAATTGAGCAACGCGCGAGCACGGCCTACTCGTACCCGCAGCTTCACTCGGTCTCGAAATCCTGACAGCTGCGAGCCACCATACCCCGAATACCTCAGCCAAGGGAATTATCTCCAAAATGTCAAGCATGAAACCCATAGATCTTAAAAAGGGCCATCAAAAGCGAGCGACCCCGGCGGTACCATCATAGTCAAAGCCGATCAATAACACGCGCATCAGACGCGTCCCCGTTCTCACATCAATCAAGCTCCTCAAGCATTTCCGTCCGCGTCATGGCGGTATCCTTTTTCTCTCTAATAGTATTTGCGTCAAATACGGCCCTCTAAAGACACTTTCGGGAGCGTCTACCATGCAGTTCATTGCTCAGAATACGTCGATTCCAGTGCCGAGGGCTATCTGCTCTTTTACGCGTAAAGGCTGGACATACATCGTTATGGAGAGGATCCGTGGAGATATGATAGGGCGCGGATGGAACGTCTCGAACGGCTGAGTCTAAGGCGAAGATAATCTCTCAAGTTAACGAAATGGTTGCAGACATGCGCAGGATACCTCCTCCGACCTCAGAAGTTAGCAATGTTGATGGTGGAATACTATACGACAGTAGAATCTACGGCCCGATGCTGTTTGGTTTCTTTAAGAGCATTCATGACTTTCACAAGCATCTTCGAGGGGGACTAGACGCCAATCCGGATAACCCTAACGACCTTTGCGAGTTTATATCATGGCACGATAGACCTTGGTCTACAACTGTATTTACACACAGTGATTTGCGAAGCTTAAACATTCTCGCCCATGGGGATAAGATAGTCGGAATTATTGATTGGAAGACTTCTGGGTGGTACCCACCCTACTGGAAGTATACTACAGCATCGCCGGTCCATCCGCACAATATGTTTTTGGGAAGAAGAAATCGATAAGTTTCTAGATCCGATGCCTAATGAACTAGCCATGGAGAAGGTTCGCCAAAAATACTTCGGAGATGTCTAGGGGATATCTCGAAGGTGTTCTATTCAAGAGAACAAGGATTTTCACCAACACTAACCCTCCACATGATGCGACGCTTGACTTCTAGCCGTTACTGTATTCCCTCTTTCTGCTCAGTCAAGTCATATGTTGCCGCCTTTCCCATGTCATAATTCCCCTTCCCGTCGAAACGATGCTCATCCCTCTTCTTCTGGCAATATGTCATTGCCGCATCTCGAACCTTATTCCACTCCATCCGAGCGGTACCTAAGGTTTTCCTATCAGCCTGAAGCGCCCCTAACGCCTCCCTCACCCATGTGACGCAATTCCATCCCTGTTCGCTCTGCCTGAGTGGGATGCTGCGCAGGGTGTTGACAAGCCGATCAATTTTCTCGACTTTACCGACCATGACACGGACAAGCAACATTTCGGTCGCCTGGAGAGAGACAGGCAGCTCTTCAAATACCCATCGCATTTGTCCACCTGCAACTACCCTCTCCCTTACGTGATATCGCGTGCCCTTTCCACCTTCAACTTCTATCTTGGGTCCAACAAGCAGAGCCTAGTCATATCTACTCGTGGACAAATTGTCAGCCACAATGCGACATATCTAAGGAGATGAAAGCTATATCATAGCTTAGGCAAGACTTCTGAAGTTCCCTGCCTTGCAACGCAAGCTTCTCACCAAGACACAAGGGCTGAGGCTGCATTTTCACCTACGTGTCTTCTCTGCCTGTCATGGTGGGAGCACCGTCACGAGCATAAAGAGCAACGTAAAGTCGATCCTTGTTGGAAGGCATTTTCTCTGGCTTTGCAAATCTGGGCAAAATCGGGGAGCTGGTCGGCGGTTTAGGTTGGTCATGCACACCCCAAGTGTGAGATAATTGATGGAAAGGACTTTGATCGAGGTTTTGCTTGAAGAATAAAAGGTGCCGATTTCTTAATTGTTTCGCATGCAACATTCACTTTTTTATATGCTGAGTCCTCCCTCTTCTCCGTCTTTAATCAGCAAAAGCAGTCAAACTCCGGCGCTAGTATTATTCGTGGCTGTATGGCCTTTGGTTTCACATCTCAAGAAAAGGGCGATTAGTTTGATGAGCCGCTCAAACCAATGATTGAAATGGTTTTTTCGTTCGCTATCAGTGCCCTATGTAGACTCCAGCGGCTACATAAGTGACGACCTCAGTATGGGCCGTTTCACAATTTTGGCGCATTGTGGCGCCTTTCCAACTCATTTTCAGGTTTCTGCGGTAGTACCTCAACTGAGACTGGCTATAATTCCTAGGGCCATTTTCCGGACTAACCCACCCGCATCACGAACCCCTTTCCCAAGTAGGCCTTACTTTAATGGCCGAAAATAATGCACTGAACACTGGGAGGAATACGAATATATTACACGCGCTTGGGGAGGCGGAAGTTTGGGTATTGCGCGCTTCGCGTGATTTTTGCCCAAGTTTCCGTTCAGAAACAAAGCTCTTCAAAACAGGGTGGCCCTCGGCACTTTGTCCGTCATCATAGTAGCTTCTAGTACTTCAAGTTCGCCTCCCATTACGTACCTCGGGATGTACCTAGTTCATATGCTCTCCTTGGTTATAGATTGGCAGTGTAATTTTGGGTGTTCAACAATGCTACAGTTGAATCGTATTTTCGACCACTGACAGGAACTCGCTCAGCACTCCGCTGACCCCTTGTGTACAATATGACATAGGATTCTATGAATAAACTTCACGTACTGTACATGGTACTCGGTATATATTGCCATGTTTCCGGTACGACAGTATTGTTAGGTTCGGCTGGCAACTTGGCATTGCCGCTACTTCGTAATAATGTCTTCTATAGCACAAGTTTCTGTGGCGTTGGCCGCCCTTCTAGTGCTTGATGTCGCTGCCCAGGCCACAGCGACATCCACACAATCAATCTTGCTGCCCACGGTGCGGCCCTCGACGGCCTTCATAGTCCCGCCCGACTTCCTCGGCGTCGGCTTCGAATCCGCCTACCTCCCTGCTTACAATAATGACTTCTCCGAGAACCTCGTCAACTCTCTTGGCTCGCGCATTGCGGCGCCATCCACTATCAGAATAGGGGGGCCCAGCGGGTAAGCGCTTCACATACGAGTTTCTACTATGCAGAGCTATAACAGCTGTCAAACTCTAGGGATAAGCTCACCTTTGATCCGAACCAGAAGGCCTCGACATGGTGCCCGACTGGTGATTGTGTTGGTTACTCTAATAAGGCCTTCGTCCTAGGACCGTCCTATTTTGACACTTTCAAGCGCTTCCAATCCGCCCGCTTTACCTTCCAAGCCTCTCTAGGCCACAATCCCAACGCCACTAATGTAATCGCCAATGTTAAGCATGCATACGCAGCCGTCGGTCCGTCCCGCCTCGATGCCATCGCCGTCGGGAACGAAGTCAACTGGTACGAAGATTCCGCCGCTACGTACGTCGCCGATGCACAAACCGCGAAGGACGCCATCACCTCCGTCCTCGATCTCAAGGACCCTATCTGGGAAATTCCAGACTCGGCGGTCGGGGCTGGCAACCCTTACGCCGTCAAAGAAGTCTTCGATAAATGAATCAATCGCGACGGCCTGGTCAAATACGTCGCCGAGCATTCCTACTGGCATGATGGACGTATTCCCGGAATCGCAGAGCAGCTCCTTAACCACACCGCCCTTAAAGTCAGATTCCGCGCTCACTTAGACTCCATCCATTACACTCTCAGCAGGCCCGATGACAAGTTTATCTTAAGTGAAATAGGCGGTCCACTTGGGATCCACGTGGACGAATAGTACTACTTCGCCAACACGCTCTGTTCTATCACCTTTAGATTATATGCAATGACCTAGGGACTCAGCCGTTTCGTAGGACACAGCGCCCTGAAACCCTCCGGAGTCTATGGATCCCAGACTCTGGATGGGTAGACGGAGTTGGCCCGCGAGTCCAGGCGCCGTATTATGCGCTCCCGTATGTTGCGGACTTCATCGGGAAGATTGTCAGTGGGGACTGAGGAGTGATTAATCTCAATTTTGGCAAGGGAACCATCAGCGAGTATGCCATGTTTTTTGAGTTGTTCGAGGGAGACAGTCTTCCCCTCATCGCCATCGTCAATCTCCGCCCGTATGGTGATGGAGGCATTCGAAAAGCTGTCCAAATCCATCTCGATAAGCTGGGCAATAGTGTCAGCTAAGTTCAAGTCAAACGGTGGCATGCAGTAGCCGGAACGGCAGCGGGCGGCTTCGATGTAAACGGTAAAAATACCACATACGCTAGCTAGTAATGGAGTCACGACATTGACCAAGGAAACAGCTATGGCAAGGCGGTGGTGGAAACCCATCCGGTCACCAATGGCGTGGTAGATATCGGCATTCCAGATACCGAGGCCATGGTTGTGTATATGAAATAGGCCAAAGGGGTTGCGTGAGATGGGTGACCTTAGCTAGTGTATAATAAATCTGACTTCCGATCCGGGAGTAAGTCAGTGAGTACGATACCCTAAGTATAGCGGATTATCAGGCGAATTTGGTATAGAACTTTTTTCGATTGAAGTATTCGGAACCATGGCTATTACCTATATATATGATGTCGAGCTTCCGTCGGCGTATAGTACTATACTCTATTATTCGAATGTCTAGCGAGTCTTAAAGTAAAGCTATTCCTAGATCTCTACTTCTTCCTTCTCTATTTCGATTCCGTGATCCTTTGCATACACATCAAGCATCGCTAAAATTTCTCTGAGCAGCCTCCATTCTTTCGGAATATTCGTAGGTTTATTTTTGTACTTTTCATCGTGCTCCCTAACAAGTTCGAGTGGAAACTTGCGAGTCAAGGCCCATTCTTTACGATTAGTTTCGTGACCGGAAGCAGTCAAAAGCACTTTAACCATGCTCATGAATGAACATATGACTGCGATACGTAATGCAGAACCCTTGGACAATATTGGGGGTTGGATGGTGACATCGGCGCCATGTTCCAACAATAATGTTGCCACGACTACGCGGTTGCTAATCGAGGCTGCTTGAAGTGAACTTCCCCAACAACCACCGGTGTCATTGATACTTGCTCCCTTTTCCAGGAGGTACTTGACTATCTCATCGTGGCCATTAAACGACGCAGCTTGTAATGCAGTATTAAAGTGTCCACCTTTTGCCTCCACAATAGCACCTGCCTGGAACAACATCTGTACAATTTCTAGAGATTCTGAATACGCTGTAGCTTGGAATGCGTTGCCGAAGTGGCCACCTTTGGCGTTGACCTCTGCCCCAGCATCCAAGAGGAGTCTAACAATGGCAGTTTGGCCCACAAAGCACGCAGCCTGTAGTGAATGTCGATATACTCCCGCGGGATAATTGACATCTGCACCTCTAGCCAAGAGAATTTCTACAAATTGACGTCGGCCGTTGACGGCTGCGGCATATAGTGGATTCCCCATATGATGCGTCCGGGGAATGTCGTTGAGCTCCGGCTTCTGAGCTAAGAGGTTGGTCATAAGGCACGATATACCACTTGCTGAGATTTAAGTTAGGGGATGTATCTAGCTGCGTTGTGTGAAGAGTCTTCGACTCCGGAGAGCTAGTCGCTTGAAACCCTGGCGATTGTTGCGGACATCATCGAATCCTACAGCGTCCCAGACCTGCCAGGCAGGACAGTCGTACTGCAAAAATTCAGAAGATAGCCTCGTTAGCGGCTCTGTCGTCGCTGCCAGATTTAATTTCTCTAGGTGGTATGGCCAGCAATTCGCTGCGTAGTGTATGAGCGGAAACCTGCTGTATATCTCCCTTTGTATGGCAGGCTTTTGGCTTCCAACGTATAGGAGGTAGGCGAAACAAACCTAGGCAATTTCGAGCTCCGATGCCGTAGAGTCAATGTAATATTTTTACTGGGGGCTACTTGCGACTCGTGCGGTAACGAGGTATTCCTTAACAGAGAAGTGCGCAAATTGAACTATCAGTTCCCTCTCCTTAATTTTTCCAGTCCCTAGTTCCTCTTTAGGTTTCTTATCTATGTGGCTCGAATTCTCAACGTCGTCCTCCTGCTTAACATCGTCGCCTTCCTCATCCGTATCGCTAGAGTTCTGCTCTCTTTCTGTAGTCTCAGTCCCATCGACTACGTCTGAGTCTGCACAACCAATCTCACTATCCGCGTCGGGTTTGGATTGAGCGTAGAATGCTTCCGATTGGAAACCGCCACGGCTCCCGTGAATATAGTCCCTCAAGCCCGCCCCACTTGAAATTGTTGTAACAAGGCCTGCCGGTAAGATTTCGAGTATATCCTTGGAATCCATGAATTGGTCTTCTTCGCTCAAATATGGCTCCTCATCGACTTGTACAATCACCGCCTCCGCAAGTTCCTTTAGTGAGATAGGCCGAGCTGCAAAAGCAAGCCACTGCAGCGCACGGCGAGCGTGTTTTTGATCATCTTCATGCTCGATATTCGATAATATCCGATCGTAGAAGGCATCCAGGGTTTTTGGTAGTTCTCGGATTGCAGTCATAATCTTCGACTCGGTACGAAGCTGGCTCAAAGCATCGAGCTGCAGCGCTGCGAGTCGAAACCTAGAGCGGGTTAGCCACCTGAAGTTTCATAGAAGTGTATCACATACATGCCATCCACTTGAGTGGACAATTTCATTTCTACATTTTTCTTTAATGCCGGCTTCCACTTTTCGAAGGTTCGGTGCGTGAGGCGGTGTTTTAAATACTTTTGAATGTCTTGCTCGACATGCGCACCGCGAACACTGACTTCTGTCACACAGCTCAGACGGGCAGGAAAGTTACTGAAGGAGTCTTCAATATCGATTTCCCTTCTACTGGCGAGTAAAATGTGTAGGCAACTTAATTCCAGACCATAGATTTCATAAATGAGAGCTAGGAGCTCGTCTCGCTGACCTTCGCCCTTCGGACACTCGTCCAGACCATCAATAACCATGTATACATGCTCGAAGCCAACCAGTACAGCTTTGAGCATTGTGATCAGGCTTTCTTGAGTTGGCTTTTGCTGACCGTAATTTGCCTGATCATAGGCTTCTTGCAAATCGGTGGGGGTGTCTCGTCGATTGCTGCAAATATCCGCGATAAGGGAGCACAGGCAGTGGGACATTTTCTGCTTTTCGACGTCTGTGAAAGTAAAGTACCAATAAACTACCGCAACGTTAAGCTTACCTTTACAACCCTTCTGGACGTGATCTACTACTGTGGAACTGTCATATAATCAAAAAATGGCAGCTGAGAGCCTGGGAACTTTGGAGTACGTACGATAAGATTGATTTGCCAGCACCGGCTACGCTCGGTCGTTAGCAGGGTGGAATATTTGACGAAGGAGAGTCTTGCCTCCACCATTCAGCCACAGCAGCGAGTTTTCAGTCTTAAGCCAGGTCTCAAACGATGGACTCTCAATAAGCCAAGACCCTGTAGTTTTCTCATGCCTGGCACGAGCGAGATTGTGTTCCTTTGAAGGGTCAGGAACACCTCTTGATAACCAGCTTATAACCCGATGCCGGGTTTTATCAAACCGGGCAGCTCTGATCTCTATTCTTATATCTTCCGATATATCGAAGTGCTCGGCCGCAAGGTGCCTGAAATGAGCGCGAATGTCAACAGACTGTGGTTAGAATGGACATGCTTGACTGACAGATGTTCGACCTGAAGCTCGAGTGTCAAACTGGACTTGTATCGTTCAATTGTGCCTGCTACTTTCTCGATGTCTTTCTTCTTGAAGGGCCAAATCAGGGACTGGACAGCCTTATCAAAAGACTTTTATCCCTTCGGTAATACTTTGGGCTTGAGTTGTAGTTTGTGGAGTTCTAGTTTAGCTTGTCTTAGCGGACCCGAAGGGTTGATGAGAAGGGTTTCGTCGAGGAACGGCTGTCCGCTCTCGCGATTGAGAATGTGGTGGAGGCTGAAGAGAATTGCTTGCAGGCTGGTGACAGCATTGTACAGCTTTTTGATGTCGTCTCGAGCATCACGAACACCTTCGTAGTAATCTTTGAGCGCTGATCCAATAGACTGCGCGATCTGTACGACCGCAATGACACTTGACGCGGCACTAAGCCCGTCCATTCCGACGTGGCTTACGATATTCTGTGGCTCTTCAATTCCTTAGTGAATCTCGACTTGCCGAACAGTTTAAGGCTTAGCTGTTGCTACTTTGTTAGTTTAGCGCATCTTTGGGGTAGGTTAGTTTTATTTAGTTGCAATTCCGAAAGTAAAGCTTCTACATAGCTATGTTTGTCTATACGTCCTAAAACATCATTATATAAAAGTAAAATACAAACTAGAAAATAGAAAACACTAACAACCCCGCGAAAAAGCGATTATATAACAGCCTCTGTCCTAAGATTACAACTAGTAGGTCGGATTTGCTATAACAAAATCTAGGGCACTAGAAGCACATAAAGCAATAGAGATAACGAGTATGAAAGAGGTCAAGAAGAAAAACTTATGTGATAAATATTATAATAGAGAGTTAAAAAAGGTGCGTACTACAAGGTATAATTCTAGTCCTACTTTGCAATAGTATTAAGAGTAAAAGTAAGGGATATAGTCTAAGGACGTACCTAGGTAGGTATATTAATACCAGAGACCTATTCTGGCCTCCTCTATAGAGCTTGTTCGACCACCCCTGATTCTTTCTTGTCAGAAGTTGGCTGTCTCGAGTATCGCACTACTACTAGTCCACTACCCCAGTACCGTAACCAAGGTCGATAGGGGTCGAGCTGCTAGGGGTTGGCAAGTAGTGAGTGGTGAGTAGTGTGGCAGGTAGTAAGGAGGGGTAAGGATAATGAAGGTGAGGCGAAGCGGGACGGCGCGGGGCGGGGCGACAGTGAAAACCGTGGTGGAGTGTCACATGCGAGTCGACTAGTGCGCACGTGAACGAGGTGAGGATTGAGATGAAATAATAACAATCTCTATAGTTTCAAGTATAATAAGACTCGTGTAAGTGCGAAATCACATTAGGGGAGGATCTATATTAAGGCTCCGTCTACACGAGGAGCAAATTTTTTTATGCGAGCAAGGCAAGTGTAGGTAAATTGAGACTTAATTGGTGCATGAACTATAAGGCAATTAGTTAGTCGTAATTAATCATAGAGTTAAAGGATTATATCAAGCAATCTCCCAAGTATTATAAGATAAAAGCTAGCTATATATAAGCAAATGAGTATATAAGTCAGGTGAGTAGAATAAAATAAACGGTAATTATAAATGTATCAGGATGTTAGGTAGGCCATGGTATTATATCTAGTATATAAATTACTATAGAGAGTAATGATTGTCTTTGAATGAGATTATAAAGCACGAATACGTCAGAATTGTAATTGACTGTCCTGATTTGCAGAGACGTTCCAAATAGGTGGCAATTGATCTTCGGGCATATCAACAAACTTTTACTCTGTACAATGGTCGCCGGCGACGCGTACTTGAGTATGTGGAACAACGCCATTGTAGCAGAAGCCGTGCCATGTACGGAGTAAGTGCATTTGAACCGGATCATCTCCAGAAGCCACTCCAGACCGCACTCCACATTCGTAGTCGATAGTACTGATCCGTTTGTTTAGGGGGCACGCCCTGCGTAAGACTCGAAGACTCAGCATGCACCGGCTCCGCAAAGCTAGACGACTCGTGGAAGCTCGGTATTCCATCGAACCACAGATAGGCGCCTAACACCCATCGGTGCTACATACGATGCCATCTAAACTATTTTCCGTACTGAAACAGCTCCAAAATCCTCTTTTGATCACAAGCAGCAGCAACATCTAGACTACTTCTCCCTTTCTCATCTTCCTCAAGCGGATTGAGTCCCTTGCTCACAAAGAGCTCAAACAAAGGTTTGTCGTGCGTCGGTTTCGTAGCCATGTTTTTCTCTCGCCTTGCAATAATGTGCAATACATTTTCTCCATCATTGTTTTTCGCAAAAATGTCAAGGTCTTCAGCAACTCCTTCCGAGAAATAGATAGCAAAGTTCTCGACATGACAACAACTATTTTCAGGAGCCTTATAGTCGTCTCTTTGACTAGCAGAGAGATAGTAAAAGAGTGGGGGCGAGCCTTTGCTGTCCCGGATGTTAATAGAGCCTCCAAGGGCAAGAAATTTCTTCCATAACGCGAGGAGATCGGTATAATAATCAGCCGTATACTCATTGCCCCAAGTACGCCTATTCAGCTTTCTTCTACTATGCAGACACTGTGCTGCTATGTGGTGGAGAGCTGTTGCGCCGGTTGGGTCGGGGCTCAAGAGGTCTGCACCCATGGTGAGGAGGACTTCGACCACTGCAGGGCGCAGTAGGCGTAAAGCGCAATCAAAGGGCGCGAAACCTTTTTCATCTTTTTGATGAAATAAGGTTTTCGCCACATCATGGCCAAGGAATTGGACTATTGCCTCATCTTCCATTTCAGGGTTATCGAGGAGGCAGTGTAGGGCATTTCGACCCCTGTTATCAACTGCCAACGGATCGACGCCAAACTCGAGAATCCTTAGGAAGGGAGCGGTCGCTTTGGCCTCCCAATGTCGGTGTTTATAACCTGGGAGAACTTCTCTCCATTCACACGCGGCGAGGAAGATGGTACGTCCCTGGTGATCTCGGCTGTTGAAGTCGATCTTAGACTTACAGTCTAGGAAAGCGCTTAGAATTTCGTATTCAGCGTGCTCGAAGGCATAGTGTACAAGAGTCTCCTTGTCATTGAGGGGTGCGTAGAGGTCTGCTCCTCGATCGATGAGTAGTTTCACCATCGGCACGGAGTTTTCAGCCTTTTGGTTGCGTAGGTTGGCAAAAGATGCGCAGTAAAGTAGCCAATGTGGGTTTCTTTTTGCCTTGTAATCGACTGAAAACCCATCATGGTCCTTGTTATTATCCCTAACATTAGGGCTAACGCCAGCATCAAGCAGAATATTGAGTGCCTCGAGACATTGAATTTGGATTGCGGGGAAAACGGGTGAGATTTTTCCGGCAGTGAGGTCCGCGCCATTTTCCAACAGGAGTCTTAGGATTTGAGGGGAGGAGCAGGCTTTGTGAAGACAAGATAGACCGTCGTTGTCGAGATGGTGGATGTTGGCTCCTTGATCGAGAAGTAATTGGACGCAGTCGATCCTCCAGAACCCGTACGTGCATGGTGTGCAATTCATATCTGGAAAACTTGGCCCTGTGCAGGCTACTTGAAGCGGAGTCTCGCCTTTCTCATTTATCGAATCAATCTTGGCTCCCTTCTGAATAAGATACTTGACTGCCTTGAGCTGCCACCAATTGTTTGCCTTTGCAAGGATATGCAGAGCAGTTCCTCCTCGGATCAAATCTTTCACTTCTTTTACTTTCACTCGTCGTGTTGGTTGGACTATGGCACGCGCATTGACATCGACACCGCAAGTATCGACCAGAACTTCGATCATGTCTAAGTTTGAAAGCTCTCTGGTACATGCTATGTGAAGTGTAGGGGGCAGATATTTTATCTCTGGGTAGTGTTCGGGATCGCTGAATAGCTCCATAATTTGTGCTAGAACAATCTCGGGGTCATCGTTGGCGCGAGCTAGTTGGCCGAAGCTCCTTATCAAATGCGTGAAACCTTTCGATGCAGCGATATACATTAAAGATTTTCTAGAGGAAGGGGTAGGCTTCATTTCGTCTCTTCCTGTAATGCTGCCCCCATTCTTTGAGATCCACTCAAGATCGTTCAAGGTAAGATAAGGGAGATAGGTCGACGGGTCATGGATTATCTGTTCGAGTGAGAATTCTGAAAGCCTCTTCGTGGACAAGTATGGATCCTTCAGCATTATAACCGTTTCAAGCGTTTGGTCTTTGGCATCTATGGACCAATTCTTCCGAACAAGGTCGATTGAAAATTGCAAGGCCTGTACCATCTCTTGACAATCATATTCAATCGCGAGGTCAAGCGGTGTTCGAGAGTTTGAGTCAGTGGCTGCGGCATCACTCCCGGCCAAAAGAAGAGATCTGATAGTGAGGCCAATACTGGGGTTGTCCTCGTGATGTAACTCTGATGTAGCTCTAACAGATGGTGTATAACACGGATGTTCGTATGACTTTGAAGGCACCGGTCGGAATCTATCTTGAAATAAATGGCCAGATACTTCGTTCCGACGATGCAGTAGCGCCCATATCCTTTGCTCGTCGGAGAATTCCGCGCAAGAATGAAGAGGGGTCCTCTTGTTGTTGTCGAGGACGGCGGTGTCTGCGCCGGCTTCGAGAAGATGACGAACTGATTCAGGAATACCTGATGTACAGGCATCATGAAGCGGGGTTCTTCCGTATAAATCCCGCTGATTGATCAATGATTGGCCTATCTGTGACTGGTTTTAGTTAGAATTGCTCAAAGATGAATCTAGATGAAATCTCGTCCCCGGAAATATTTACATGAAATCAACATGTTGGGAGGAAATAGGGCACATGAAGAAATTTAGTACGTACTTGACAGAGATATTCAACAATATTACTTTGGCGTGCTCGACAAGCCAAGTGGAGAGCACTCCTACCCTTTTTTGTCAAGAGACTAGGATCTGCACCTTCCTCGAGCAAGTAAAACACACGAGCATGAGAACGTAGCGCAGTGAGATGAAATATTGTCAGACCATCAACATCTTGGGAATTGATATCGAAAATGTCTTGGCTTCTAGACTAAATGTTAAATGTGCTTCAAATACTTGACTCGAGAGGGGAGTTTAAGGATGAATGTCCATATTAGGGGTGGAATGAAAAGGTATTAAGTGGCTGCCGCTTTGAATCGACCCATGGAATTATTGGGGCAGTGCTGTAGCAAATACAAAGACGCATACCTTCGGAAGAGCTTAAGCAATGGTATTTCAAAACGCTCGTCAAAACGCTCGTGAATGTGATTTCTGTAAACACTTTTGGTAGCATGGAAATCCCAATTTTCAAGATAGACGTGAAGTGGAGTCATGCCCTGGTTGTTTCTTGAATTGACTGAAATGCCATAGTCCAAGAATTTCTGGACAAACACATTGTCAGTTTCTTCACCCGCATAGTGTTTCGAGTGCAGGTGGAGGAGATTATTCCCCTCATGGTCAACCTAGAGGTCGTATTAGAATTGACGCGATATTTTGCAGAGCTGGAATGCCTACCTTCAATGGATCCAATCCCATATTTATCATATCTACAAACCTCTGAGGGAAAGCATAGTTATCAAGACGACCTCGGTGGCGAGCAACATGAGCTAGATAGTGATGCAGCACTCCTTTGCCTGTTGAGTCAACGGCATTTAGATCCGCACCACATTCAATGAAAGCATCAAATAGGTCCACGGATCCTACGCTAGCAAGCAAGGCAGTTCCACCACTATCGTCACGGTCTTCCAAAGATACACCCAACTTCTGTAGGGCACGAATAAATTTGACCGTTTCCTCCTGGTTCCTTCTCGAGCTCAACTTCCACATACAACGTTTGAGCACATCTGCATCAAAGCAAGCTTGAAGCAGAATTGTGAAGGTCTCTAAGGGACAGTCTGAGTTTGTAGCTGCGGATTCCACTGTAGTGCACCCGTATTCGTCTTTTATGTCGCAACGAGCACCCTTTTCCAGGAGGAAATCAATACTGGCGGCCGTGAATTCAAAAGACTGATCACCATAAGAGCTTTGTAAGGCTCTATGTATGATAGTTTGCCCACCTTGTCCAAGGCTATCGATGCGAGCTCCGTATTCGAAGAAAAGCTTCAAGGTTTGGATATTTTTTGAGCCGTTAAGAAGGTAGCGGTGGACAATAGAATCGCCGTTCCTGTCAACGGCTAGTACATCAGCTCCTGCCTGTAGAAGGCCCCTGGCAACAATATCGTCAGCAGCGTTTTGATCGTTGAAGAGGCTAAGTAAGGGTGTTTCTTCATTGGCGTCTTTGACTTCAAGGCCCGCGCCTGCATTCAGTAACAAACGCAAGATTTGTTGACAAGCAATATGGTTAGCAATTTTCCAACCGATAACGGTAGCATGGATAGGTGTTCGCAATGGCTCCTTTATCGCGCCATGACCGCAGGCGTTTCTATTTGGCACCAGCCACTCCGACGTTCGATGAACATCCGCTCCTTTTGCAAGCAGTAACTCAATGACAGCAACATTTTGGGCTCGGCATGCAAGATAAAGAGCACTGGCACCATTCCATTCTGTGTTGGGCGACACGCCGGAAGCCTCAAGGATAGCTCGCACGGCTTCGAATTTGCCGTATCGACAACACTGGCAGAACAGTTCTCCTAACGTTTCTGGGGTGATGAACGGTAGCATTTCCATGATCGTGTCCGTGTGACCTTGAAGCCAAGCATATTCGACGGCAGTCTCTCCTTTGGTCGAGATTTCGCCGCACATCAAAAACCGTTTCGTATCTTCGCGTGTCTTCGGAGTAAGAGGATTAACTCCTGCCTCAAGTAAAAGTCTCACAATACTTGAGTGATTTTTCCTTGCTGCTTCGTGGATAGGCTTTACGCCTCGACAGTCTTCTGCATTAGCGGCTGCGCCATTTTCCAGCAGAATGGAGGCCATTACAGTATGGCCTCTGGCACAGGCCCAGTGCAATGGAGTTCGATCTTCAGAATCACGAGAATCCGCTTGATCTTGACCTACAATCAACTTCTTGGCATGTTTCGTGAGACCAGCGAATGCGGCGATATGGAGAGGGGTTGGTGCTTGAACATAGGGTATTTGATCTTTCGATTTTCGATTTTCCCCCCACCGCCGGGGCTCTTTTCTCCACCACTCGAGCTCTAACCACTTCCTGAAGTCGGGGCTGCTGGGGTCTAGAAAGCCTGCAACGGACTGGAAGAATTCTTCATCCTCGAAATCGTACTTGCTAGCATGGTATGCCCAGTTTCTAACTGCGTATTCTAGAAATGGATGGCGTAGCTTTGCCTCTTGGTAATCATACTGATCGTTTTCTTTATCGTTATTGTCATCGGTAGAATTATCGTCCTTTTTGTGTTGTTCAATAGACTTTTCCACTCTGAGAACACCTGATGTCAAATAATCCAAGCAACTGATCGTCAGCTTTTTATGAACTTCGTCGGGGTTGAGTACGGGGAATTGTGAAGCATGGCCCATGTCGACTCGTTCCTTGTTCAGCAGGAATTCTGTAAATGAATGGTGGATGACCTGAACCGTTTCATCTTCAGATATTTCAAGAAGTGGTGCACATGCTAATCTCGTCACGAATTTTGGAGAGTTTGGAATCATCGAAGATGGAAAAGCGGAAGCCAGTGCATTGGCCATTTCGTTCAATCGCAGGGCTCTAGATGAGTGTGTTGCTAATTCGAGAAGAAAGACCTGGATTCGAATATCAATCTTGAGAGCTTCCGCTTGTTGAGCTAGCATGCTGTTGTACATTTCCTCCAAACCTATCGGGATAGTCTTCATCAATCTTTCGATGTCTAATTCTGTTGGTTCGAGGCTTGGTATGATCTGGTCTAACAGAAGTCGTGCATAAAGGAAGAGTCCACGGGATCGTTCAGATGTCTTGAATGCCAAAGACTGTCTCAAATTTTGCTGGTGATCTCCTGGAAGAACGCTTTTCAGACGGTATGATACGAAGAGGCCAATGTCTCTCCCAACTAGGTCATTTTCAAGGCTGATGTGTACAATCGAAGTATCCCTCAAGCTGCTTTGAAGGTGCTGCTTAGGTCTGCTAGTCATCAGAAGCTTTACATTTGGTCGAAAGGCTGCTAATTTGTTCAGTCGATCTAGGAAGTGATCGTTCGGTAGCAGTTCCATCTCATCCAAGGCATCAATAACGCAATAAGCCTTTTTGGTGGAAGAGAGACCGGTTAACAAATGTTCCCATAATATCTCGTCCGAAAAGTTTTCCAGATCAGTTCCCACCAAGGGTTGGAGCGTAGCCTGAAGGCAAGCACTGAAGGGAAGTAGCTGCGCGAGAAAATCCCGAATGAGACTGCGAGGACGCCTATTTGCGGAAATGATGTATCGAAAAAAGAAGTACAGGACCGGAGTACTATCATTATTTTGCAAATTCTCTATCATTGAAGCTGCGATGACCGATTTCCCAGCTCCCGGGGCTCCTTTAATCCATAGGCTTCCATGGTCCGTTGCACTCTGCCACTGCTGGTATTTTGAAGTCTCACAAATCCAAAGACCAGTTCCAGGAGCTTGTGAGCTCAAATGGCGATGAAATTCATTCGATTGAGCTTCGTAATCGGTAGGCTGAAGCCATACTTGGACTTTTGCAAGCTCTTCTGTTGAGAGGCTACCTTCTAGCTGATCAATCACCTCAAATTCGTCGGTGTCGGAGGAAGACATGTTTCAAGGCTGGATATTTTTCAGCACCACCAGTTCGAAGGAGGATGGGTATCTCGCTTCAACTAGAAGTTCGGATTTTCGAGTTGTTTGTGAAGAAGATCGGAAGTTCTTACTGCCTTCGAAGGAATACGCATCAGCCTCAGCCTCAGCCTCAGCCTTGCTGCACGAGTGAGGCACGTTTACACGTGATTTTTAGTTGAATTAGGTGTTTGAATTGACGATCTTTTAGTATATATAGCTATCATGAAAGCCAATTTCAATAACTAAGGCAAAATTTCTCATACCATTAATTTAGAATATAATGTTCTGAACTATGAATGCGTACCAACTGGAACATATATCATTTCTTGCACATATATTGGCGGCTCCCGCGATATTACCCGGCTTTTAAATTAGACTTGACAGACCTTAGGTCTGCGGTATTAGAGTGATTGGACCCTGAGCAAGTGTGGCAAGCTTACAATTTGTTTTTAAACATGAGATAAGAAATATCAACCGACGATACCTACCAAAGGTTTATGAACTGATAATTCTTTACGATCCCGAACGGATTGGCAAGTATAGCTGTCTCAAGTCTCATTTGATGGAGGCGGTGGAATAGAGTCATGGTGACTGCTCGCCATACTCGCCCTCGCGCTTGTAGAAGTTTCCTCACTCCTCGTCGTCGAGGTATTTCTTGAACTCGGGAAGCGGAACAAAGAGGACGAACTAGAGGCACTTTGCTCCTGCTTCAGGTCCGGTGCCAGTTCGCACCACCGCCTCAGAAACTCATGGCGCTCTTCCTCAGAGGACGACTGCGCATCCTCGAAACCTTGGGCAAAGTGTGCAGCTAGAATGAAGCTTAGAGTCCCAGCGGCACGAATTCCATACGCTGTGCCACGTATAACGAGGCTCTTTCGAGGAAATAGGAGATTTCCAAACCCTTTTCCTATACCTTTACTAAAGCCACGCCATCCATTTGCTTTAGCGCCTTCTATGGTTCTGTCACCACACCCACATATGCTTTGCCAACGTTGATCGGCACGTTTATTAAGTGGGATGTGAAAGAACCCATCGAGCCAAGGATAGGGTTGGGTCCGCTTAGGTTAGACAGAAGAAAATGTTCTTGGACAGGGTACTCGTATGGCCGATATAGTTCTAGCTGATTGATGCCCAAGACTCCTTCGTTGCCCGACACGGTAGCTGTGAATTCACTCAGCCTTACACAGTCCGTCTTTGACCCCTTTGTTTTGAGCGACCAGAATGCTACCTCAAGTCAGAGTCATCAGACACCAGAGGCGAGAAACGTCCATTTGAGCATGGAAACTAGCAGCACCAGGTTCGCAGCCATTCTCCTCGTGGATTCGCTCCCCAGGCTCCTTCGCTCGCTCAAGTATTTCAGGGTTCAGTGCCTCGAGAATCGCACTGGCAAACCCTTTGGTGGTTCCTTGTTTGGGATCGGCGACGGTTTAGCACTAGCTAGTGCAACCGTAGCTCCCTAGAGTTGTTGATCACCAAAGAAGGGAATAGCCACCGTGGGTCGGCCAAGTGCAATGCCTGCCGCTGTTGTACCTGCTCCGCCATCTAAGCAGTGAAGAGTTGGAGTCAGTTTTATTTATTTCCACACAAGATGGGAGTTTGTAAGAGAGATAGCTCGGCATCTGCGAATACACTACTTACGATAGACAACGCAAGAGACATGTAGAAAAAACCAGTCATATGGGCAATTGCCAAGCATGAAGATTCCATCAGGTTTATTCAACTCACTGCCGCCAAAACCACCCTAGCCCTTGGAAACCAAAGCTCGTTGCCCTTTCTTTCTAACGGCATCGAAGATTAATTGGGTCATGGCGTTCGGGTCATCAACAACAATAGAGCCAAATCCAATATAGACAGGCGCGGGGCCGGATGCCAGGAAATTGGCAAGTTCGGAGTCGGGTTGGTAGTTGGACGCAAAAGAGAGAAAATAGAAACTAGAAATGGAAATATGAGGGCCCCAATCCTTGGGTTTTGGAATCAGCGCTGAAGACCGATATGAAAATGCTAGGTTGGTGGCCATGGCATGCTAGAAATATTACGACCAGGAATAAATAGGGGCGAGGTCAAGACTTACATAAACATTATATGCAGCGGAATTCTCAGCTTTTCTGCGCGATGGATACGAGCAAAACTAGGTGGGCTTGCGATAGTGGCATCCGCAATAAAGGACTTTCTTTCGGCGAACGAATTTCGTCTTCTTTAACTTCGTCAACGCTAGCACATGGCTTCCAACAACTTTGGAGTATCTCGGCGATATCTTTGCGTCGCTTCCCCACATCTCCAGCTTTCAGTTGCTCCATGCCTGGAATAAAGCCTGGACTTTTGACCATAAAGGCCATCGGTTGGGCTGAGTCGCCACCAATGTCAAAGAATTCCAAGCCATTTTCCTCCACAATAAGTGTCCCATGTATTGCTAGCCGTACTCGATGCCCATAATTGCCCTTGAGAACCTTCCCAAGGGCCACAAAGGGTTGCACGTCTCCTCAAGAGCTAACTACATGGATAGCGATATTGAAGTAATGTGGGGGTTCGGCTTTGCCATCGAGATACGAAGATTTGTAGGCAGGCGTTTGAGATTCGTGGGGTTGTTGTTGCTGCGCTGCAAACTGGATTTGCTCAAGATGCTGAACAATCCGCGTATCGGTCTGGTTTATGGGTATGTCAACACGCCCGTATCTATTCGTTTGGTTAATATATAGATAAAGCTAGAACGTAAGCAAAAAGTAGGAGACGTACATCTAACTTGCATTTGAGCGCTAAGTCCATTCTAGCAGACATCAACAGTAGCTATCAGCTCGTTGTAGACTGGTGCCGGGTCGTCAGTTAACGGTTGCTCCCTTGCTTCCGAGTAGGCAGAAGGGGGGTCTGAAGCCATTGAAGCAGTTTGAGGGGTGGTATCTTGAAGCCTCCAAAACCGCCATTTCTCTGGATTCCATGTTGTTATCGCAGCTACGCCGGATCGCGCAAATGAGATGGCACGGACCCACAAGGCTGCCCCTTTTTAGCCGATGCCAGTCGAACCTACATCTCGCCTCGCCCTCCTTCTATCCTATAAAACTCTGTCTTACTTTGAAGCCTCGCGGAATGCGTTCCATTAGTAGCCAACACCTTTAAATAAATTTGAGGAATGTACCAGCGTACGCTCCTCAGAAGCAAAGTATTGCGGCCGTTTGCCAGCCCATCACGTAGTATAACTGAATCGCGTGTGTCCTTTCTAACAACACCCAACACTTTACACGTCGTTCGACAATCGTCGCAAAGTCCAATCCCAAGACGATTTTCTAGCAATCATGCCATGATAACGACAAAGACAGGAAATGTCATACCGAGCACTGGCAATTCAAGGCTCAATGCTAAGCTCCAGGGAGGTCTTCGTATCATAAGAGAGGACATGACGTGTGCTGAGTTCCACGATTCTGTTTGGGGCTTTGTTGTAAGTACCTATTTTCCTAATTCGAAGGCATAAAATTAATTGGCGGTTATAGATCTATCGCTGCGTGGAGGGCAGCGATGCTGCGTGGAGCAGCATTCTGGAGCAGCTTGAAAGCCACATCCAGGAAAGTCTCGAGGATGAGCAACTCCAGGACCTCTTGCCATTCCATGATTTACACATCATTGACGACAAGTCGCTTTAGTAAGTCCTAACGACTTTAGACATGCCGATACTCCGTATGCTAATGACAAGTCATCAGCGGGGCATCGATTGATGAAGTCAGAGCCCATTTCCAAGCTTGGGTGCCGAAAACCCTGGAAGCTAGGCTTCGCCCAGACATCAAGTGTACTATTTCCGACGTAAGCTACCTAAGCGTAGATATCGCACCTAGATACGAATACTGTCTCGCCGTAGACGAGATATCTCTAGAGTCAGTGGAACATCCGGAAGGTGTGGGGCCTGTGGTTAAGCTGGTCTGCCGAGACTGGGAGTGCCCTTGGAGTCCCGAGGAAAAGCTTCGGGGGGTGCACCCGCCATTCCATGACGGGATCACTGAGTATGACGAGGAAGATGTGGGCTGGATGTACATGTGTCTTGTATCTTATATGGATAAATACGAGAACTTCCACGATTGGTGTTGGGATGACATGTATGTGAGACCACCGTTCATAGATGGGACCGAGGATGAGACCGATATGGTGGGCCATTGGAGGCGAAAGAAGGATGTCAACCAGGACAAGGAGGTCTCTGAAACTTGATGCTGAAGTTGAATTACGGGACACCAAACTTTAGCTCACTGGACGAATGTGGCGTAACCAATGAGTCCATGATGCCGCTAATCGATTGTGTATCACTTCCCCCTAGATCAGAAAGGTGGTCAAGTAGGCTGGTAAAGGCCGTTGATCGTTATCGCTCAATAAAATTTGGCGACTTGTCTTACCATTGCAACACCACAGTGGCGCGCGAGGACCTTCAAAATATGGACAGAACGACGAGGAGCAAAAGTTCGTAAATTATCTAGTTGCAAGGGATGGAGTGGTAGTAGGGAGGCGAAGAATAACTGAATGCGGCATGGCCAAGTGAGTCGTTTCGCACCGACGCTAAGAACAAGAGCAAGAACAAAAGCAAAGTAAACATCACAGTACCTTCAACACCCCCATTTACAAAGCAGCATAGCATGAACCACGTATATTCATTCCTATCGAAATATATAACTTAAGTCAAGTCTAACCACCAGATCTAAAACGCCCACCATGATCAATTATCTAAAGGGGCCAGCGCTCATAATAACCCGCCGACTCCGTTCACTTTAGCACGTAGCGGGCAGCTATTATTCTCATTCACGATTTTCGACAATGGCGCCTAGTGAATCCATTGAGTATGAGTGGATTGATGGGGTCGAGCGGCTAGAGGTGTACGAGCCTGGCGGCTATCAGCCTGTGATGATCAACGACTTACTGCACGATCGCTATCCAGTATTGGACAAGTTAGGATATGGTGGTTAGCCGACTATCTGGCTTTCTCATGACAGTCGACTAAAACGCTATACCGCGATCAAAGTAAATATATCGAGCCCGTCACTCCCTCGACGCGAGTCTAGTATCATACGCGCCTTATCTGGCTCAAGTTCAACTTTTCAAGCTGCCCATACAGCCATCGGTGCACGCGACGCCATACCGAGTATTTTGGATGAATTTGACATCCAAGGACCTAACGGGACCTATGCATGCTATACATTAGCTCCCGCCCAAGGGAATCTCAGAGAAGCATCATTTAGTCTCTTTCCCATTCAAGTCGCCCGGGCGTTGGCTGCCAAATTAACGACCGCTGTTTCTTTTGTCCATTCTCAGGGCTTTGTCCATGGAGGTGTGTTCATTGCTTCAACTAATGACTAGCTAAACAAAACTAAAGTAATTGTGGATATTCATCTTCGGAATGTATTGGTTAAATTCCCATCGACCTTTGATGAGCTCTCAATCGACCAGTTCCGGGAGAAATTTGGCGAGCCCGAGTTGATACCCATCAGCCGTGTCGATCGGAAACCTCTCCCGCCCAATATCCCATCCCAAGCTGTGTTGCCTCTGTACCTCGGCAAAAAGGCTCAAGAGTTCACCCTGGCGGACGCGCGGGGCCTTGTTCTCAGCGACTTTGGTGAGGCTTTTGCTCCGGCTACTGGGCAACGTCTCGGGAAGGACTGTAATACACCTTTTCCCATGAGAGCAATAGAAGCTGTTTTCGATCCCGATGCACCGCTATCATATCCATCAGACATATGGAGCCTCGGAACTGCTATATGGGAAATTTTGGGTATGAAATTCATCTTTAGCGAGTCAGAAACTAGAGATGCAATTGTGGCTCAGCAAATTGGCGTCCTGGGTTCTCGGCACTTTCCTCCAAGCTGGCAGAAATACTGGGAACAACTGATCACGGAGCAAATGGGTAAAGATGAATGAATCCCCCGCCAGCCAACGGGTTATCGCGAGGCATGGCCCCCTCTCGAGGAGGCAGTTGAGGAGTTTGTGCAAAAGTATAGAAGGAAACGAGAGGTGGCGGGGGTTTTTGGAGAGGAAGAGACGTAGGCGATTCTTAATTTAATGCGAGGTATACTAAAGTATCGACCTGAAGAACGATTGACAATAGATGAGGTGCTTAGGTCCGAGTGGATGGTCAAGTGGGCATTGCCTCAGTTGGAGTGAACCTGCTATGAGGCGACATTGTTCAAAGAATGCTCGATTCAACAACTCAATTAGAACAGGGCATACGGGTACCAAACCAGCTGCAAATACTCGCAACTAATTACGTGGCTGTTTTAAAGCTCAGAAACATCTGGTTTCGGTACTTCTATAAGGCCGTGATTAAAATAATCCAGCTGCCACGCAACCCTCTATGAGATAAAGCTTACAAACTGCTATTGCAGCTACTCTGAGATGTGTCGAAGACTATCTGAAACGAAAGTAGGGCGAATCGTTACAGGGACCCGGAGAAAAAAGGGACGAAAGAATAAAGATTTGGGAGGAGGCGCGAGGGTGAGTAAAGCGGCGAGGGGTCATGTAGGCCAGAAGGAAGTGAAGTGAGGATTTAGGATATAGTATATTCAGCCTAACTTAAGTCTGAATAGAATCTCTAGATTCTAGCATATACTATACAGCGCTAAAGATGCAAACAAAATATATAGGGTATCAGACAGATAAAAAGAAAAACCTCTCTCCCTCATGATTCTTTCTCGGAAGTGGGCGCCTCCGTCTCATCATTCGGACTAGATTCGTCAACCTCTTGTGATTCTGCTCTTTGCTTCTCCCTGGCAATTATATCCAACCTAACTCTTCGTTCCTCTCTCCATACTGGTCCCCATTTTAACTCAACCCACAACAAGGGCATCGCTGCGATGCAGACTAGAGCAATGAGGGTAAAGCACCATCCCCTTCCCATGTGTTTTATCATGATACTGACGATACCTGTTCCGGCAGCACCCATAAGGCATCTGACCAAGTTATTGGCAGCCGTGGCAGTGGAGGGGCTTTGTGGGTAGAGATCCACAACCAGCGTGCTAAGGACATTGAAGGATCCATTGATAGTGAGTCCGATGATGACCTGAAGGATCAATGGAACTGCTAAATGCACATTCTTTTCCAGGACCCATCCGTAACATAGATACGCGCTAAGGCCTAAGCCTAAGAGGGGCCAGATAAGCTCCATTCTTGCTCTCTCGATAGGGAAGTGTGCCAGATCGTCACCGTGCTTTCGGTCAATAGTAAAACCAATCTGTTTCGCCACCCTTTTGTAGTTCCGGTCTAACATAACGCCGCTCGTGAAGCTCGAAACAGCACAAGCACAACCGTACGGTAAATAGCAAAGTCCAATTTGAAGATCGTTGAAGTGATATATCTCTTGGAATAGCTGAGGAGTTGAAGCCACGATATCCAAGAATGCCGTATAGAGTAAGGAATTGTAGATCAATATTAGTGCCATATCCTTTTCCATGATTATATGTATAGTCTTGAGAGGATTTGGAAAGCGGAGTTTCCGAGCCCGAGCAAGCTCATCTTGCTGACGGTGTCGCCCCTCCGCGGTAGCAGATCTCGAAAGACCATCGGACGACTGTTCTTCTTTTCTAAGACGATACCACTCGAGCACGGTCATGTTCCACCCCTGGGGAGGAACTGAGCCATTTCCCACGACATTGCGACCGGTTTCGGGTACTGTGAGGGCATAGGGGAACAGGAAACAGCCGCCAATAATGACGAGAAACCAGAATATAGCCCGCCAGCCTAGAAATTGAGAAAGTAATCCGCCAATAACTGGAGCTAAAGCGGGACCGACCATTGTCCCAGCCCCAACAATCCCCATGTATTTCCCACGATCCGCGCTCGTTGAGATATCTGCAACGACGCCGTATCCTAAGGCAATAGCACCGCTACTTCCTGTACTTTGTACGCAGCGCAGAATAAATAATGCAGCATAGCTGTCTTGCAACGCGAGTCCAACATTAGCACCCATGTAAATGATGAAAGCGAGGATATAAGCTGGCCGCCTGCCTGCCATATCTGCTAAATCCCCGAAAACTGTGGGAGCCAGTCCTTGAAAAATCATGTAAGACGTGATGGTCAAACTGATGAGCTCGGTTGAGACGCCCAGGTGGGCTTGAAGAGAATTGAGGGCGGGAAAATAGATGCTGGCAGACGTGGGAGAGGTAAACGCAGCCAATGTGACCATAAGAACGATATATCGCTTCTTCCAGTTGCTGAAAGCAGAGTAGACGGGTCCAGTAGCGACAGGCGCCAACTGTTCGAGGTCCCGTTCGCCATCTTGGTCTACACGAGCCTGAGTCTCTAAAGGGGCCTCCAGTCGATGCTGGATGTTTGCGGGGGTTGGGGATGGCATTGATTGATATTCTGCATCTCGGTGGCTGCCACTATTTTGAGGGGTCTTAAATTGCCTTGTTTTTTCAAGCTCTTCGTCTTGTTTTTCTGCTTGCGCCATAAAAGCGGGTGAAACGCTTGTGTAGTATATACTGTATTGCGGCAAAGTATGAAATGCAGCACTAAAGCAACGATGAAGCAGAATGGAAAGAAGCAATGAAGCGCATCGTATCCCACTTATCGTATATATATCACATACTGATTTTCGTACAGGCTTGCAGCACACCCTACCATCATCGACTTATTCCCATTAGTACCCGTCAGCACGACTAGACCATCTCGGCACTGAATCCCGAGTGTGCGATAACGGATCTTCGAACATGACGTCGGGGCTTGGACGGGCAAACCAGGAGAGGGAGAATAAATTCATGATGAGCAATCGTCTACTGATTGATAGGCGCTCATGGGATGTTCGTGAGGCAATGTGTTGGGCAGATAAAATAATATACTGAGAGGAGAAGTCTCAACGACGACACTGCTCTGAGAAATCAGCCGGCAGAATCTCGGGAGCTGGCTGTCCAATGCGCCACATACTCTAGCCACACAGCCACATCAACGACTGGGATCAAGTTCCGACCAGCAAAGCTTCGAGTGCCTGGGACTGAGGTGCTACGCCATTCCATAAAGCTCTCGAATTTATTCAACCTTCATGTTACCCCAGTCTCCAGTCCAACTTGGAGGCGGACTTTATCTAATCTGCTGAGGCCTGTTGGTCGGATTGCGAATTATTCAAGTGTTCCAGAACCGGGGAATCCAGCTCTACCACCATGACCGACCTCACACCTGTCCTCAATGAGCTCCTGAAGGGCCATGATGCCCCGCCCACTGCGAAGCCGTCTTTGACTCTCCAAAACATTGACGAGTTCCTTAAGGAAGCATACCGAATAGTAAGTATTTCCGGTCATTAATTAGCCTTCCGCTCAACTAACCATTCCGTGGATAGAACTCACATATTACAACTCTCCATGCCTACCTCCGAAATATACGGCAGTCCTATCTTTCCACTGCACCCCCGCCGAGACGCACACATCTAGCAAAAGACACACAATGGAAATACCTAACAGACCGCCAAAGGGAGGAAATCGATGCCGAGACTAAACAGTTATTGCGCGAGCTTAATGCAAGCATTCGAAATTTAGCAGAAGCGGAACAACTACGCCAGGACACTGACTCTACCGTCACACGCAAGAAATATGCGCGCTTAGGCCTGGGGGCAATTGGGAGTTGGGCTGCAGGAGGAGCAGGGCAGACGAAATCCTCGGAACAGGAGCTGGAAGAGGCGCGAGCCAACACGATCAGTGGGCATCGAGAGAGCGTTCTATGGTATCTACGGCAGAAATTACAGGCATGTGGAAGCTTCCAGGCGTCGATGATGGAAAAGCGGATAACGCGAGAGATGGAGAAGAACAAGAGTGTGCTGGCCAATTCTAGAGCTGGCCAGATGCCAGAGCTTGGTGGTTTCTCAGACGGCGGGTCTGTCCCTCTGTCGAAGCACCAAGCCAGCACTGCTGCCCATCATATAGAGAGCCAAGAGCTGGATCCGGAGCAGGAGTTAACCCCTGAGCAGATTCAGGTGTTTGAGAAGGAGAACCAGGATATGCTGAAGCATTATGAGTCTACCTTGGTCCAAGTCCAGTATGTCGGAGTGCACCACCCCGAAATTGAAATGCCGTGTCAACTAACCCACGCGCAGGACTGCTGAAAAGTCACTTGTTGAAATCGGCCAGCTACAGGCACAACTGGTGAACAACCTCGCCACGCAATCAGCGCACGTCGATCAGTTGGTATCTGATTCGTTCCTCACAACAGAGAATGTTGGGGGTGGCAACAAACAGTTAAAGAAGGCCACGGAGCGGAAGAGTACTGCAAAATATGTATTTTATGCTTCATGCGGGCTCAGTGCATTTTTAGTAGTTTGGGATTTGATTATATGATGAAGATATACCAGGTTCATCTTGGGGGCGCAGAGGTCGGGCTTGGGAGATGGAGATTGCGAGTCCTGAATAGTTACTCGGTACTCGGTCTCTCGGCATGGACGAGCAGGTGATGAATGGGAATGACAACACAAAGCGCTTGTGACTAGTGGAATACAACAAGCATTTTACTTACTACCCCTAATCATAATCGGACATTGGAACGTTTAAATATCAAGTTCGTCATATGCGGTTCGGAGCGTGCGCGTTCCTGGTAAGTTTGTGAAAGTACTAGAGACCGTTGCCGTCACATGGGGCCTTTATTCTGGGGGACCTCGGGTGCACTAATGGTAAACCGATGGAATGGAGGGTCCCCGGGAAGGGCACCAAAACATACCTTATAACGTCATGTAGCCCAGAGCAATATCGATACACTGTACATACATATGCATACTATATTTTAATATACATTTAAGCCTTCCAGAACCTCCAGAACCACCAGAATCACCGGGAATTGCTGCACGAGTCCGACCTCTCTCCACGACTCGGATTTTATTCACTAAGGCTCGCTTGGCCGCTGCATCACCCCACGCTATGTCACCCCATACTTCCCCACAGAATTCGAGCTCAGTCTTCAAGTCAAACTCAAACTCAAACTCAACCAAAAACAACTCCACAGGCACCCCAAACAGAAGATTGCAGAATATCACCGCACACATGTCTCCCTCAAATACAACAAGCTTCGGCGCCAATGCCGTGCCCCAAGCTCCCGAAGATCCCCTCTTCGGGCTAATGGCTGCCTATCGAGCAGACACCAATCCCCAGAAAGTAGATCTTGGAATTGGAGCATACAGAGATAACGATGCAAAGCCCTGGGTTCTCCCCGTGGTCAAGAAGGTAATTGCCATCCATAGCCCATTCAAGATTGAAATCCAAAAAGACTGTGCTGATTCTATATATTATATCTAAGGCCGACGAGATTCTTCGAAATGACCCCGCTCTAAACCACGAATATCTCCCTATCGCCGGCCTCGCATCCTTCACCTCTGCCGCCGCAAAGTTGATTCTAGGCGCCTCATCACCGGCCATTGCAGAGAAGCGCGTGTGCAGTCTGCAAACCATCTCCGGCACAGGAGCCGTCCATCTCGGCGGAGCCTTCCTCTCAAAATTCTACCCCGGAAAGCCCACCGTCTACTTCAGCAACCCAACATGGGCGAACCACAACCAAATCTTCTCCAATGTACATATTCCCATCGCCACATACCCCTACTTCTCCAAGGAGACAAAGGGTCTTGATTTCGAGGGCATGAAAAAGGCCATTTCCGGAGCACCGGAGCGCAGCATCATCCTACTGCACGCCTGCGCACACAACCCCACTGGTGTTGACCCCACACAGGACCAATGGAAGGAACTCGCCGAGATCCTGAAGCAGAAGTCACATTTCCCCTTCTTCGACTGCGCATACCAGGGTTTCGCCTCAGGCGATCTTGCGAAGGATGCTTGGGCAGTCCGCTACTTCGTCGAGCAAGGCTTCGAGCTCTGCATTGCGCAGTCCTTCTCCAAGAACCTCGGTCTCTACGGTGAGCGTGCTGGATGCTTCCACTTTGTTACCAACCCAGGAACCGACGCAGAGACGACGGTTAAGAGAATTGCATCTCAGCTCGCTATTCTACAACGGTCTGAGATCTCAAACCCCCCCGCCTACGGAGCAAGAGTTGCAAGCTTGATCCTGAACGACGAGGCGCTGTTCAAGGAGTGGGAAGAGAATCTGCGGACTATGTCCGGCAGGATAATCACCATGCGAGATGCGCTGAAGAACAAGCTACAGGAACTCGGTACCCCTGGGACCTGGAACCATATCACGGATCAGATCGGCATGTTCTCATTCACCGGCTTGAACGAGGCGCAGGTCTTGAAGTTGAGAGAGGTAGCCCATATCTATATGACCAAGAATGGCCGCATCAGTATGGCGGGCTTAAATACTAACAATGTCGAGTATTTTGCCAAGGCGGTGGATAAGGTTGTGAGGGAATCCCAATAGCCATCTTCAAGGATGTAAAGAGATAAATGAGGGGCTCGTGTTTGCTAAGAAGATGTAGTTAGGATGGTTTAGACAAAAGATATCTGTCCTGTAACTTTAGTATAAACTCAATTCACCTCCAAACCCATTCGATGTGGAATAGTTGTCTATAATTTGCAACTACTTGTTGGAGATATGGTGCTATGGTAGTTAGTTGACTCCCCTGCACCCTTGCCAATGGATAATAAACGTGCCATAGCTCAATGTCCTGAATATAGAGAGTAAACTCTTTTACGACTGAAGTATTTCTTCAGCATATTTGAGACATTGAGTCTCAATAACCCCTCAACACGCCAACTCAGGGGCAAAACCAAAAACCAACCTATCCCATCCCCCGCCCACCCCTCCTCTACTTCCCCCCAGCAGCCTTCTCCGCAAACCCAGGATTCAACCCCAAGGTCCTCGCCTCACTATCAACAATAAACGGAATCTCATCCCTCAAACTCCTCCCCTCAGGCTTCCACCCCAAATACTTCCTCGCCCTCCTCGCAAAGCCCCTAGAATTCAATCCCCAAGACAGCGCCTCGAAACCCGCAGTAACCTTCGCATCCTCCGGCGTCATAACTATACACTCCCGCTCTTTAATATACCCCTTCTTAAACGCATCCTCAGCCACAGCCTTAGAAATCTCGCCCCACACATGATGCCCGTTCTCCGCGAGGAAATACCCCTCCCTGCCCCAGAGCTTCGCGTCCATGCTCGGGTCATTCTTAACAGCAGCTTCGACGAGCAGGACGAATAGCGCGGAGAGGTCGTGGAGGTGTACGTTATCCCACTGCGATAGACCTGTCCCCAGCTGTGGAGCCTGGCCTCTCTGGAGCGCGATTTTCACAAGGTTGTAAACCTGTCGACTTCTCTGGTTCACTGGTCCTCGGCCTGGGCCGTATATAGTGGGCGGGGACACGATTGCCGTTTTCGTAGCATCTGAGGATGCGGCGAGTACGATCTTGTCGATATCTCGGTGGAATGCGTGGTCCGGGAGGGAAGTCAGTGCAGAGACGTTCTCGAGATCATCGTACGGCGGCTGCGAAGGCGATTCCCCGAACGTTCCTGTCTCCGTGTCTTTCCAAGTGAGGATTCCTGTACCAGACGTATGGATCCAGAACCCGGGCTTCTCCTTCGTATGGCCAGCTGCTAGACCTTTGGCGATTGCTGTAGCTGCCCCGACATGGTCTGAGGAATCCGCGGTATCTGTATATGTACGTATCAGTAATCTGTCTAGTAGCTTTTCCGAGGGAAACAATCCCTAGGTAGGTACCGTACTTACGAAGAACGATATCAGCCCTAGCACTCTCCTCCTCCAGCACACTCGAGTCATCCAATGTCCCATACACAAGCCGTATCTTCGGATACGCAGCTGCTACCGGGGCGCCTTTCTCTGAGTCCCGCACCAGCGCGCTGTATTCATACTCCGGATGGGCTTTTTCCAGCGCGTAGAGCGCGTCGCCGCCAATGTATCCTGTTACTCCAGTGCTAAATAGGGATATCAATAATATATCCAGGAAAGTTTGTAGGGCTAGGTTACTCCATATATATCAACTTACATGAATATCTTTGGCGCCATATTTGTCTGCTTTTTTGAATAAGTCCAATGTCTAATTAAAATAATAAACTTCAATGGGATTCTGTACTTTGTTGGCCCATTAAATAATTTATTTGTTCTTTGCTTGTATAAGTCTTCCCAACAGGAGTGGGGTCAAGCTTGATTTATCAGCTCCTGGCGGTGGTCATTTCGTCATACGCAATTAAAACCGGGGTGCGGGGCAGTACTCATACTTGAGATCACGATCGTGTATTATTAATATGAGTTGACGACATTTGGAATATAAGTTACAATAAGTACATCGCAGATTCCTCAATTATTAACCTGATTATAAAAAGAAACAACAGCATATAAGAATTCAGGCTTAATAATATATATATATTGTACATTCCCTGAGTTGATTAATTATTCATCCTCACCACTCACTAACCAACCTTCTTCTTCCATACATAATACAAGCTTACAATTTTCATATTATCACTCTTAAAATCCAAGCTCATGAAAAATATTTCTTTGAAATTAATATATACGTTTTCCCCGCCCCAACAAACTATAAACACAAGCCCCTACCTATACCCTCACAAAAAACATCCCGATATACAAATTCTCCCCCCTGCCCGCTATTTATCAAAAGAAAAAGGTATTTGTCCGACGCGAGAGCTGGTACGTAAGGGGCGGATTTTTATTTTTGGTATAGCAGGAATAGGTAAGGTACATACAACCGCGTCCCCTGGGGAATAAAATGACTGGGAATGGAAATGAGATGAAATGCATAACCCGTGAAGAAACGCCCACGCATGCCAAATGGATATGGAGATATGCCTTTATTTATGCCAATCATTCTTCGTCAGATTCTTCCTCGGCGACCTAGGATATATTAGTTAGTATTTGGGTGTGTTAGGTTTCAAGGGGGGGAGTGGTGCTTACATCATCGTGGAAGGTCTTGCCCTCTGTTGTGGGCTTGATCATGCCAATGCGGATGACGAAATCGCCGAAATGCTCGCCTTCCTGGCGTTCTACGGAATACCTCTTCAGCAGGGGCTTCATGATCTCGAGGATCTCGTCTTCCTTGATGCTGCTTCGGTATAGCTTGTTGAGACGCTGGCCGTGATAACCTCCACCTAGGTACATGTTGTATGCGCCAAAAGCTTTCCCGACGAAGGCAACTTCTGCCAACCAAGGCCTAGCGCATCCGTTGGGGCAACCTGTCATTCTCATGACGATAGACTCTTGTCTTAAGCCATTCTCCTCGATCACACCCTCTAGCTTTGTGATCAATTCTGGCAAGTATCGCTCACTTTCGGCCATGGCAAGACCACAGGTTGGGAATGCGACACATGCGGAGGATGAGAGACGAAGACCAGAGAACTGGTAATTGTCGAGCTTATACTTGGCCATCAACTGCTTCATCTTGGGCATATCTGCATCTGCGACATTGCTGAGGATCAAGTGCTGGTTACCGGTCAAGCGGAACTCTCCCTTATGAACCTTTGCAATCTCCCGAAGACCGGTCTTCATCTGGAAATCAGCTGTATCCTCAATGCGACCATTCTCGATGAAGTATGTGAAGTGGTTCAAGCCCGTCTCGTCCTTTTGCCATCCGAAAGTATCGATGTTGCTCTGGAACTTGAATGGTTTCGCCTTGTCGAATTTCTGTCCCCATATTTCCTCAACCTTGCCACGGAATACATCGACACCCATATCGTCGATGGTGTACTTCAGCCGCGCGTGCTTGCGGTTCTTACGGTCACCGTGGTCACGTTGGACAAGCATTACTTTCTCGCAAGCAATATGCACTTGCTCCTTTGCGACGTAGCCGAGCATGCTACCAGTTCGAGGATAGGTCTTCTTGTTGTTGTGCGTCACACCCATACCACCACCAGCAAGTAGGTTAAACCCTGCCAGATTACCATCTCTGCCCTTGATAGCGATGAGACCGATATCGTGCGCATAAACATCAGTATCGTTGTGGGGAGGGATAGCGATGGTGATCTTGAATTTTCTTGGTAGGTAGGTGGGGCCATACAATGGCTCAAAGTCCTGAACGGCGTTTCCGGCAATCTGGGTCTTCTTGTCGTTCTCATCCTTCAGCCAGATCTCATGGTATGCAGTTGTTGCTGGCAGCAAGTGATCAGATATCTTCTTCGACCATGAATACACCTCCTTGTGATACTTTGAAGCTGTTGGCAGACTGCTGCACATAACATTTCGGTTGACATCACCACAAGCTGCGATGGTCGTCATCAAGGCTTGGTTGATAGCTTTCATGGCTGACTTGAGATTATGCTTGACAACACCGTGGAACTGGAATGTTTGACGGGTTGTCAGCTTCATAGTCTCGTTTCCGAAGCTGTTGCTGATGTCGTCCATCTGGATCCATTGCTTTGGAGTCGAAACACCACCGGGTAATCTACACCGGATCATGAAAGAGTACGCGGGCTCAAGACCTTGTGCCTTGCGCTCATCGCGGAGATCACGATCGTCTTGCATGTAGGTTCCATGGAACTTGGTCAACTGTTGATCAGATGCAGAGATTGCTGCGGTTGTCGTATCCTTGAGACCTTCTTCAATAGTACCACGTAAGAAGTTGGACTCGATCTTGATATCCTCGTTGGTGATTGGGGGTGGCTCCTCTGGTAAGCCTTCGACCTTGTCAACACCAAGTGCTTGCCAAATGAGCGGCTCCCAGGTTTGGTAACCAGTCTGGTATGCATCCGGATCTTGATCATCACCAAGACCAATATCTGCAAGGCGCTTTGCCCCGAGATTGGACATGATACGATCAAGGTCCTTTGCTGGCTTGTTGTAGTAGTGCTTATCCTGCTTGCGAGGCCAGTAATGGCTGTCGCCAAGGGCGAAGATGGAGTAATTGACAGAGGCAAGATCAAGCTCGGTGTTGTCCTTGATTGCATCCCAGAATGCGCGGCCATTTTGAGGGAACTCACCCTGTCCAGCGGTACTGGAGAGAATGACAATGTTCTCCTCGGTCGGCAGGTCCTCGATGGGGTAGTCCTCCATCGCCATGACGATGGTTTTCAGGCCCCGTGCCTTACCCCTGTTACCTAGACGTTTTGCAAGTGATTCCGCATTGCCGCCGTCCGAAGCAAACAGGATGGTCAATGGTGCACCAAAAAGGCCCTCGAGAAGCTGGGCATAAGCGTCCTTTGCATTTCGCTTTTGCAGTGCCCGAACTTCAGAACCGTAATCCTCGGACAAATGAGAGGAAAACTCCGGGTGGCTCTTCATTAAGAGAGTGAGATGGTTGTCACGAGCTAAGAAGTCCTTAAGCTCATTCTTGATGCGCTCAGAATCCAACGAAAAATTTGGCTCGCTTCGCGCCTCATTTTGAGGATTCCATCTATACAATGGCCAATATCCGAGATCGACAGCTTTCTTGGTCTCTTGAAGGACGGTCAACGGAGAGTCGGTCTCCTTGAAATACGGCAGGTATGCTACCACCACAGATGGCCCGTCAAATTGATCTGCTTCGATCATCGCTTGCAGGACTTGGGTGTATGAACTGTACACAGCGACCGAGGCAACATATGCATTTCCATAATTCATGGCATACAGGCCAATATCCTTCTTTCTCCGTGCAGCGTCAGCAGCGGATCGCTCAGAGTATGGTGTAGAATCGATGATGAGGGTGTTGATATTCTCGCCAGAAGCGATGACATGGTGAACCCCAGAGTTACCGAGATCGTAAGCCCACGCATCCGATCCGACAAGCCAGCGAGATTCCTTGCGGAAAAGACCTTGGTTTGAGAGAAGCTGCTTCGATAGCGGAGAACCACTGGCCTCAAGCTTAGCAATTATTTGGTCTGCTAGCTCATTGGCCTTCTTGTCGTCTTCAACGCTCGCTGCCCAGTTTGAGAGCAAAGATTTGAGCTCTTCTGGGATAGCGGTATTTGAGCTTGCAACAGCGGTTTGAACCTCACGGATGAATTTTTGACGGTGCTCTTTTCTAGCGAGAAGAGAACCAAACCCAAATTCGGGAGTTGAAGCAAGTTCAGGTGAAATCCCGGCATTCTCCTTGCCAATCGCATTGGCAAGGTACAGTCGGTTGCCAAATATTTGGTCCAAAATTTTCATGTACGCTGACTCGACTTTTGGTTGCGAGAAATCCTGAACTTGGGATGATTCAGGTCCATGCGGGTTTCCAACTTCGAGATTTTGAAAGGGCTTTTCTGACTTCAGGTTCTGGAAGACGCCACGGAGAGCTTGTCCAACGGTATCTGCGGTAATGTAACCCAATTGATGACCAACAATCGTCTCAACACCACCTCCAGGGCTCGCTTTTAGCGTCGTAAGCAGGTCTAGGAGTAAAGGACCCCATTTGGTTGTCTTTCTTCGAATTTGTTCCAGAACTGCCACCCGCTTGATGGACTTGGGAATTGTCGCGATGAGTTTCGACCCCAACCAAGGCCGGTATAGTCGAACAGTGACAACGCCAACGTTTGCATAAATTTCGCCAGGCTTGGCGGCATCAATTGCCTTCGCAAAAGCTCCCACGTCGGAACCGAAAATGAATACTGCATCCTCGGCGTTTGACGGGCCGGAGTATTGGAAAGGTGTATATTCTCTGCCCACGGTCTGCTTGAGCTGAGCCCATATGGCAGAGACGAAGTTGTAGACGTCGTCTGAGCTGATTGGCCGTACCGTGGCGTTTTCCACTGTCGTCGCGGAAGAAATGGTCGCCTTGCTCTCAACGCTGCTTTCCCGCTCGGATTTTAAGGAACCGACTGAGGAAGCTTTAGATGGAAGCTCCGAGGCAATGGTTTCCACTGCCAGGCTGGAAGCACCCTCAACCCCGGTCATTGGCGTAGTCTGTGTAACCCCCTCCGTAATGGTAGCCACTCTTCCATCATCGGCGTATATGCTGGTACCGCCAATTCTGCTGCTCTGGAATGCTTTCACCGCACCCAGATTCAAAATTTCCTTTACAACCTCGGCATCCTCAAAAGGAATGTGATTGTCCTCGGCGGAAGACAGGGCATCGAAGAAGTGAATAACACCCTTGCCGGACTTGATTGCGAGGGCATGCGCAGTCAATGCAATGTCCTGGGCCTCTTGCAGCGTCTCTGACTGTAGGAAGGTAAAGCCGGTATTTCGGATTGCGGTGATGGATGAATAATCGGCATAGTGGGCTGGGTGCAGCGAGACGTGAATGACGACAGGGAGGGCTGCTAGTCGGTAGAGGTGAGGTACCGAGGCAACGAGGATCGAGGAGGTGGTAGTGACGGATACGAGCTTGCCATTGCGGATTGGGGTGAAGACTGATAATAATGGATCTGCGTTGCTCCGGACTGTTTGGATCTAAAGGGCAGGTTAGCTTGTGTGCTTCCCCCGGTTTGCGCTGGTACTGACCTCGGGCACGCCGTTCTCGGTGCCTGCTACTATACTCTTGTCGTTGCGGGCAGCGTATCTGTATAGATGCGAGGAGAACTCGGAGTCAATGGACTGGGCGGGCTGAACGGATATAATGGTGTCACTGGACAGATATGCAATTCGCGCCACTATGGGTACCAGGAAAGAGAGGGTTAGTAATGGCTACTGGAAGGAGATATGGATATTGAGAAGAGTGTAGCCAAACATACCTGCCTCTCCAGGAGAGCGGATCTTCAAGGTCGTCGCCATGGTGTTAGTGTAGTGAGTGTCCCCAGACGGCGAGGAATGTGAGGGAGGATGGGGATGAGGGTGAAGATAGAGAGGAGGAGGGAGAGGAAGAGGGAGAGGAGAGGAGGAGGAGGAGGAGGATCAGGAGGAGGTAAAGAAGAAAAAGAAATCGAGTCCTCGGCAGTAGTCCGAATACCAAGAGCAGCCAAAGACAGAGAGGCAATGGCAATTGGCAATGGCAGCAGCAATTGGCAGAAGCAAAAGGCTGTCGGCGTGATTTTTCTGCTTGGGTGTGTGTCTTCAGTGACCGTGACAGTATAACAAGTAAAAGCGCTACTCTACTGTCGCAACCGGCCGGCATGTAAACAAGGGCGCTCCGGCGCCGGCGTGGGGTTATTAGCCAGCAGCTGGTTTTGCAGCGGGAAGAACCCCATCCAGCGCTGTAGATACGCTGTAGACACGCTGGACAGACGCTGTAAGAGCCTACGCAGAGCCCCCCAAGTGCCCTTCAACTCCGGGCGTGACGCTATTGCAATGGTGGGGGATGCGGGGGGGCCAGAGAAACTGTCAGCCAGCGCCCACCAATAGCATCGCCGGGAAATGTCAGTTCCTGCGCATCGCTGAGCACGCAATTCGCTGGGCGCACCCTGCGTGGGCTGATGCGGCGACACCGCGCAATAAGGCGACATATCACGCGGTGCGCTGGCTGAGTCAACAAGGGCTTCCAGAGCCCGGCGGCGGGAGAGTCTAGACGGTCTTCTTTGTAATGTTGCGTCTAACCGTCTACCTGTCTACCTGTCTACTTCTTGGTCTGCTTTGCATTTGACCACGCTTCGTTCTCTCCAAGACATACTGCATAGGTACAGTACAGCACAGTACAGTACATGTACATGTACCATGCTCCTGGTATTTGGAATAGGCCACATATTATTAATTAAATGAGGATCCTACAGTGAGCGGAATGATCAATTGATGATTAGTTAGACGACCTCGTGGGACAGAGTATGTACTGGACGTAGTACCTATCTATAATGGGATGAGCTCGGTACCTGGGTACCTGTTAGTGAGTGACTGGTAGCCCTGGACGACAGCTTGCTTGCTTCCCCAATACTTCGTGCAGACCAATTCGTGTAGTAGGTACCAAGTAATATATTGTCCAAGAGGGTGCCCTTCTATATCATTGACTTTCTCCAGATCATTCATTACGTAGGTACATAGCTAAAGGTAGGTATATATTATATGCTCGCTCTACATCATTCATTACATATGTATAATATCTCCATATATACGACTCCCCAAAGAACTCCCCGCCATGGAGTAGCGTCGCTCAAGGAACGACCAGAAAATGTTCCCCTGTCGCCTACCCAAAAACGCCCGCGGGCAAAATGCCCAGGTATTCTATTCCACATGGTCCGAATATTGCCCTCCCTTCCGCTACACAGCCAGCTGGTATCGTGCATTATCCTACTTCCCCGGTCGTTGTGGAGCGGGCGGCCCTGTCCCGCTTCTCGCCCTCCGTTCCCTCTCGAAGGTGCCTGGCGGTCCGCTGGCAATCCGCGCCGATTTGAATCTCCCATCGACGCCCTTGACCCAGGAGTCGTCCGGCTGCCCTCCCAGCCAGTAGCTCTCGCCGACCTTGACCATGATCCTTCCCAGCTTCCCCCTCCAGCCTTGGCCTTCCGACCTTCCAACCGCAAAAGGATTATCCGCGAGAGCGTCGGCATCCCCGTCGTTGTCGTTGTGGAGGTGTATTTTCGAAGCGGAGGAACTATACATGCGTTGCCGTATAACTTGCCTCGCAAATGCCATCACAATGAGGATGAAGTACACCCGGATCAGCGTGAACACTACCACGAACATGACGCTCGTGATGCCCTCCTCGATTACTATCCCATGCGCAAGACTTGGGCCCGCAGCAGTCGCTGCCGCGGCCCTTGCACCCATCGCAGCAGCTTCTTGGCCCTCCTCGGCTTCCGAGGCGTTATACTTCGGGCTCGTAAAACCGGCGGTATCATCGATCGTCCCGCTCCCCGGCGCACTCCCGGGGATATTGGAGTTGGAGTTATTTGCGCTAACAGCGAGGAACCAGGTGAAAGCAAACGCAGCGGTGAAAGCCGTATTGATAATGGTATCGAAGATATACAGCCATGCCAGCGCTAGACATTGGAATGGATCCTGTTTGCGGATGTGCGGTGCCAGCATGGCAAGGACGATGACGGCTGCAACTGAGTAGAGGTACATCGATAGTTGAAGGGGCGATAATCGGAGGCCTGCGAGGATGGCGAGAAGTCCGAAGAATCCAGTAACCTTATTGAATATCATCGACAGCGATATCATCTCCACCCCCGTGCGCAGACTGAAGAAATAAAGGAAAGTCTGTTAATTCAGCCCATTAGCATATTTTTCCCTCTCGTCCTGCCCTGCCCTGCCCTATCTCTCCGATCAAGAAACTCTCCAAACCCTTAAAAGGGGCCGAAACGTGCAAAGGGGAATTTTCCACTTACTCGGGGCCGCGGAACCCGTAACCGTAGCCATCGTGGTAAGAGGGCCATTTTCGGAGCTCTATGCAGCAGCTATATTTCGCAGTATTCCCAGCAACAAAGGCTTTTCGAACGATTGCTATGGCGAGAGGAGAGGAGGAAGTTGTCGTTGAAGAGAAAGGAAGGCGCCCGGCTTCCTCGGACGACGCGTACTATCTTGGTACATGGATAGTTTCTTGGCGTACAATTTGCCTCCGGCATTGGCAATCGCGTGTCAGTACGAAGTACTTTTTCGTAAGATTTCAATTTCATCACCCCGTTTCCGAGGAAGATGCGACCGTATACCCCTACAATCAAATAGTACGAGTCCGAATGGTTCACCTGCTCCATGGTCGGAAACTTGGTGAAACTTGGTGAAACTATTTTGAATGATCGAGCTCAAATACGTAATATGACTTTGCGTGCACAACACGCTACCCACAGGCACATCGCGGGAATGGATTTCATACCGGGCGAAATCATGGCTGATCTGGGGGTCTATACTGTTAATGGCATGCTTTTATGGAAATTTTACCATTTTCTACGTGCCACCTTTTCCTTGCGACTTGTAGATTATGTGCTCGCCGACGATCTATCATAAAGAGAAACTGTAAAATTTTGATTGTTCTATGGTTCTATTCCATCGACGACAAAAGAAATCCCAATAATGATCGTTACTTGGCTAATGTTACGCCTTGAAAATCCACCTGATAACTGGGCCCAACGAATAGTTTGAAAACAAAACTTCTTTTAGAGTAGTCTATTCTCCACAAACGCGTCTCGCCTGAGCCATACCGTTGGAAGTCTACGTAGCAGCGCGACAGTTCCACCCGTTTATTCTTCTTTCTTCTTGTTCTTTGGTACTCGGAGTAGCCAATAGAGGAAAAGAGCACCGAAAACGTTGAAGACGATATACACCAACATAAGGCCAAAGTTTCTCCATGCCTCGCTGAAAGGAGCGTTCACAGTCTTCAGAAAAAAGTCTGCGGTATGGTACGTGCAAAATTTACAACTGTCGACGGCCTCTGGGTCCAGTAAATAGCCAGTTCCTGTTCTTGACATAGACGTTCCCATATACTCCCCGCAAGTCATATTCGCTGGGGATTCGAAAGTGAGATATTCGTTGGCAGCGTAGACGACCGGCGCTTCAGACACGGTGGTGGAAAGCATGCCGCTAACGAGATGCGTGAGAGGCGAGGCGCGGTACATAAATATCCAGAACCCTGGCAGGCTTGAGGGCGAACAAGGACGCTGGAAAAGTGATATGCGTTAGGTAAAGGTTGTTTCTTAGATTCAAAGTTGAACCTACCCGCAGAATATCAGGTACAATATTCCTTCTTTATATAGTAAGAAACTTTATATGCTAAAATAAATATATTATTTAAAAGCATTGAATTTCTCATTTATATTATTTAAATTTATAGTTAATTAGATATTATTCTTTAGTTATTTCTTTAACAAAATTTAATCTCTAATAATATTTATTTCTATATAATAAAAAGTAAAAGTAATTTAATTTAACTTAAATTGCTTAAACTAAAGAACTGGAAAGTTAAAGTTAAAAGTAAATTCTAATTTTCGAATTAAGAATTAATATACAGTAAAGAAAGTTATTTAGTAATAAAATTATTTATAAAGAAGTAAAAGAAAGAAGAGTTAATTAATATATTATATAATAGAAACATTATATAAACTAGTTACTCTTTTATAAGAAAAATAATCGGCGAGTTATTATATATATATTACTTTACTTTACTTGAATAGTTATATAGCTTTAAAGACTACTTAGTAGTTATAGCTACGAATATATATTAGCTAAATTTAAGTGCTATATAAAATAGTACCAATATAAATATAAATCGAGGTTCTAATAGTAAGGGAAGAGCTACGAAGAGGATATTTGGTGAGATCGTGAGGTTGAGAGTGGGAGAGGCGCTTTATTACTACAATCGTTATTTGAACTTGAATAGTAGCAGCACGGTAGAGACATTAGACTCGGCACCGAGTCTATAAAGACTAGAGTTAGGAATAGGTTGATAGAAGACGGAGGAAAGAGTGTAATGGCAAATTAGCAAAAATGAAAACGCGGACGACCAATGCAATACTCAGTTGACTTGAGTCAAAACGACTGTATAGTATAGTAAGATCACCGGAGGGTTCTGTCGGTTATTCGTGAACGAAGAATACGAGCTGCTGGTTCGGTTTGTAGGGCTAGGATAAAGCCTAGCAACATGATTTTAGCAATTGTGTACATTAGAAAGGACGGTAACTATAGTGGAGCGATTTCTTAACTGCGAACCTGATTCAAGGACTTGGAATGATGCAGAATTCTGGAGTGCCGTGTGGGATTTGGTCTCATGGATAAAGACCACTACCCCGCCAACTACTTTCCTCGATAGCAGGTTGTTCCTCGACACACTATCACTTTTTGCGACGCGATCTGCTAAGCCCGGTTGGTCAATTTCGCCTATTGACTAATCGGACCCTCCAATTGGTCAATATACCACCCCATACCTCAATTTCTCCCCATTAACCAATATACCACCCTATTACTCAATATATATTGACTTCTAGGGTAGTATATTAAAGGCATATTGATTAATAGGATTATCAATCATAGCCTGTTAGTTAATATAGCGATCAGTCAATTAGGGGGGCTTTAAGGGGCTTAAATCACGGGATCTCCACTTCCATGTACAAAAATCACAGGATCTGCACTTCCAGGAAAATAGTTAGTTTTACCTTTAGATTAATTCCAAATACTCTTATTCTCTAGAAAATGATAGTTTGTTAATAAATAATACTATACTTATCATCAAATTCTAGTCAAAGTACAACTTTGTAATTCATTTCCACTTATTTATCCAAATCAATTATTTTCCACCCCCACTTATATATACCAATATAGCTTCCACTTCCACTTCCACCCCCCCTTTTACTCCACGTAACAGGGTATACGGCCGCCATGATCAATATATTAATATTACTAATCTATTAGTCTATACCTCAGGCACTTCCTTTCTCCCCTCCTCCCCAGAGGCTCCTGCTGGCCAGGAGAAAGCAGATAATTGGTCAGCAGAGATTGAGGAGGCCTAGGATAAACGCTTTGCTCAAGGAGAATCAAAGAAAGTTCTTACTAGCTGTAAGCGGTACGACTACCGTTGGTATTTGGAGAACCCAAAAGTAGGGCTTCAAGGGCTCTCCAAAAAGGAAAAGCAGGAGGAGATTAATACAAAGTACTATTGTTTAGATAACTTTGAGCTTCAAAAAAGTCAAATCTATCGTCGGGGTGGGGTGGATAAGTCAGGTAATCTATACCCTGCAAGGTATACTGTCTGTTACTCAGATACTTTTGAAATTATCTGTTCTATATACGAAAAATTATTACATTATAGTAAGTTGTAACTTTATATATAAACTCTATACTAATAATAAATAGAAGTCAAACTAACATTTGAACGCCTACAGCAACTATACTACAGTATCTCACAGGAGGACGTAGAATGGATTATACAAAGATGTGCTCAATATAATAGAGCTATACAGTAAAAAGGGAAGCCTCCCTTTCAGCTAATCAAATCGCACTATCTAGGAGAGAGAATAGTTCTTGATCTAATTGACTTTCGATCTATGGCCGACGGGTCGTACTACTAGATTGCGCAGCTTAAGTGCTACTTTTCCAGGTATATTTAGCTGTAGCCCTTGGAAAGCAAGACAGCCTTTGAAGTAGCTACCCCTTTACGGACGTGGTTAGACAGTAATAGGTACCCAAAAAAGCTGTAAGTAGCTCTATTCTATCTTTAGTATTATATAAGCTAATAAAGTATAGGGCAATTGATAATAGAACTGAATTTAAAAAGGAACTTGAAGACTTTCTTAAAGAGAAAGTAATTAAGCCAATCAGGGGCCGAGCCTACTACTTACAAACCCAAGGATCCGTGGAAGTGGCTAATAAGATCTTTAAAGCCTAGCTATAAGCTGCGCAGGGTGATACAAGTATTAAAGAATAGTCAAAATTACTCCCTATTATTGCCTGGGTAATTAATACAACTAGACTTTCCACTTTACCAAAAAGTATTACCCTATACCAAGTATAGTTTGGCAGGGAGCTTCTTAATTGGCCGAATATCTCGCCCCAAAACCAGAACAGAGAACTTGCTGAAGAGAGTACTGATGAGGAAGAGGAGGGTGAGCTAAGTATAGCTAATCAGGAAGAGCCTCAAGCTGAGGAGAAGTACTTACTCTCTGAATTAAATAAGAGAGTAAGTGAGTATAATAAAGTTACAGCTGAGCGTATAGTTAGAGCTGAAAAGGGGCAGGTAGTTGAGTATAGTGATCAGGAAGTAGCTACTTTACAGATCCCAAAAAAGCTAAAAGTAGGGAATGAAGTAAGTAGAATACTTGTACAAGTATTACGAAAAGAGTATAAAGTAAGTTATATTCTTATTATTTTATTTATTACTAATTAAGTCTTAGGGGTATATTCTACTTACACAATAAAGTCAGCTGACCTGTATTCATTCCCCTGGGACTTTGAATAAGCTCCATAGTCAGGATATATACTCCAACTTTCCCAAAACAGGCGCAGTACACAAAAAGGACTGTATTACGCTTAATAAAGCTGTTCAGTTATTTAATAATCGTAGTACTGTCTCTGTACAACAAGCTGCAGGTCGTACTAGTAGCAAAAGGAGGATGGAGCCTCAAAGGGAAGCTCAGGCTGTACGGGCGAAAAGAACAAAAGTGGCTTCAGTTAAAGCTAAAGCAATTCAGGAGGGTAGGGCAGGAACCTAATAATTGTATATTAAATTGACCAATAGGGTGTTAATATATCCGATACGTCAATATTGAGTAATGGGGTGGCCCAAAAGTCAATATATATTGAATTGACGTATAGGGTGGTGTATTGACTAATTGGAGGGCCCATTGACTAATAGGCGAGATTGACCAACCGGGCTTAGCAGATCGGGTTGTCCTCCAAGTAGATCCTCACATCTCGTGCGACGACATGCTTGCCGTTCCCATCATGCTTGATAAATATATTCAAACCCAATTCCACATCCGTCATCAGCGCATAGCCAGCAACAACCTTGACGAATCGTTCCGGCTCTTCGTGAATATCGAACTTCTTGGAGTTGTACGGTCCAGATCTACCGAACACCCAAAGCCGCATCAGACTTCCGCAGATCGTAAAATCAGGCATGAATCGTCGATCCGGTTGACTTCCAAACACGTTAGGAGACTCCCAGTTTGCACGATTCCCATGTTGGATGGCCCTCTATGTTAGATACCGACAATAGGATATTGAGACATTTGAGCTATCAGGACACCTACGCCTTCCCCAACGTCAAGGATCTGACTAACTACGGACCTCTTGGGGAACCTCTTGAAATCCAGTGCCAATGAAGTGCGACCTTGGAAAGTCTCCTATTGAGCAAAGCAAAGCAATTCTGAGGCTTTTGAATTTGGATACGGGTTGCAAAATTAGCTGATCTCGGTAATCACCGCAGATCACTCCTCCTTGTTTCTACTTCGGATTGTAGATCATGACTGGTGAGTAGCGAGTATCTCTGAGCGCATGGACTAGTAATTTAATTGAAATACGGTAGTGTTACACCAGCCCTCCCGAAATCGAACGCAGGATTAGGTAAAGCTAGACCTTTTCTTTCTTTCTATTAAACACGGCTGTATTCTTTCATTTCTTAAAAAGGCCGACACGAATGCCTCTCTGCAGGTCTTAAACATACACAAATACCTCACCACGCCTTACTATATTCTTAGGAATGTCTCCGAATTAATCGGCCCGGTCCGACACTACAGTAAGCCTATTAATGCAATTATGCGACTATATATATGTATATGTATGCTAGATATTCCTTCAACTTTCTTACTTCTTTAACCAGCTTTGGCAAATACGAAATATATCTATTATTCATCTTTAGGAACTTTTGCACCATCCTCACATCCGCAACAATGAGAATCAGTGCGCTTCTTCCGGTCTTTGCTGCCCTTACCGCAGTAGCCAACGCTGCTGCCCTTGCGAGGGGTGTTTATACCATCCATAGCGAGGGAGACGGCAAAAGGCCAATCGGCCGCTCCTACAGAGAAGACCGGTCGCTCCTCCCTAAAAGGGTCTTGGTTCTCGCTGAAGATGAAGATGAAGCACCAACGGTAAGTAAAAATAGTATTCTGTCCACTTTTTTTGTTAAGCCAAATTCTTATTCGATCTTCAGTGGGATATTGACATCCTGCCGAACGGCCAATATCGCTTGAGGGCTAGAGGTGCCCCAGTTGGAGATATCGACAGCCGCCTATTCGCATGTCTTATCCCAGATCGCTGCGAAGGCAGCTTGGATTGGGTTATTACACCTGCGTTCCAACGTGGCCCTAATGTCTTCATGTATGATACGATTCTGCTCTCTAATATTGTGTATGTGTGTTAACACGTGGTAGGGTGGAGAAGCCTAATCGCTCAGCGGGGTGGGTCGTCCCTAGAGACAACTCAGACGGGCTCAACAAGCAGGTAAGCTGCTCCCTCTATCTATTTAGCTCTTTGATTGTTAACTTATTCTTTAGGTCGAGGTCCGTCCGTTAATAAATGGGCCACATGGGCCTCCCGAACAGCTTTTTACGTTTACTCCGCTCGAGTAGGAGTACACACTAAAGGTTGCTGTCGATAGCTGCTTCGTAGCCGTGCAAGCTATCCAAGTCATCAGCGGTTCGCATTTCTAAGGCATCTCGTCGAGGATAGGAAAATTGCTTGATTTCTTACTTCGACTGTTCGGGGGATTTAATTTAGCCTAGATAGAGGCACTTATCTAGGGTAATTTTTAGAGAGCAATATAGTGGACAATATAAATTATTTTGCCTCTTGAAACTTCTACAAACTAATTTCGTCGGAGGTCCACCCTCCAGAAGACTGTCCACGATGGTGTGTGCACCGACTACATTTAACACTTTGGTATATTCATGAAGTTTAGGAAGTTGGGTCCTCCTGAACTCTAGAGCAAGTACTATATCTTGTTTACTTTCACCTCTTAACTACGTTTCAAAATCGATGTTAGTGATTGGAATAGTAGAAGGCAAATAACGACTGACCTCGAGACTACGTCGGCTATTTCGAGTTCGAGGAGAGAGCTAGGGCTTGCTCTATGTAGTAGTTGAAAGTATTTCTTATTCCTTTTTTTATTATTTTTCAAAGACTCCGAGATACCGGACGCCTGAGCAAAATTCTCTATCGTAGCCGTTACTCGATTGCGATACTTCCGAAGTTGTAAGTCGTTCGCTATAAGTAAATAATAAGAGACCTCGTTTACTGAGAATGTAAGGTAGAAGCAGGCGGCGTATTTAGATTCAGCCTTGCGTTTCTAGATCTTCAGACAGCTACCTTGAAGCTATCTCAGTCTATAATCAAAGCTATTAATATCTTCGCTTTATACTACGAACGTTAGCAAGACCCTAGAGGGAGAGGTTTAGTAGCTACGAAAAACTGAATAAGTTTAGCTAATACTATATTCGATCAAGAGTTATACTTATTACTCTTATAGTATATTTCACTTCTAGGGAGCTAAGCTCTGTAATAAACGCTTTCGCAATAACACTAGAGCATTTGGGAGCGCCGTTCTTCTCAAAGTAGGCTGTTAACACGTGGGAATCTTGTCTAATATCACCCAAGTATATGGTCTTTCCACCTTTGGCAAGAAACAAGAGTCGGTCGAAGCGCTGGAATAGCATAGCAGAAGATTGGTGGATAGTGCAAAGGATCGCTTGGCCTATCGTTTTCAAATTTTCTATAAGATCATAAATTGCCCACGACGTTTGACTATCAAGACTAGATGCTGGTTCAGCAAGAAAGAGAAGGAGCTGAGGCTTCGCGGCCAGCTCAACACCAATTGTCAAACGCTTCCGTTGCTCAACGTTCAGACCCTCGCCTGGAGCTCCCACGACTGCATCGGCAAATTCCTCCATGTCCAAGAGTTTGATGACTTGATCAACATAGTCTAGTTTCTCCTCTGTCGAGATGTCTGCAGGCTGGCAGAGTAGTGCACTAAAGTTAAGCACTTCTTGTACGGTCGAGGTCGAGAGATTCGCGACGGAAGACGAGAACCTCGCCACGTGACTTATTCGCCGAGATCCACTCGGTGGCTAAAAGATATACAAGCATGAAGAATATCATGAATGTAATTATGACGCCAAAGTTCCTGGATAAGGTCAGTATTCATTTTGCAGAAGCTACCAAAAAATCTAAAGATACGAACCTCCATTTGTTTGCATGATAGTATCTATGGGAAGATTTTATGAACCTATCGCCGTTGATAGAACTAGATCCCGGAACGGAACCAACCGAAGAGCGGGTTTGCTGGATAGAGTTGATATTCTCATAGCCTTCTTCCGAAGGAACTAAGGACGAGCAAGGGAAATCTCGACCGTGAACTCATTGATCTTAAGAGCTTCAAAGCCAAAAGCTACCGGATTAAGATAATTGATCCACCTAAACCAACCAAGCATATATTTGGTAGGGATAGCAAAACCAGTGTATATGATAATCGAGAGGATGAAGAGAGCTGTGGGCACCATGGCTTGTGCAAGTGTCCGAGACATGGCGGCAATAGATATAAATAGCATAGACATAGCCAAAGTGAGGAAGAATGATATCAGCGCAAAGAAAAAGAAAGGATCTGGCTCTCTCCTCAAATTTGTCATAAAGTAGAGTGTCAAGTTGAAGATGATCGTATTCCCCACTTTCGCCGGCAGATCCACGAGCATGGACGCGAATGCTTCACACGATGGATGGTAGAAAGCGTATCTTGAGTGCTTTTCGACAATCGGGCGCTGAGCATACAGGGTCAAGATCTAGTCTTTGATCAGCTACGGGCATGAGTAGCGAAATGTGGTATCTCCACTTACTTCGAGTGCGCTTCCGAACGCGTTCATGAGGATAGCAAAAACAAAATAAGTGCTCCTCTTGAGAAAAAACTATCGGTATTCTCCTTTTGGTTGCAGAAAAGACTGGCAGGGATCAAACTAATGAGGAAATTTCCAAAGACTTGCGAAATTATCAGGCTAGGATCTCCCACAAGTCTTTGGCAACCATGCCACAAGCAGAGTTTGACTTGCTGTAGGTACGTTAAAGTGTATGGAGACTTCACACGCCTGTTTAACTATTCTTCTGATCCAGCTTGACAACCGGTATTCATTACTGTCCATGGCCTTGGTGAAGTTTTCTCGAGTGCTTGAAGTTCTCTAGGTGTTATCTATCAAAAGCGTACTTTCGGTCATACACATCAATGTTTTCAATCAACTTCCGGTAATCAGAACTATCTTACCACGCTTGGGCAAACTCATCAGGAGTGCAAGGTACTCTGCCTGCAAACCCTGGACGGCTAACTCGTTCACGAGAACTAGTCATTGACGTCAGAAAGTCGGCTGCGGTCTGGCGATCCGGGCACTCGAAACCCATGTTGACGAAATACGCCTTAGCTGTGGTTGTGTATCCGAAGTAGATTTGTCGTCCTTCGAAAAGCACAATTACTTTGTCAAAGAACTAAAGAAATGTCAGCTTGAAGGAGCAAGATATTGTATAATACATACATCGAAAGCACTTTGAGGTGCTTTGTAGATTAAAACAGCAGAAATTATACCAGTGATATCTGCTGAAGTTCGGAGCGTTTACAAATTCGATCGCATTCGCGCTATCCAAACCACGGGTACTATTATCCCAGCACTGAAGAGGAGCACCACTCAGAACTGCCTCAGCAATTGTGACACGTTTTCGTTCACCCCCGCTGACGCCGCGGATGTAATCATCCCCAACTCGCGTGTCGATAGTATGCCCAACTCCGAACATAGCCATAACAGCGTCGCGGGTGTGATTGGCATACACGTCTATATTGACATCTCCTGGCATGAATTGCGGAGCCCTGGCTCGCGCTGCAAGTGTGAGTGTGTCGCCGACGAATAACATAGGAAAATGGACGTCAACTTCAGATGTGTAAATCGCTTCTCTGCGAAAGTGGTGGTGCATGAGTTCAGGACTGATTCTTGCAGGGTATTTGTTAGCGCTAATGGTGGAATAATGCTCGCTCAAATTTACCTTGGTAGTTGATGTATGAAGATGGATCCACATAATACCCACGACTCTCCCCTGCAATCGTTTTAAGGAAGGTGGAACAGCCAGAGCCTGGTGGCCCCAGGATAACAAGCATTTCACCGCTTTTGATAATGCCAGGCAGGTCCCTCAAGATGTCGATTCTCCGAGGCTTCTCTGCTCCCGCCATTCGCCTCACCCAACCGACAGTTTCCAAGAAGATGTTCACAACGCTCGTCTGGTAGTCGGTAGCCACACCGTAACCATGTGCATTCAAGTTATTGAACGCAATACCCGAGGACCTCGGTGCAAACCATTCTGGATCTTGATGTTGTATATCTAGCATTGCTCTCACGTATGCCCACGCGTTGAAATGGGGAGAACTCGGATCCGAAGACGAACTAGGCTCAAACAAGAACTGATTTTTGCCTCCAACACCAGGGTGAGATTTCTTTTGACTGTCTGGTGACCTGTCGAGCAAGTTCCGTTACTTCTCTCCCACGATCCGCCGCGAAATCGTCCCTATCGTCGTCTCGATCTAGTAAATCCTCTTTCGGAGTTGCGGTGGGGCCTGCCGCGGGACTACAGTCAACCATTATTAGAGAGCTGCTTTTTGGAACAGGTTGATTAGAATGTAGCTCGCCCATGGAAAAGGGGGGGAGTGTCAGCTCAATTTCTTTCGGGCCAGTTCAGGATCCTTTGCTGTAACTCTGGCTTCTGGCATGTCGACCCTAGCACAATACACAGCCAGGCAAAGACGCACCCGCCACTGTTCTCTGCAAGAACAATATTAATATCGATTATAACTACAATTTATTATATTAATATAATAAATAACTTCAATTATAAAAGTTACAACAGAGTTAATTATAGAAAGTGCGAAACTGCAAGTTACAAAGAATATAATAAATGCAAAGTTACAGAGTAGAGAGTGTAATAAGTACGAAGATGCTAAAAGCGAAGAGTGCGAAAGACGAAGTTGAGGTAGCTACAGAGTTGAAGTTATAGGATAGTCGACGCTCGAGAAACAGAGTAGTTTATATACTTCTATCAACTCCGCGCTCTTCGCTCAAAGTTCTTAATCTCTAATCCCAAGTCGCTTGTTCTATTTTAAAATATATTTATTTTATATTTAAAACTTTTTCTTATAAATACTATCAAAACGTTGGTAGTACTCTCGCCTCCTGCTGCTGCAACATGAGCGCTCTCAGCGACCCGGTCATAGACCTCTCGCGCGAATGCATACTCTCAGCACTACTACTGGGCGTAGGCGACCTCCCACCTACACTACTACCCACACGCGCCATGGATCGCATGCGATCGTCACTAGAATTTGTGTTCGACCGGGATAATGGAACTGCAGGTTTCTGTCGCAGGTTCAGGTTGCTGAACATGGAAGGAAGTGTTGCGGCTGCGGATACTGGGGGAGGCGTGTATGATGGAGTAGGGATGAGATTGCTATGTGAGCGTGCGCTTGATGCGGTGCGGCTCCGATGGCGGAATGGTGGCATGGATGCATCGACCGTCGGGGAGCGGCCTCGTAGATTTACGTTGTTCGCATCGCGCGAAGAGGATGGTGGTCGACTTGATGATCTGTTGCTTGGTGGAGTGGGAAGAGAATTCAGGTGGGGTTGTGTTGATCGAGGGCCATAAGCGCTTATGAGTTGTTCGAGGCTTACCCCAGAGGAAGGGAGTTTGCTGAGTCTGCGGATGGCGCGCATGTTGGTGCTCATGAATGTGGATATACGCTTCATAGCATTCCCATTTTCGTGAGACTCATAGGCCGAAACTCCAGTCCCTCCGGTAGCCTGGCCTCGAGCTACATGTTGGTCTGTAAGATTTGAAGCTCGGGGAGTAGGTGTTGGTGCTTGATTGATGCTTTGCTGGATCTGGCTGATAATGTGGTCGAACTCTACAGCTTCCTGACCCTTGTGAGACATATGATGAGCATGAGTATTGATCGTCACATCTTGGGTTAACACGAAAAAAGACCCGTCACGGATTCTCCGCTTTAGGAGATTCCATCTCGTTCTGGCGGGATTTTGTTCGATTTCTGGATGGTAAACAGAAGTTTCCGCCAGTTTAGAGTAGAAGCCTTCTAATCTCATAGCCATGCGTTCCATAAGTTGAAGTAAGAACGTTGAGAGGGCTGTGATGCGCTGAGTATCAGATGGCGATTCCAGAGCCAAAATAGTATCGAATGCATCCATTCCGCTGCATGCCTCCTCGCGAATGCCTTCTAGAAGCTCCATGTCAAGCTGAATGGACTTCCTTGCATAGTTTAGTATACCCCGCTCATGGAAACGTGCCGCTTCGCTGTCAGAAGTAAACCTCCCAATTTGGGAGACCTCATTTGATGTTGTCATTGCATCTAGTGAGCCTTTAGCCCGGGCAATAATACCTAGCACATCCGGAAGACGGCTTGGATTGGAGCTTGCGGCAGAGTTCGCAAGGGCGAATGACAGCTTCAGATAGAGCTCCTGGAGTTTGGCCCCAAACAGAGCCGAGAAGCCATTCTGAAGTAATCTCGACTGATGGTGGTAAAATCTTCGGACGCCACCCATATTGAACAGATTTCCTTGGAACCAAAGATTTGAGGATTCCATGAACTCATGTACTTCGAAAGCTTGCGCGACCAGCGTCTCGACTGATGTTCTCAAATATTCCGACCAGAGATCGTACAGCATGCTGACTTCCTCGCAATGATGATAATCGGGCTTTGGTGTAAGGTGGCCAATGAAGTACTTGTTCAAGAGACTGGACACTTCCGGGTTGTTCGTATGCGCCAGAAGGTCGAAGGATTTCGTACAATCTACTCCCGCATTTGATTTGATAATGTTTATCCCTCCAGGATGCATGGAACAAAAATCCGTGACATCATACACACTTCCATGCACAGCGATGAAGATGTGGCTGTCGGGGCGATGGCCAGTATGCATTGCTAGTTGGGAAAGTGGGATAGTCGGTATGTTGCATGGCAACGGTTTCGGTGTCATGAAGACATCCAGCATGAAGCGCCGCTCGGCGAAGGCGTTGTTAAGAATTACATCGGTAGACTCCATGCTTGACGTACGATGATTGTAGATGGCTTTGCGAATTCCAGACATGACGGAATCGAACACAGAAAGCGAGCCACAGACGTAGAGATAGCCTCCCAAACCTCCTTGCTTCTTGGACATGACAAGATCACACACCATAGCCCCCTGCTCAATAATCAGAGAGTCTATATACCGCGGCGTGATCTCTTTCTCCATCAAATCTCGTGAATGCTTATCGTAGACAAGACCTCGCGAGTCACGCGAGAATGCGGTATATACCTCCATAGAACCATCGTTGACATAGTCTCTGAGCTCATTCTCGTAGCAAAACTTCTCCCTGGACTGTACGCCGAGGAATAGGATATTTCTGCCAACAGAATTCCCAGCACGGGCTTGCCAAAAGCTTCTGAAGGGGGCGATACCGCTGCCACCAGCAAAAAAGGCACATGGAGCGGCATCATCGATTGGTAATTGGAATGCCAGAGGTCGGGAGACACCAACGAGTAGTTCTTCATCGCCTGCGGTTGACTCGTCCTGACTTGACATTGGAGGGTTTAAGAAGCCACTACTAACTCCATGGCGAGGTGCAGACAATGGATCGGAGAGGGTAGGACAAACATTGAAATCAGATCTCGAAACGGTCAAGTCCACGGTACTAGGAAGTAACTCATCCGGGTAATTTGAGATGCTGTATGTTCTTGGGACCTCAATCGGTACCAATTCCGATAACCATGAGAGATTCCCTGAGAGGTCAAATGCCTGATCCCAGATATGTGAAGATGTATCAGTGACAGCTGCTTGGAGAAGATCGCCGAAAGAACCTCGTACTGGCCATTCAGTTGTTGCTAGGATCTGAAGAAGCGTGTTTGAAGATGCTCTAAGAACTGTGTGAAGTTTCATGACTAGGTCTTTCGTGACCGGCGCCAGGTGTCCTCGTCGTAGAATGTCCTTTACTCTCAATCGTGGTGTGGATTTCTTTGATACGGAACCCAGGTGCTCAGCAAATCTCGTCCATTGGCTATCTAGAGAAACGGGCTGATCGAGCATTGTATCGAGGCCCAAGGCAGCGGCCACTTTGGCGCACTCCATCCAGCTGTTGAGAGGCATTATCGCGAGACGATCACCGGGTTGAAACGTGATACCCGTCTCTTGAATATCAAGTGTAACCATCGCGATAGACCTTTCGGGGTCCATATCGACGAAAGATCTGTTGAGAACCCTGGACTTATAACGGCATTCTGAAAATGTTCCACGCATCTGATGGGGTTCGACGCGGAGGTTCCCACGGTATGGTTCAAGACGCTCTTTCATTGCCTCTGAGAAAGCCCTGTGGGTCTCCTCCCATGGTCTCGAGTTGGCATCACTGGATCCAGAATCTCCGTTTGTTTCCGACCGGCCAGTCTTTCCAGCAACTTCAAGTAGACCAAAAACTTTGTAGCGGTGGGTGCCCATAAACCCGCGTTCGCCAGTATAAGCTTCAACGATACCATCTAGGGCACCGATGAGTTGTTGGTCACCAGATTGAGCTACAAAATCAGGAATACGATAATGATATTCGACGGCGGCGATGAAAGCTCTCCAGTTTGATGGCAGCCAAGCCCTCAGGTGAACGCCCTCAGCTCCTAGGAAAGATTGGTACTTTGCACGTCCCAGGAAGGCGTCCATTAACAAGTAGGGAGGAAATTGCAGGCCGGATGTTGCTGGGCAGCGCTTGGACAAAGGAGCAGAAAACTTTGCCCAACGTACCCATTCTGCAGGTGAGACGTAATTGTCGCCGGAGTTGGGGTTGAGTGATATGGAGTGAAAGGCGTTAGGCATCCGCTCGAGGATTTCCTTCAGTCGAATGAGTTCACGGAGAAGTCCATCTCTGTTCCTGCTCATGACGTGCTCCTGGCAGCTTGCAATTGCGTCGACACCGTGTTGAAACGAAGCTGGAAGCAGTCAGCCAAAGTATAAAGACTCGAGGAGCAAATAATTTACCTGAGGTGTCGGCGCAGCCCTTTAAAAATGCTATCTCGGATGAATCACCAAACATGGGCCATCTTAAATCTGTGTTGTCGAACCGACCCACATACGGATGTGTTGAGGTAGGATCCCGGACTTTGAGATTATACGAAGATTGATCGAAGAATGTAAGATGCGGAATCGATCGTCCCATCCGCTTCGAGATTTGGTAGAACGGGAGACCGATACTTCTGGGAATACCTTTCACCTCATCGCCCAAATCATCGCTCATTTCCTCGTCCACTCTTCGTTCAGCCGAGGTAACATTTATACCCTCTCTTCCATTATGCTTCTCTTCATACCTGTAGATGGAACATAACATACCAAGAGCAACCAATGCCGCCCAAAGCGCTTTATCTGGAATGGCATCTGCTGTTCCTTCGATAATGGGCAGGGCGGCGACAGATTCCCTCACGCGACCTCTTGCCACACAACCCGGCATCCGTTCGCAAAGATCTGACCAGACTCTACCAGGAGACTTTGCCAGCACACCAGCTGCTTCATCGGCATCTGGTGGACAGAATCCATAGTTCATACTGAGGTATCCATCTCGCCACCCTGTGCGGGGTCCCACCTCTTCTGCTCTGAGTAAAACTTGTCGAGCGGGAGCACCAAGTGCTACAGCTAGCAGATCTTGCTCATTGGCATTTAATAAATCGAGACTTTTGACGCCTTGGGTTGTTTGGATCTCTTTGATTTCTTCCATGTGAGGAACATTGGAGTAGAGCATTTCGTTGATCGCTTTGCGTTCCCTAGACTCGGTAAGCAAGTTGGCTAGCAGATAGGTATGTAGGAGCAAACCTTTGACGCAAGTATTGGTCAGGATCTACACCAGAAGGAATCTGTTGATTATTAGCAGCTTGTTAACTAGTGAGAGATGCCATGAAGAATAGTGCTAGAGACAACATACATCAAAAGCTGCTCTAATATCGCCCTGCTGTGTAAAGCTAGAAAAATTGCAGCCCCGTGGTCCGGTACGGCCACCTTTGGAGCCCATAGGACATTCCGATCCAGCGGACGCCGACATAGGACATGATCTTTCCGACATTATTAATATATTATTGACTGGTTCTTTTAGAAGCAGGTTTGGGGGTGTAAGGGCCACCAGAATAGACAAGAAGCCTTATAGGAAAACACAATGGCACAGCCGGAAAGTGCAAATAAAGGGGGTTGAGAAACAACAATGTACTGATGATAGCAAAGGAAGAGAGAGGCTATCATCTGGAATGAGAGGTGTACTTGTACCGCCGTTCAAGAAGCGACAAAGGCAATTCCCACTGTAATAAGTGGCTTGGCTGTAATTTCTGATCGAGAGAGTGAAACTAGGCGAGTAAGACTCTAAACCAACGCTAGAAGCATGAAAAGAGCTTCTGCGAGCCTTATCATTCAGCCAAGGGCCACTAAACGCCAAGATTTTTTCGAGGCTACAACGTATCAGGCGTATAAAGCGGAGCGAGACCTAGGGGCCAGGCTTGCGCGGGCCAGAAAGTAAACACAACCCTCTTGTCTCGCTACACTTAATACACTTAAAATATTATAGATTTGAAGGGCATTAACTAGTACTTGCACAGTAATTTCAGGCGTTATTTGAAGATCAAACGAGATGAGAACAACAATATTACGGCTTTATAGCTCACGAAACGAGGGAAATGACAAGCAGAGTCGTCTCTCGCCGACGTGGATCCGGGATACTTTCCTAGGAGCACTTCCACAGGATGGCAGAGGCATATCCTTATTTGAATATCGTGCTCCACTATTCATTCTAGTGGGTGCTGGAGGGATCATATTACAAAGTGAAAGAGAGGCTGGATTGCTGGTGAGAGGGTACCGAGTTGTGGACGGGGCCGGGAGGTAAGACGCGCGTTTCGCGAAATTTTCGGCACTTATAAAGTTTCGCCTGGTTTGGGAGATCGAACTATATACAGTAAGAGCTTTTCTCAGGTTATGGATAATGAGCGGACCTGGAGAGGCAGGACAGAGAGGACAGCCTGTTGTAGCTCTGCCAATGGATATTCTTAAAAGGCCAAGCGACAAGACGGAGAGATCAGCGACTATTTTGATATCAAGCTTTCCCCGCACTAAGGCGTTTCCCTAGATAAGACCTGGGCGGCGGCAATGAAACGTTGTAGCGCCTTTTACGTTGGTGACTAATGGCGCAAAGAGGAAAAGGAGTGCGCTGCGACATACCGCCGGTGTGTCGGCGCTTATCTCGGCATTAATAGCGGTGAAGTCAAGGCGAAATACCAAAGTAAGATATTTGCCGGCGATTATCGTATATTATATCTGTATTAGGAAACTGCAAACTTCCAACTCTCGGTGACAGTTCCGCGGTGTTTCAGCAAGGGCGGCGAAGCGGAAAGCAGCGAAGTTAAACTCCGTACTAGTAAAGTTTAAACTAAGAACTCAGAAGAACGTTAACTGACGCTAACGACAGTTATAGTAAGATCGATGAATATCAATATATCTCGAATATCAATAACTATCAACGAATTCAACTTCAACTATAACACTGTTGTTAAAACTGTAATAAGTCGTTATACTAATTATCCTCAATACTACTTTGCTAGTATAATAGTAATATATTACAGTACTGTGGTGGGGCAAACTTACCACTCGTCACGTGTACGATACTCGCTCAACGGAGCTTAGTTCTTCCGGGGCCGGGCACATGAAGTGCGCCGCGCCAGACAACTGTAGAATAGCATGCTTCTTTACTTATACACATTTTTACTTACCTGAGGCCCGACGAGTGTTACGAAGGCCAACTTTATATCCTGAGGCTCGGGTAGAATCTGAAGGATTACCACAGAGAACCATAGAGGCATGTGACGAGGTTACGTGACAGCAAGGATCACGGGATTAGGATCACGTAGTATAGATAGAAGAGATCTTGGGGATAAGATCGCGATCTACTAGATCTAACTTTGACTTTTGAGATCTACTCAGATCTAAGAACACAAGAGTTCTATATAAATAATGTAATTTCTTTACTAGATAAGAGCTTTATGCTCAACTTTGATTAATGAACTTGATTATTACTTTGACTTACTAAGACTACTTCATCGTTGTGATCATTGAAAGTAATTACTACTTTACTTCGTTATATAACTGAAACTTTACATTATGTCAGTTATATATCCGCGAAGTAGTAACTAACGAACTATTATACTTTGAGTACTTTTTTGCTGAAATAAGTAAATTACTATAACTCCACAGATTCTATTGTTCTTTTCTGCTAACTTTCTATTTATTCTAATAACTATAAAACTTATCGACAAAAACTTCAGAGTTCTTTTTCTTAATTTATTCAGAGAAAAGTAAATTAAAATCAAAATATTTATTATATAACATAAATTCTATATTAAATTTAAATTAGTTGATTTAATTCAGAAGTCGAATAAATTCTCTAAATTACTACTTTCTTGAAAATAAATATTTTTGAATAAATTAAATCTTTTTTTGAAAACTATATAATAAACAAAGTTATAAATAAACAACTTTCTACTATTTATTTAGTCGATATTAGAGAAATCTTTAGAAATTAAATAAGATTTAAGAAATAATTTAATTAAATTTTCGGAAATTTAAATAAAAAACAGAATATTATATAAATAGATACTTTTAAGTTCGTTGTAATACTTTCTAACAAAAGTACTAGTTTAGTTTTTATTAATATAATTTTTGATAATCTCTTTAACTAGATTCTTGACTATTCTAGAAATTAGAAATATTTCATCTGCAAGCTCGACATTATCAAGAGCTTTCTCTATAATATCTTGCACATCGCTGGGGCGTACACTAAGCAGTGAGCGCTTGAAATAGACAATGATCGCAAAATAGAAAACATTGGGAAGGCATTGCATTACTGCAGCCCCGCGAGAGTCGATAACTTCGAGTTCAAGCTTCTTGGGAGCGTTTAAGATAGAGCTGCAATTCTAGCATGCCTAGTTGATGCAGGTTTAGGGCTGGTTGTAAGGCAGCCGTGGCGTTTATAGCGATGAGAGTTTTGAGCAATGGCCGGGTAATTCCATAGCAGTGTTCGAGGAAATTGTCTGTGATGGGAAGGACTGCGAGGTGGGTCTTTAATTCATCGGGTATAACCAAGCTACACAGTGCTGCAAGGTACAAAGTAATTTTGAACAATATAGGAGCAGGTTCGGTCCGAAAGTTCATGATTAGGCGCCATCTGCTGGAGTATATTGAGTCCCCCCAATGAGGTGTGTTCTCCATAGACCACACCTACCAAATATGGCCTCACTAGCAATGCAAGTCAAAATTGCTATGAGAAGTGACTTTTGATCCGCTTGGCTACCACAGCTAAGGCCATACTGCAGATAACCTAGTGCAACCTACTCATGCTTCACGACAAGAACATCGAAGCAGCTCTTGCTATGCTTCAGCAAAGAGAGACTGTGCGCAGCGGTCGAGCAGATGGCATGGAATACGGCTATCTGTCCGCTGGTTTCTCGTGACGTTGATGTGAATCCAGCGAGGGCTATAGAGAGAAGGCCTCAGCACGGATTGTCGATTCCATCTACAAGGCAACATGTTGCCGCAGACAAATATAGCCCAGTGATGGAGTAGTTCTAATTGCCGGGCGGGCATTGGTAGGAGGTTGATATGCTGCGCAATAGAATCCGTGAAATTCAAAGCCGGTGAAGGTCGTGCTGTTGCTGCCATAGGTAATGACGGCGGTCCTTAGTAGATCAGCGCATCCATGTCGTGTTGCTCACTGAGTAGAACGTGAATCCCACGACAGGATTCTGCAGTCTCTTCATCCCGAGAAGTAAAGATTGAGTTGTCGAAAGAGGGTATGGATGCAGTTCGTCGCCTTGAACCATCGGTCGATGTCTGCGAGTGGACCTCAACTGAACTCCAATCGCGCTCCGGGGTTTCAGACACAATCCTCTCTGGTCTTGCTGATAGGTATTTTCGGTTTCGCTTCCGGCTAAGCCAGGAGATATTGCCAGGAAAGTTAGGCGCGCTCGGAGACGGGTTCGGAGCAAGGGCGGCTGTTATCGAGCGCACGAGCAGAACCGTACGAGAGGCGTCGATACAAATGGCAGGCAAGTAACAAAGAAGCAGGTCCAAAGCAGCAAGAGATGGCGGAGCGATAACGCTAATAATAAAGCCTTGGTAGTGAGCTGAGCCTCGTCAGGGATAACACCAGTGCTGTTTCGTCGCTCTGTGAAGAAGCGAATCAATGTGAGTTCCGAATATTAGTCCACTTAGTAAGTATAATCTCGAACATCTTATTATTAGCACCATGGCAGTTGACGTCAATTCAAGGATTTCCCCCGGTCGCTATCTCTTGGACCGGCACGGTAGTTCACAGCGCTAGTAGGGGATATAAACCTTTCGTCTCCGTATTTGCTCAACTGTGGGTTCTATCTCAGTCATGTATAGCATCGTTTACATGGCCCCTTAGCCAGCTAAAAAGACTATGGAATTAAAAATTAAAAAAAAATATCTCAGTCATGTCAGTAAGGGCGTTTAGAATCGCCTTGAAGTTGACTCTGGCGGGCAACAACCAGTTTATGCACCCCTCTACATACGTCTTCATCATCTTGACGACCGCCTGCATTATGACGCAGATGAACTATTTTAACAAGGCATTGAGCCGGTTTCCTACGGAATCCTACTCGTTGTAAGCATCCCGGGAGTCTTGGGCGCAGGACATTGCTCATCAATTTGCAGAGTAAACCTAGTTTACTACGTTATGTTGACCACGGCTACACTTTGCGCCTCTTTCATTCTTTACGGGGGTTTTAATACCTCGGATGCGGTCAACACTTTTTTGCTTCTGAGCATCTTCCTAGTAATTTTCATGGGGGTGTATCTCCGGTACATCTCACGCGGAGACGGTCCCAGGATGATTAGTAGATTCGGCTATGATGAGATTGCCATAGATATCGTATCATACTGTACGTACAAACGAGAAGGAGTAATTCAATCCAGGAGAAGTCTGGATCCCCACAGACATAGCTTGGGTTCCAATTGCCACGGGAGAGGTGACAGAGGGCTTGATTCACGCATTTGATAAGAGGAGAACACGGGATTGGTCTGAGGATTAACAGAAGAAAAGTACTGCCTGCGTAACATCCGTCCCCCTCTCCCTTACTCTTCTTTTATCCCTCCCGAAGTATCTATAGGCTATCTCATATCAACGTTGCGGGGGGGATCCTGCTATTACTTACTATCTATGAGTATCGTAGACAACGAGTTGAAGGATTCTACAATAATTTCGATAACCTTATCACTAGGTAGCTCTCAAATATATTTCGCATTGGCCGGGATACACGCTGCGCCACCTCCAAGCTATGCGCCAAGCGATGCGCCAGTTACAAGCGCTCTCGCCTGCTTCTCCATTATACTTGCTTATAATTACCTACGTAGTATCTTACATAAATACATGTACATGTACGTACAGTACCTAGGTACTCACACGGAGCCGCAACAGTGGCCTGGTGCTTATTCGTGCCATCGGTGGGTGATGTTACACAATACACCCCCAGAGCGTCGATCTACGCCGACCTACAGTAGGTAGCAGCATCATGCGAGGATTGGGCGAAGCATACTGTACTGTTTCATCTGATAAAGCATTTAGATGGCCCGGTATGGGGCGAGCCGAGGTCTGCGCGCCCTCTCTTCTTGTGATCGTTGCCACCTCAGCACCAGACTCGGCACGTAAGGTTTACATTTCCAGCCCTGATTCGGCCCTGTCGCCTTCGGTCGTGATAACACAGGTAGGAGGGGTACTTCGTAGTATTTACAGCATCAAAGCAGCAGCAACGCATTAGAACTGTCTGTCGAGCCTGAGAAAGGGGAGCACCCAAACCAATATCCATGACGCATGCGAATGTGGCGATGACCGCAGCTAAAGTTATGTTAAGGTAATAGAGTCAGAGTATAGGTCATGGAATTGAGGTATTGAATTGATTACTCCCTCCTGAAAATAAGGAAGTATGTGAGTTCCACATAAAGTAATTCAAAGATAAAAGAAGAGGGTTCTAGTCTAAAAGGCCTCGTATTCTATCTAATAGGCCTAATAGGCAAGTACCCTTATTTTTCTTCTGGAATTAGAGCTAAACGCGACCCTGGGAAAATGTTCTCCTAACATTTTATATAGATTTCGTTTGTAAACTAATTTTAGTAGAGTAAACAGGGGGTGTAGGCTACGATTAGTGTTTGAACTGTATTTGCGCGGTAGTCAATCTCGGTGACAGGGCGCCGCGCAAATCTCCAGTTTTAACATCGACAAACTTGGCACTTGTAACTCCGCCCCGTCCACCTATTTCACCCTTTGGACCTTAAGCCGCGTGTATAATCCAAGAGGCTACGATATGCGAACTCAGCCGCCGTGCATTGAAGTTATTTGGGTGGCGCAATCTACTTAGGACTTAGAGTCTGTTTAATATCTAATTACATTGCGAATTTCGGAAAGGTCAGGGTCTGTACGTAGATCTATATGTAGGAGAGCGGCGGTGATAATCTGTTGAGTCAATTAGCTTTTGGATCCAGACCTCACATGTGATTCAACTGTATAAAGAAAATTTCAGGTACTCAGGGGTCAATTGCCACTGTTGAATATTCACCACTTTTGATTAATTACGCTGTGCTACCCTAAAGACTTCTCAGAATCCTTCGCCGGCCAACATGTTTATAGGCGCCACCGAACTCACGTCAAATCTATGGGAAACACCTGTAGAGCATGCTTGGCTATCTGACCTGAAACCGGAACCTGAACCGTGCTGAAAGCTTGATATTAGCCTCCACACTAGAGAAATCTATGCAACTCGGGCTTTTACGATCCAAACAAAATTATCAATGTTCTGGCCCGTCTCCTCCCATGTTCTGCCCTTGATATCTTTGCCCGGGCACGATGTTGGTCGATAGAGGCGGTGCTCTCTGAATCCTGCTGGATTCCGGATGACCGCTTGGCACTATAGACATGAATCCACTTTACGTTTTCCAGAGAAGCAAAGGGGCTCTCCCTAGATCTGTATACTCCTATGACTTTCCAAGTATGTATAAATGTGGCTCTACTCCCCTTCGAAAACTTTTTTATTTGTATCCCACAATACAATCACAACCATCCAAGATCCTTAGTGAGCAATTGTTCTAGATTATCATTTACTCTGCAAAGTTATTTCACGATGAAGATCTCAGTCACCTTTGGTATGCTTGGCCTTAGTGCCATTGCTTCAGCATTTCCTGCGGATCTTGTGGCACGGACTGAGTGTTACCCTGGAACTATGGAGAAGGGAAAGGTGCGTATCCTTTTCTATTCACCACTTATTAATATGCTAAATTTTGTCAAGCCACAAAAATGCGGCGACAAGAAATACACAGTAGAAAAGAACGGCCATTGCGTCAAACCAACCCAAGAGCTTGGTGCTTACAAAAAGACCAGTTGCCTAGGCTTCTGCGAAGAAACAATTACCGCCGAGTACGGGCCAGAACAGCCGTTTACAGGGGGAGCGTGCCAAGCTGGAACGACATGTGCGATCTCAGAGGGAGATTCCGTCACCATCACCAACACGTATACGATTTCGACAAATATAGGTGTTTCGAAGAGAGATGCAGATGGGAATGAAGTAGAAGAAGAAGTCATTCTCGAAAGAGGAGAGGGCTATGTTGAGGGCGGCCTAGTCAAAAGAGCTGATGAGGCATTGTTCAAAGCCGGGTTCGACATTGGAGCTAGTTACTCGTACAGCTCATCTGTCAGCTATACCCTTACGAACGAAAAATCCAAAGAACTCGACAAGGATACATGTGGATATTGGACGTTTATACCTTATGTTATGAAGTAAGTCAGCTACATTTTAAGCCCTATCTTTACTAAATTAGAGCTTTAAATTAATTTGGCGACAATAGAGTTTGTGGAACGATGACCCAAGCTAAAGTGGAACAACCAACCGGGGGTCATCTATCGGCTGTTAGAGATCCACACTGCTCCAAAAAGGATTTCACATCGAACAAGAAGTACTGCAACAAGGTTCCCTACAAGGGAAAGAATGACAGGGCAGATGGTCAAATTGTTTTTGTCTACGTTGATTGCAAAACCAATAAGCCGAAGAGACAAGGTCAAGATGCAGCTTACTATTGGCCTGGCGTTGCATCAAACGGCGGTGCGCTGCTAGATGCCCTAACCTGCAAGGCAGTCCCTCAAATGTGCGAACTCTTGAAGCACCTGCCATAAACCATGGAGAGGTTGGCATTGTCAGATACTTCTCTTCTATTCCGCTGGCCAAGCATTGACGCTACTTCATTTTGTTGTTGAGTGGACCTTGCGGGCATGCTACTCTTCTTTGTTTTTGGTGCTACCCTTCGTTTTTGTTACTACTCTTCGTTTGTGTTACTTGGGTACGAGTGGTATGTAGAGGACCGAGCCGCGGTGGTTTGGGCTCATGCTGGTGTGGAAATTACCTGGGCGATGGAGATTGTCGCACTTCCCCTGCCATCAACTCCTACGCATGTTGCGGGAACTCACCCAAGTATACATGTATATATTATCATTAGCATAGATATACATATTGAATTAGATCAACTCTGTATTTTACTAGAACCCTGCTAAAACCCACTTTTCCCACGATAATTGCACCTGATCTCAGCTGTGACTTGTATTAATAGAGATACCTTATATGTGAAGACGGTTCTGGAGCTACGCCCGACACGTGCGCCTACATACACTCACCGATCACGTGGGTTGTCACGTGGGTTCCATCACGTGACCTACTTCAAGGATATATTTAGCATAATATCTTCGTACCTAGGTACGATTAGAGTCGAATAGAGAGATCGTTCCTTAATCAAGGCACTTCTATTTACATTCGTGACAATAAGCAGCGGAAAATACTATTCGTATAGCTCGTTCGGCTACAAAGCTACAGACGACAAAGTCAAGTAGGAGCAAACTCTATCTATAGTCGTTCGTACACGATACGATATTGCGCCTCGTACTGGGCGGGGCGTCGCACCCGTCGGCTGCCACGCTCCCGAGACGCGCCCCGTCACACCGCAAGGCCAATCACAGGAAATACTGCACACGCCCTCACCGGGCGACACGGTCTAGGTATGTAAGTAGAGATGATTAGCACCTAATCTACACACCGGATTACGAGCTGGAAAATACCCGCGAATAGGAAATCGACATATCAGACACCGACTCAGTCGGATCACATTGTTACTCGAACGGCATGGAGCGCGTCCCTGGAAAAGGAAGGTTTTATCGGAACAACGATATCCACAAACGCAGACGAGCTCAAGGGAAAAAAAGGTATAAGTAAAGGGAGGGGGGAGCGCAGTAGATAGAGACAGAGACCCTCGTGGTCAAGCAATGACAGGCCTCCAGCCCTATCTATATTATATATATGTGATTAGAAGTTATTAACGACGTGTTGTTGTGGAGATTGCAGGGCGTGAGAAGGGCGATTTTTGTGGTAAAATCTAATCGCCGACCTGCCGGTGAATTACGCTGACTCCAAACCTTAGATGTACTGTAGTAAGCCAGTAACACACAGCCCCCGTGCTCGAGCGCAGGGCTGGAGACTATCGTTCTGTAGATCTGCAGTGACTCGGCCGTCGGCTGGCATCTGCCGCCGTAGCGAACTGGTGGCGGTCGCTGCTTGTGTTTTGTTTTGCTGGATTCTGCGACATCCACGAGTTAAAGGGCTTAGTCTGATGATTAGATACAGTAGCAGTTTCCCCAAACTGTTGATTGCAGTTTGCACTGACCCCGGACCGGTTCAGCAGTTCCTGCCGTGGCAATCGTCGTGCTCGATCTCGATTGCCCACCGTGCTCCCATTCGTATTGCGTATTACGTAGCTTGTCCGCGTCCTTGGGGGGCAATGCTCATACTTATCACTGCATATTCCAACCCTTCCAAACCTTCCAAACCTTCCAAGTTCCACGTTCCACGCCCCAAGGTGCTTCCTCGCAGTAGCTCCTTATGCTGGTGAGTGCAGTGTGTCTCGCAACTCCCCACTTCCTATTGGTACGCCGTTCCTCTGCAACCTGCTGCTCTTGTCCGTGTCTCACCACGTTGTCTCAGCGCTCCCCGCGGGGAGACGAGGATCGCCAGGGCCCGCTCATCGACGACCCCCCGTGTCAACTTCTCCGCATTCCAACATCTCCACGGACGACGAAGTCCACGTTATTGTTCCCGCCTGGTGGGCGTCTTCTGCAGGTTCGCTGCAGGTTCCCTATGGGGGGGCTGCATGGAGCACACGGCTGCATGGTGCCGAGCAGCTGGCTAAGGTTTGTCGAGGCCTCTCGAGGCCTCTCGAGGCTTGTCTGCCGTGGCGATCAGAGTATATAGCCCAACGCCACCGCAGCCCCTTAATCGCAAGCTTGAGGGGAAGCTTCTCTTTTTAGGGCAAACTCCGCACTTCCTCGTGGGATTGGATAGGTTGCCAAAGGGCCGCTGTCAGCCACAGGGGGGGCGGTCCCAGCGGGTTGGAATACATATAGCTCCTGCTCCCAATTCTTTGTGTGACCATGCCTCCACCCGCGAATCCACACGTTGACATCCAATAAGAAGTTGAACCAAACGAACCTGTGCCCTCCAGTGCAAACTCACCATGGCCTACCAGGCTCCGACCTACCAGCCTCAGTCCGATATCTCAATCACAAAGGTGTCGCAGGAGGGATTTCTAGTATGTTATCCTCATTGTCCCCGACTACTTCTCCATGAGCACCCCTCAACATTGCCTAGTTCGCGTACCCGACACTAACTCTTCCAGATAACGACTTGGACGCTTTTTGCGGTCTCCAGTATACTGTTTATCGTGCGCACCATCATCAAGCTGAAAGTGCTTCGCAAGCTTTCTATTGACGATGCCCTCTTTACCTTGGGATACTTGCTTCTCGTGGGATTGTCGGTCCTCTCGACCAATATGGTCCCCTGGTGGTTCTCACATACCCTCATGCTTTACGGTCACGCCGCGCGGCCGGACAACTACTTTCTTAAGTATATGGTGCCAAAGATGAAGGTCCAGTATGGTGTGCACATGCTGTACTGGAGTTGCTTATATGCAATCAAGGGCAGCTTCTTGGCCTTCTTTCATCGGCTGACCGGTGGCCTTCAAACCCCAAGAAAGATTTTGTGGGTGCTTATTGGCTTCACTTTCCTCACCTACCTATCCTTTATATTTTCCCTCATAATGGTCTGCCCGAGCATGAACTGTAAGTGACACTTAACTCCAGACCATGCCAGGAACCAGAGTTGACAGTCTATCTAGTCCAATGCGGGGAACCCGGTATCAAGCGTTCGATGATAAGCATGCGGTATGGGACTTCCATCGACATCATCTCTGATACACTCAGTAATACTTCCCGCCCTGATTTTGTGATGGGATGCATGCTAACCCTACCCGTTATTAACAGTTATGTTATTCCCCATTTTACTCGTCTACCGGCTTAAACTTCCTCTCATGCAGAAGTTCGGACTCTTCACACTCTTCTCCCTCGGAATTTTCATCATGGTAATTGCGGCAGTTCGAGTAACCGCCTTGGATAATTCTGGCGAGTGGCCTCTAATGACCTGGCTTAATTTATGGTCGATTATGGAAGCCAACGTCGCCGTCATTGTCTGTGCTCTGGGTAGTTTCAAACTGTTGATTTCCCAAGCTTCCAAGACTCCAACAGACCAGTTGTCGCCCGGGGCCAGAACTCCTGGGTATTTAAAAATGTCAGGGAAAGCTACCACCGGAGCCAATGCATCCTCGAACAGACAGCACGGCTTGGGCTCGCGGAAGGTAGATCCCAACGACACCGAGCTAGGGATATGGGACTGCCCAGCAGCGAATAAATCTACCGAAAAGCTACGAGCGCCAGTTTAAGTTCTGAATTAGTAAAACAGTATATTAGGCAATACTAGGGTGCAATAAGTTTGAACATTGGTCCATGCAACTGCAAGCTTCAGAGATGCGTAATTGTTACCTCAAAGGCCTAAAAAGCGAAGTATATTTCATACTATACACGGACTAGTGTTCAAACTTATTACACCCTACTATAAATCTCTTCGTTATCTTTTATTATTAATTCTAGTACTTTAATTCTTATTTCTTACTTTATCTCTATTTTTATACTTTAACTTAGAGTATATCTTTCTTTTATTACTAGTAATAAATGGTAATCTTTATTAATTACATAGTATTATATTAGGATAAGTCTTATAATAGCTGCGATCAGTGCCACGCCTAGCTTAGTAATACCAGGTAAGGTAGGTAGCGTTATTCCGATAGGCTCAGGCGACATCGACGTGCCTCACTCGTTCGTCGTTATTCGCACCGTTTCCACAAACTTACAACAACGACAATGGAAGAACAGCAGCATAGCACAGCTGGACTCAATACCTCTCAATTCCACGCTCTCACCTATCCGCGCCTGCAGCTCACCGACAACACTCTAGATGATAATCTTCCAATCCAGCCCAAATGCCACATAGAAACACACACATCGCTTACAGTCGATCTTGGCTCCCTCGATATCCTTCCACAGGAGCTTCTCGATTACATTCTCCCCCAGCTTGACTTGCGCACACTTACGGATTTTCGACGCGTCAATCGACGGGCCTTTCAACTAGTGGCGTCTCTTCCCCAATACAAAGCCATTAATACACATGCACGCGATGCGCTTCGTGGGATTCTAGCGACTGGAACGGGCCGGTCGATTACCTGCGAAACCCTCTACAGCACAATTTGCATAGCCGAGTGCGAGCAATGTGGCGATTTTGGTGGCTACCTCTATATCCTCACCTGCAAACGTGTCTGCTACCTCTGTTTTACACTGGATCGGGCGTATCTACCATTATTTTACACTCAAGTGATTCGGAAATTTGGACTCAGCCGTCAGATGGCCGAGACCTTGCCACAAATGAAAAGCATACCGGGCATATATACGCCTCACGAGAGTAAATATCGGGAGCGACTTGCGTTGGTAGATGTCAATGTTGCTCGTCGAGCGGGGATTGCCCTTCACGGGTCCGCCGCCGCTATGGAAAAATACAAGTCGGACATGGCTTCTCAAAAGATACTAGAGTATAAGAATCAGCTGTTACAACAGTCTACGGATCTATCAGCCACGCCTCCCTCCCAGTATGAAGGCCCGTTCGACAGACAGTGCAGGGATCCATTTCGTTACATGGCCACCGTTCGCACGCCATGGTTAAAAAGGATCTCGCAACAAGTGGAGTTGGGCTCGTATTGTACAGGATGTGTGAAGAACAACTTGTCCGGCCCCAGGCATATGAATTCCAGACGTAAATTTACTATCGGTTCATTCAATGAGCACTTGAGGCAGTGTGGAAGCATCAAAAATGGCAAGCATCAACCTGAGCATGAAAGCACGGTTGCACAGTGAACAGCGCATGGGGTTTGATATTTTGAAGGATGGTTGCATACAGATCCAATGACAAGATTCGAAACCGTCCGAGGTAGTTACCACCAGCCGAGCATCCTGCCCCCTGGCCCTCCCTCCATGTGGTTGTACCATCGCCTAACGGTGGTACCTCTTGTCCTTTCTAGGCCTGAGCATGTGGTTAGTGCACATATGTATCAAGTCAAAAGTAAGGTTTGCGTGACAAAGCTGCACTTGGTGTTTAATGCATGTTTTTCTCTACACTACCAAAATTCCTCAAGTTTTTACAGCCACAAGTGTACAGTCGAAAATCTTGTTGGCACATGTTGGCTAAGGACTGTATTAGCTAGCATAAAACTCACCACAGCTCGGTGGGGCAACGACTGGTGCGGCTAAGAAAGGCTCCCAACCCGCCTGGATTGGGAGAAGGGGGATGAAGACTTCTATCACTCTATTTCTTGCGCTATTTACTACAAAACTCAAGTTGCTATTGTTTGAGTCTTTAAATTTAGATTATCTATCATAGTAGGAATTTTCGGTAGGGTCGAGTGAGGTCAGTACAATTTATAGCATTATTGGAATATAAAAGAAAAATAGCCGTAGAAGGATTAAGTATCATTTAACGGGACTGATGCTTTTTGTGATATATATATTTACTTTCCTACGTGGAACGGCCTGTTCGTCGCCTGGGACGATAGAACGTGCTACACATTGCGGGAGACCAACATTACAGATCTAATTTGGAAATGTAAGCCGCTTTCTGCGGAGCAAACACTACATCTTGACCCGGTGTCGAGAACTACCCCGCTCATTGGCAAGCACGGAGACGATGATGTGCTGTACATCGGAACCCTTGCCCATGCACTCGTGCTTGCAATCGACAAGACGACCGGGAAACTTATAGATGCACTTTCGATTGCCCGACCCCAGAGCCCATGGAAGGCAATGAAGGAAGACTTCTTCCGTCAATTATATGCATCTCCCCCAGTCTTAAACCACAGTTTGTGTTTTAGCATCTTAGTTCCTAGAGTTACAGCCCGTGGAGCTTGTATTACTTACCTGTAGAGCTTTGAGTGCCGCGAGAGAATGGAAAAGGGATCCAGGAAATGCAACCGAAATTTAGTAATAATTATCTTGTGGCTGACTTTAGCAGTGTCCGAAGGCTGCAGAACAGCATAATTCCCAACAGTACTATGCTCAGTCCCTCCGTGTAATGATGGCTTTCCAGGCCCAACGGCTGCATGAACCCCATGATCTAAATCATTTTCGTATTAAATTATTATACGACGTATGTCACATGGTCTCTAGGCTTAGAAGCCATCAAAGAACAATTCGTCATTGCCAAGCAACGCATTGCTCCTGAAATCGGAGCAGTTCAGACTTGTTCCTTGGCGTTAGCCATGAATCGAACTTGAAGTCGTTGCCGTCTCCGAATGCAGAAGATATTTCCCCGCCTTGAGACTGGCGTTCAACTTGAGTCTGGACCCCCATTGCAGTCTGAGCCCCCGTTGAAGTCTGAGCCGAAAGCCCACTCTGAAAGAAAGATACAAAAAAGAGGTCCGACACATTCAGTGGGATATGCTGTTTCCATATCTCATTCTCTGGGTCAGGCCCCAAGTCCTTCCATCTCGTGAAGAACATTGCTCTCCCATGGCTGTCGTAGTAGTCGAAGTCAATACTGTATTCGGTGCGGCATTCTCGACACTTCCTTATCTCAGATCTGTTTTCAAGCATGCTCCTTCTGAGCTTGATGTGTGGACATATCATCTCAGGATAAAGATCGTCCACAAAGGTTGTGCCATTCAAGCATTTGAGCGAGATGCGTACACTCTGTAGGCGATGCATCAAACGCCCACGGATAACACGGCATTCTTCTCTGGATTGCCGCACATAGCCTCCATGTTCCACGGTCTGCGCTGCTTTGTTGGACATTATCGACAATAATCCTGTATAACCGGGTTGTTGGTGATGTCTTTTGATAACCATTTTGAAAGCGGTTGCACCAAATAAGTCAGTTATGTGGCTAATGTCGTCATTTCGGTCCTTGACCACACAGGCTGGAAGGGGTAAAGAGTCGTATTGACGGATTCTCCTTCCAGCACTATAAGTAGCGCTGTTATATCTTTGCAAGTTCTCCATTTTATGTAGCCGTCTACAAGGAACACACACAATGCAATTAGGCAGATCGATAGCCAAAAGATTAAGCAGCGCGAGTGTGTGTTGGGTTGAAGAGGCTACCTTCGAAAATTGCTGGGGGCCAAGTAAATGTTTGAGGTGCGAGCAGGAAAGGCAGAAAGTCACGGCTGACTCTGGAGGAAGGTAGTCCGTGATACATAAAAGAATATCCAAGGAAATACTGTTAAGGGCGGACGATGACAATGCAGCAGGCTTTTGCCGCTGGCGGTGGTAGGAAAGCAACCTTCGAAGGTAATCCATTGACTCTGTCTTGTCTTCAGATAAGCCTAGTTCCAGCTCAGTCTCGCTGTCCAGCTCCGAATGTTTCTTGCCTCTTGCCCACGCGTCCGCGACTGTGTCTGCCTTCTTGTGTTCGCAAAGGGTTGGTGGCTGTGGAGCTTTCGGAGTCAGTAATTGTATGGGACTAGGAGATTGTTACTGCAGAATGCGATCGAAATGATATTTGCAAAATCCTTATGGATCGTTGTAGTCGTAGAGCAAGAGTCGGATGATGGTGTTTACAAGATTGCGAGGTTGGATGAACCGAGATGCTGCCTGGCTTCGCAGGTAAGGTATGGCGCATTATAGGACCCAGCAGAATAGCTGAGAACCGCAGAAAAGAAAATGGAACGAAAGTTGGAGAATTTGGGGATACGCAGCGACGTCGTTTTAGAAGACTACACACGAGGATTCGGGGTCAAGATGCTTTGGCAAGGTTCTGGCAGGTCTCGATCGAGTCTGGACACCTCTAAGACAAATCACCGTGTGAAGGCAAAGAATAATGGCAGGAGTGAGTTTGAGCGCAACGGCCTCCAAGCACCTTCCGCCAAAATAAGTATTAGGACTGGCAGTGTACTTGTGCCTTCTTCTGTTTTCGCATGCTTTCTCTCTTCTTTTTCGATCATCGACGCAGCCCTCGTGTCAAACCACTCTTGTTTCCAAACCACAATCACAATGTCTGGCTGGGAGATCGCAAGCTGCATCTGCGCTTTTCTGGCACTTTTCGTCGCCGTTTTGGCACTTCTTTTCGCTGCCCCTTTTTACTTTGATCGAGTGGGCTGGCCTCTTGGGCAATTCGTTATGCTCCCCCGCCGCCCAAACGGGGTTTCGCTCCTGGCTCGCCCGAGTACTTGGAGTTGCAACAAATACGGATCTACGCCAAAGTCATCACCATGATGGCTATGATACAGAATAGCGAGAAAACGACACACTCGATTGCTGATCTTCGTGAGGAGCTCGACAAACTCGACAACCTCAAGTGCAAACTCGACTAATTTCGACCTTCGTCCTATCCTCAGCATATTCTTATTAATTCAAATATTGTTATCACCAGCGAATCCAGCGAATCCAGCGATCAGCCTGCACTTCTCCGACAGTGCTGGTGACTAGCAGCCTTAGTCGGGTGAAGCTAAGACAGGCTCTCCAATTGCTCAGTCCCCGAGAATCTTCTCCTTCTGTCGTTATGGTGATCATTGATCATTGCTAACAACTTGCGTCTGTACAGATACCTAATCCTACCTTAATCAATAGCTTCACGAGTCGACTGACTGCGAGAATGCCGAACATCACAACTTCCGAGTAAGTACACTTCTTTCAGAGCTGAATAGCCAAGATCAACAAGGCATGTCTGCATCTGGAACACCCTACTGCCGAGACAACGCGGAAAGAAGAACAGACTTCCGAGATCGTCAGACCATGGGTGCATCGTAGGAGGGAGGCAAGAGAAAAAGGTCGGCATAAGGACGAGTAGAGGATGTAAATGGCATAAAGGCGCGAATGTGGCCAATAGCATAATTCCACACCCATTGATAGCCTCATGAATTTAAACGGGTGATACAACGCAACTTGCTAGCAGCTCGTGATACCATGCTCTCGGTGGCGGTCAATCACCCAATGTCCAAGCAAGAAGGTGCGTTAACGTCCAAGAAGCCAAAGTTATTGTGAAAATTTTGCGAACATTTGAGAATCAGGGTTATGCACTCAGGGTTTAGCACTCTGCTTTAGTGAATTTCTTTCAAACATCTAAGATTGTGTCTGTTTGTTGTCTATGCTTCATCTTGCCAAATTTTTGAAATTTTTGTCCCTGCTCGAGCCTCGATCCATAGGTTGAGAATTAAACCTCTGGACCTCTATATCGTATGTGAGGAAGAAATAAAATGTTCTGGCTCACCATTACGGACTCCAGGAGCCTAAGGGCTCGAGCTTTTGCTCAGACGCTCGTGTTTCCAGAATCCGTGTGGAGAGAAGAATCTGCCTCGAGCTCAAAACGAATTATGTTTAGAGAGATCCCATTTGGGTTCTCAGGGAGCCGACTTCGTTCCCCGTATAATTGACAACTCTTGCACGGCATAACCAAATAGTACACCAGGGTCGCTCGAATTCGAGGGTCGAGTGTTACCCGAAGACAGCAAAAAATAAATCGTGCATATTTAACTACTACTACCGCAATACGCCCCTTGACAGGTTTTCCACCAGTTTTATATAGTAGATTAAATCCCCTAGGCATGTAAGTGCTAGAAGCTTCTTTGGCCTCTATGCTTTCCGGAGGTGTATAGTAGTGATTAGAGCGCGTTTGGTTGCGTTTTAGTGTTTTAATACTTCGGCTAAATATTCGGCTCGTCACGAATTCCTGCAACCCCTGGTGGTATGTAATTATATTATAATTAGTCGCCAAAAAGAGAGCACAGTAAGGTTATATCCTTATGTAGTTCTTAAACGTTCAAAACAGAACCTGCTTTTACTTGAGTTATCAGACGCAGTCCGTCACACCTTCCGCCTACCGCGTATAAGCAGGGAAATCAGTCTTCGCTAGCTTATCACGGCCCCTTTCCATTAGGCTGGTCTGTTTGCCAGCAAGTTACTTCTTGCTTCTTAGATAGCAGTTGCAGTGCGTAAACGCGTGTATGAATTAACGCCTAGTTCTAAAGTCGCTCAGTCAAGAATAGCTCTTATTCATAGCAGCTATAAAGACCACTCCATCCGGGTCAAATCAGTACCGAAACTGGCTAAGCCCGGCATTGAAGGACAGGTATTATATTTAGATTTAAACACAAGGGATCCTCCTATGCATACGCGATTGCCTTATCCAGTCCCAACATAAGATAATTAGGTATCCTGCCTTTAACAATCATTTGCTGCCCCGAATTCTCATTCCGCAACCTCCGAGCTTCCTTTTCCAACTCGGCGATATATTGGATCGCTTTGTCGAGGATTATTCCCTGGCTTCTTGTTAGCAACATGATTGAGAGTCTGACTTCGTATGTATTTACCTTATTACACTTCTGCGCCTTCCTCCTCTCACCAGCGTCACTATCCATGGCATCCTCGCCCTCCTCCTCCTCCTTCCCTGCGAAACGGAGACTAGGGATGCTATCGCGCAAAGCATTGATCTTGCTGTTCAAGTTGTTCCGATACCGCTTCTCGATCAGGTTGTGAGAACTGTTTTGGCGCTTGCCGATAGGCGAAGCCGATTTGCCACGAGAGGTTTCGGACGATTGACTCCTCCCTTCCCCCGTCCGTATTGCAGCTGTCGGTTTCGACCTCTTCGTTTCTACGTCGCGGTCAACGTCCCATGGGGAATTAGACTCCGAGCTGCTGGGAGATGAAGCCAGGCTGGGAGGAGAGAGGATGGGGCTGTTGCGTGGAGCTGCTGGGGTGGTGGTGTTGTTGTTGTTTTCGAAAGCGGTGGGGATGAGCCATGGATCGATGAATGATTTTTGATCTAAGCGGTCTTCTGGGGTGTGAGAGACATCTGATATTGGCGATGGCAGTGCAAACTCAGGCGGACTTGAGGAAGTGGATAGGTGGCATGATTCTGGGTCGCCGAAGCTTTGCAGGTCCTCGAAATCGAAGGGTAGTGGGTTGTATTCTGTACCGTGGAGTTAGTCTAATTCTCTGTCGCGCTTGAGTGACAAACATACGGTTGAACCACATATAGTTGGGGCATAGGTCTGAACCTGTGCTGACAGGCTCCGAGTCACATGGCTCTGCCGACCAGCACTCTTCCAGAAATTGATCAAAAAGCTGGTTGGGGAGCAAGTCAGCAGCTGTACTTTCAGATTCGCAAGACCCAAAAAAGTCATATATTTCCAAGGAGGCGGGCCACTTTTCGTCAAACCAATGTCACTGGTACTAAGCAACCAGCGAGTTCACGGCATACAAATTTGACCCTTGCATAGAGAAAACATAGACACCATTGATTGAAAAGAAAAGGTGGCATGGCATACCTGAGAGTCCATGGCCTTTGAATGACAAACGCACTCAGGGGTTGGTAAATAGCCGAATTGGGTGTCGCTAGTAGAGGGCGGCAGTCAAGGAAGGTATGTGAATTTCGGGTAAGCCAGTTAGTTGCTGAAGCGAGTAGTTGGCTCGTGTGTTCTGAGCGTGGAGAGAATGGCGTGGTAGTGCATGCAATGCCTCCTTTAAGTATCCACATCATATACACATCAGTACGCGGGCAACCTTGGGACTCCTCGCTCTCACGCCGAGGATTCCCTCACGGGGGGAAGCGCGCCAGCCTCGTGGCGGGCGCGGCGAGGGGCAGCAAAGCCGCCCCACCTTTTATTCCTCGGACTTGGGTGGCCGCGAGGCGACGAGGACGAGGACGAGGACAAACGCTTTTTAGGTCAGCTTTTACTGTCCTGAGGCATCGTCACGAGCGCGGGGAGAGAGTCGAGAGAGTCGCCCCCTGGATTCCGAGGGGGATTTGGAAGCCCAAGCGAGTCGGCCCCACCACAAACCCCCCCCCGCGGCATCACAGCTGCTCGCACCACACCACTTGGAGTGCGGACGGCGGGAACCGCCGCTGAATGTGTTTCCCATGGTTTGATGGGTTTGATGGGGGGGGCGGAGAAGATGCACTTATAGATGTACATGTACAGTCGCATATGGCTAACTCGACTCAACACGTCAATCACAGATCTCGCTTTTCGAAGAAATCCTGCATTGGATAATCCTGCACAATGGCAGACGTGTATTCTCTCGCCGAACGAGCACGCGGCAAACTGATACAGGCGGCCTCCCGCCAGGATCCTCAATTACGCCGCGTCTTGGGTCACGCTAAACTCCTCGACTATCTCATCATCGAGCTCTCCTGTGCGGAATCGACGGGGGATGAAGGCGACGCGCGAGACGAAGTTCTCGTGGGATCTGAGGAAGACGGATGCGATCTGGAGGATTCGGATGATTCCGACTCAGACTCAGACGCAGACGCAGACTCGCACTCGCACTTGGACTGGGGTTCCGACCCAGACAGCGATTCAGAAACCGATTCAGACACCGGCTCAGATTCGGGCTCAGATTCGGGCTCAGATTCGGACTCAGATTCGGACTCAGACCCGGGTGCGGAATGGCGCTCTTACGCTTACGCTCACTCTTACGCTTACAGCGCCCAGGTGGGAAGTGCGGCACGTGACTGGCCTCCGATTGAATGCTGGGAAGCCGCAAAGCCAATGATTGTTGGCGAGCGACCCATGAAAGTCAGTGTTCAGGAAGTCAGGGGGCGAGGCGAGAGGGAGACCTGATTGGAGGAAAGGCACGTCCCGCGGGGAGTCGCTGAAAAGCCCGCGGGCTCGGAGCAGTTTCCTCGGGATCCTGACTAAGCATGCATAACGGCGCCTGTTTGGCGCGGCCCGGCCTTCTCAACATACATATGGGCCCTGGCATGGAGGGCCGTCGGCTTGCAGGTGTCGCTCGTCAGTTCTACAGAACATCTGAGGAACACGGGCAAAGGGAAATGTCATGTCTGCCCCCAAGGAAAAACAGAATATTGTTGTTATAGGTATGAAGTCCGACATACCATACCGCTATGCCGGGCAGGCTTTGCTAACGTGACTCTGTAACCAGGGGGGGGAATTATAGGATGCACTACCGCATACTACCTCACCCATCATCCGCAGTTTGATTCTTCTAGCCACACCGTTACGGTCATTGAAGCTGCGAATCTGGCCAATGCCGCTTCAGGCAAAGCTGGTGGGCTAGTGGCTGCCTGGGCCACCTCAAGCAACCTTGCCAAGCTGAGTTTCGACTTACACGATCAACTGGCCCGAGAATATAACGGCGCGGAACTCTGGGGCTACCGTCGCGTTCGGTGCGGGCAACTGACCGCTGTGGTGCCCCAGCGAAGGGGCACTTCCAAGCTGGAGTCGAGCAGCCCTCCGAATATCGAACTGGGGAAATGGTGGGCCCGAGACCTCAAGAAATCGTCGGTACTGCCACATGACCTAGACTGGTTTGACAATGAGAGTGCTCAAGCCTACGAAGAATTCGCCGATACCAGCTCCACTGCACAGGTGCATCCTTTTCAATTCACAAGCTCCATGGCGAAGCTGGCCGAGCAAAGCGGGGCAAGGATCGTCATGGGGAAGGTGGAGTGTATCAATTGCTGCAACGCGGACGGCTCGTCCGAGAGTCCTTCACCACTGACGTCCTTCGACAATTTAACGCAAAAGAAGGTGGTTTCGGTCACCTACGTGGACAAGGTCACCTTGGAACAACATACTCTTCCAGCTACCACCGTTGTGCTTGCCGCAGGACCTTGGACCCCTACACTCTTTCCGAAAGTCCGAATCCATCCACTCCGTGCACACAGCGTGAGTATCAAGCTCCAAAGGCCTGTGTCTGCATATTGCTTGTTTTCAGATATCCGCCTCGGCGACTCTCGACAGACTGTTGGAGCAGCGAAACCCATTTCGTTGGAGATATATGCGCGCCCGAACAACGAGGTTTACATCTGTGGCCAAGGGGATCGGGATATTCCCTTGCCAGCCCCTGGAAACGCTGTGGAGGTTTCCTCCGATAGTTGCAACGACATCATTAACGCGGCCATGAGTGTGTCGGAAGAGTTGCGGAACGGCAAGGTGACAGGAAGACGGGCGTGCTACCTGCCTACGTTGGATGTTGGAGCTAGCAGCGATCCGCTAGTAGGCCAAACGGAGCTGGCGGGACTTGTTCTAGCCACCGGACATTCGTGTTGGGGCATCTCCAATGCGCCTGCAACAGGAAAGGCGGTTAGTGAGCTCATACTCGATGGAAGAGTTAGCTGTGTGGATGTGGCGAGTTTAGACCCTAGGAGAATTCGTTGACAAGAAGACGCATTGATAGACCGCTTCCAAATAGCGAGGCCATAGCAGAGGAAGCCAACCCGCTTTTCCGGTAGTATGCTGGACACATATCTGAGCATTGATACTTATCTAGCTATATATTGATATAGCAGGCGCAACAGGACCAAAAAATCACGTGATGAGCACCCCACAGCGATTTCCAAGTTCATGCCTCAGGCAATAACCTGCTCCGCTCGCCACCCCTGCATAACCGTAATTGAGCCGTGGTGTGACTTCACCAAAAACTGACTTGAATGAATGTATTAACGTACGACTATTCTTTCACAACCCCACCACCCATACCATGTCTTCAGTTCATAATTATCGGGTGAGCAAGCCCGCACAGCGTACGTCAACATGCGACATGTGCAGGTCCAGGCATCAAAAGTGCGGCGGGGAACAGCCACAGTGCTCGAATTGCAAGCTACGGGCCATAAACTGTTCCTACAGCGGCGCGAAGACACGAGTACCAGAGACTAGTAGATCGCCTGGATCTACCTTTGCACTGCCGTGCGTTCCCAGCGCCCTCCTCTTATCACAAAATGACTAATGGCTCCATGCTGTAGATCGAGCCGCCCGTCCATTTCAGATGCCGACTACGACCGCCTTTACGCAGAGATATTCGGTGACATCGTAAGTAACATCTCCCACACTACCAAATACGCACCAAGGCTGATAACGTGCCACAGGTTCGACGCCTTAATCTAGATAAGGGTGGCAGATCGGGTTCTCATGAAGATGCTCTTCTGGATGCGCGACCAGGCAATGCAAGCTTGCCAATGTTTCATCGCGAAGTCTCCTCCATAGTCAGGGAGCAGGTCTCACATGATAGCTGGCTTCCCACTTCCCAATCTGATGCCAACCTCATCAATGAGTCCGCTCTTGAACGGAGCCCGGACCATATCCGTAAGATCCTGAGAGATTCCCTCCCATCGCAAGAGGTCTCTCGGCACCTTCTCGATATGTTTTTTGACTACCAGGACTCCATCTTCTATGTATGTAATAGAGAGGAAGCGCAGGCCCAGCTGGCCCTTATGTATGAAGAACCGGCTGGGGTCAGCATATCTTGGTTTTGCCAGATGTTCTTAATCTTCGCTGTAGGTGTCCAATTCGACGATGTCTACGACACCGATGGAACAACATACCACGAGATCGGCCAAAAGTACATTGATGATGCCATTGATGAGAACCCGCAGAGCACGATATGGATTATTCGGGCGATGCTTCTGCTTTGCCTCTTCCAGCCACCAACGAAATGGAACTCCGTATGGATGCACCTTGGTACGCCCATTGCTCCCCGCAAAATAACGATTGAAGCTCATAATTGATAGATACCGCCATTCGAGGGGCCCAAAGATTTCAGCTAGATGTGGGACACAATCTTCTGAAAGAATTATCCGACAACGAGTATCGGGAATGGCGCCGGCTATGGTTAACTATAATCTCCTTTGACCGGTATGTCTACCTTGAGAATTGTTACCGTTTTCATTCAGAGACTCATTGTGCTACAATAGCTGGGTAGCAATTTTCCTAGGACGACTACCACGCGTCAAGGAAAGTATTTCTAGAGATCCCATTTTGAAGGTAAGAGACAGGAACATTCACTATCCTCATTTAATAACAGTCACTAGGACCCGAATTTCAGATTTACCTTGACGGACACCATTCAAAATAACATTACAACTTTAGCAATAATATCGGGAGATATATTACGCGATATGTATTTCTCAGAGCAGCCCAGTCTCAACACATGCCGTCAATACAAAACTGAGCTCAAAAAATGGACATCGAGTTTACCGAATCCTCTTCAGCAGTACATCCAATCGGGCGAATTTCCAAAATTCCCTAAGGACCAGGCTGAATCCACAGTTAGTTTTGAAGCAGGAGGTCTTGGGGATTCATCTGACACGGTGTTAGTTGAATTTATATTTCATGCACCTAGGGGCGTGGATGTTAGTCACAAGGCCATTCTTATTGAGGGCGTTGAAAATGGAGACGTCAGGTAACTTCGGGGGCCCTATTGTCTCAGCAATATCGTCTGAAGCGACATTGTGGTACGTAACGCTATCGAATCCGACCATGATGCACTGTCTTGGCATGAACAAAACTAACGTCTGTGTCCAGCATTGACTCTGCATCTCGTCTTATCAACAATGCCACCACAATGTTAGGTTCATCATCTGCACCAAGGAAGTCATTCATGCCAGTGTACGTTTAACCATTCCCATCCCAGTCTCAGCTCATAGCACTAATACCCGCAACAGGTTTTTCTTGATCAACGCAGCCCACATCATGATTCTTGCAGCAGTCTGGAAGCTAAAGCAAAACAGAGGCGGTTACGGAATGCAAGGGCCATACGACCAGCCCCGCGAGCTCGCCGCAATCGACGCCTCGATTCAAATCCTCGAGTTCTGCGGCCACAGAAATCCCTTTGCGCGCAGGTATTCAATCTCGATCAAAGACCTCCAACGACAATTAGTTTCCGGCCTCTCGGCCAAGCCCTCTCCGGGTTTGGGCTCGGGACCTCCCCTCTCCTCCATGTCCTCTTCAGCCTCCGTAACGGATTCCGACCCCGCGGCCGAAAGCCCCTATTTCCAGAACCTGAGGGTTTCGGTCGAGCAGAGTGGTAGTGCACCTACTATAGCAGCCTTGAGACCTTCTTTTGGTGCGCAAACATCATATACATCTGAGAGTCCTTTGAATATTAGCCTCGAAGGCTGGTCGCCGGGTCGGCTTAGGACGCTGAGCCCTGGGGATGAGGATCTTTATGGTATGTCTAGCCCTTCTTTATCATATTGCTTTTGCCCCTAATATGAGCACATATACTTACTTACATGCCAGCAGACCCTACGTCCTCCTTTGGGCTTCAGCCTGATGAGCATAACTTCTGGAGCCAGATGAAAGAATAGCATTTAGATTTATATTTTGCGTTTAATCATTTAAGCCGTTTGTTCACTGAATTGTGAATTACAGGTGACTACTTCATCGTTTGAGGTTCTTATGGATACGGGTATTTTGAAATTCCGTGGGTCAAAACCTATTAATTCTCTCGACGTTTTCCCCCCTTCAATACTACGAAAATATAGACTAAGTTAGAGCAGAGCTGGTTAAGTGTAGTCAGAAGTTCGGCTCTTTGAAGAGCGTTGGGCATCTCTAGTACAGTAGTATAGCGTTCCAGGTGGTGCGACGAGAACCGGTCGCGACGTCGATCTCGAGTAGAATTATGGTCGATGCGGCCCAGTTCCGAAAGATCAACCCCAACTATGCAAGGCCAAGCCTAATTAAGGTAACAAATAGCCGGCGGCATAATTCCAATCCTATCGAGCTCTAGTTTGATGATGATAGTCCGCCTCCACCGCCGAGGGCCGTCCAAGTCAAGGTTGACGACGTGGATATTTATATGCAAGATGAAGACAATTTGATTATTTGCAGTCCAACCGTTCTAAGATATGGTCTAAATGATAAGTTGTAGCGTAAGAACCCCGTCTAGTAATAAGAGGCTTGTGAAGCTAATCAAATCCTATGTAGTGGAGTTCGCGGTCGACGACATCACTGAGATCAGCTGGAACGACTCCCTTTGGAATCATCTTTCGATACAGCCTAAGCAGAAGAATCTCACACTGGCTCTTGTAGTATCTCATTCGCAACGAATACCCGATTATTCATTTGATATTATTATCATAGGGAAGGGTCGTGGTCTGATTATACTCTTCTAGTACAGCACCTAGCTTCAACTATATTTCTCAAGTCTACTAACAAACGTACTAGTGGACTACCTAGAGTTAACAAGACGCTGACTGCTGAAGCACTGTCGGAGCACCTGCGGAGACCGCTCTATACCGTGTGGGTATTCCTCTTAGAGCTGCTGCTCTTTGTGCTGACGATTTGTATATATCGGCTAGGGATCTGAGCAGCGATACAGCAAAGCTCGAGAAGCAGCTTTCGCTTCACTTTGAGCTTGCGGATCACTGGAACGCTCTGCTTCTTCTCGATGAGGCTGACATGTTTTTGCGCAAGCGCGACACGGATTATACCCACAACCCACTCGTCTCGGTGTTCTTACGCAAGTTGGAATATTATCAAGGAATCATGCTCCTTACTACTAACTGAGTTAGGGATTTTGATCGTGGGATCCAGAGCAGGATCCACCTTGCGCTTCGGTATGGTCCTTTGGGTGCTTGGAATACCTTTCTTCAAAATGCAATCACGGCGGGCGGGAAAGCAGACCACAGTGATGAGAACCTTGACGACCCTGCAAAGCACGAGCTCCATGGTCGCCAGGTAGGCACCTGTTTCGTCGAAGTTATGAGTTCATACGCTGACAGGTTCCTCCTTCAGATCAGGAATGTCGTCCGATCACCCACAGCTAGCCACCTTGCAAGCTCTTTCTACTGCCGTATCTCTACCCCTCCCGCTTCTTCTATTAGCGCTTCCTCGCTAAGTTCCCTCCTCCCAAGTGATTCTACTGCTACCCGAGTATCCGCTGCTCTTACTCAAGGCCCTGAGCTGGGGTACTATATCGACAAGCATCTCGCAGCTCTTCTAGTAGACTACTAGCAGTTTCGCTGCGTTCTCGACTCTAATCTCGTCCTATGGTACCTCGGCCGAGCGAGGACTTGGGGAAGTAGGTGTGCGGGCCGATGATAACTCCACTTGTTACTCTCCCAAAGCCAACCCCAGTTCTTTCTCTAATTCAACTAGGTTCTTATTTGTCCACCTATTATCGCCGCTGTCGGAAGACTTAGGGAGGGAGTAGAGCGTAGACTCCACTGACGTACTTCGAGTGATACTGCCGACACTATACTAGTAGGTCTGATCTTGTAGTAGGTAAGCTTGTTCGGGAGTAGAAAGTACGCTATACTACTCGTGAGACCTAAGTCCCGGGTTATCTCCTTAATATAGCGGCCCTCTTTAACGTTATACTGTAGACTAAATGTATCAATAGACTCTGTCGGTCCTAAAGCGAGTTCTGAAGTTAGGAGGGAGTTATATAGACTTATATCTAATTTAATATACCTAGTATCGACTTCACTAGAAACGCCTTCGGCCTAACTCCTAGCACGTACCTTATCTAAGCCGTCGTTATTATCGAGAATCGCTAGTAATCTGTATATAATTAGCGGACTTCTATATACAAGGACAGTCGGTATAACTACCTCTACTCCTGCCTTGACGTTCACCCGACTTTAATTATATTTAGACTTTGCAGTCCTATCCTATGAAGAGCTGGCTATTCCAGGCGCTAAAAGGTGGACTTCTAGTCTTCGAGGACTCAGTCAAGATCTTCGGACGCAGAGCTGTCCGCTCCTCGAGAGATAGAAGATTTCCGTCTAATTCACCGTCATTGTCATCAAGAGCACGCTCATAATCTAGAGTAACAAAATCAGAACAATCCACTCTCAGTATAGGTTTTCAACGTACTTTCAGCTTTCGCTACTATATTTCTATTTACTTCAATTCAATATCTAGAACGGGAAAGAGTAACTGCGAGCCTGTGTACTTTCTAGCTGCTGCTAGAGTTAGATGACCGAATTGAGCGGCTAGGTTTAGTAGTTTAGAGAGTGTTTCGCTTGAAAATTGGCGGGTTTAATAGAGGAAATGCAAATAGAAAAAATCTCGTGCTCTTAAGAGTAGCTAGAAAGCAAACTAGTTTGAGTATATATGTAATATTCAGTGAGGGGAATTGAACGGCTTAAGTGTAACCCGTGAAACGCCTACTTATTAGAACTAGGCTATTCTCGTCTATATATTAGCTTTGCCGTTTACAACTACTATAAGCTGTCCTAAAATCAAATAATCTAGTCCTATATATGAAATCTCAGCTCCTTCAGGCTTCTGCTAGGACTAATTCATTATACTAAACTTTAGTCTTTCTTAGTTTCACTAACGATCGAGAAATCGGCCTGTGATTAGTCTAATCTTACTCGAAATCTAATATATAATAACTACTAATCAAGCTCCTCCCGAGGTTATATAACGTACTATTATACTATCTTCTATATTAGCTTACTTACTTATAACTTATTCTTATACTACTAGTATTTCGTATTCGGTTTATAAAATACTTAGTAGAAACTTTAATAATGCTATTATTATATAGATTATTATCTACTATAGCTACGTTAGAAAGAAATTAGTTTTACTTGTTATAGATTAGTCTAGATTAAAGTATCAGTATATATTATTATCTCTATTAACTTAAAGAGAGTTTACTAACTTGAAAAAACTTTATAGCTAATTAATAAATAGAGTATAAGTCGGTATTTCCAAAATTAATATACTGAATCGGATTAGTATACCTCTCCTACATTATATAATTACGCTTTAGTTATTACTTACATTTCGAATAAAGCTCGCTTAACACCCCTTCACTTAGCCTATCTCAGCCTCGCCTACAAGCCACGCTGGCGGCTTGTATAGCTCCTAGGGATTATTTTCCTTGTCTGACCTACTATCCTACTTATTCTTAGTGATTACTGAGCCTTCCATAATCCGGATGATGTTCTCCGGTCTAAAACTACCCATAAATCAGTACCTTGTCTCACTTTCAGAATTACGAACTGACCAAAACCCCTCCCCTGCCTTCTAACACTCCCAGATACAGTCATCGAAGCTGATTGACGTTATTATAGCTTCCTCAAAGCTTTACAAATAACAGTTGCATCGAGCTAGGTAATCTGTCTCGTCAAAATCCATCCAGGACTCAGGAAGTCGGCAATCTTTCTCTATTAATGATTACATCTGTAAGCTAAGTAACAATCTTTACATTACTGCTAAAGTCCATATGTGTAATATCCATTTCCGCGAACGTTTTTGCCGGAGTCGTCTGTCTCAGCATGTAAATATTTTGAAGTGTGACATCGCTGATCGTATTCGCAGAATTATACCCCTGAATGTACGCCCCCTGAGTTCCCTTAGAGTTAACCTTAATATCGTTGATTTTCACACCCTCGATAGGTCCAGCGCCCGCTGTTCCAGGTTGTTGAATGTAGAGATCCAGCCAACTGCACTTGTCACCAGCCAGGCCGCTGATGTGCTCAATCTCGATATTGTAGAACGTCACGTCGCTGACTTTCGCAGACCCGAATTTGTGATCGATACCAATCCCAACCGCGCCCTTGTATACTACGCTGTTCTTGAATACGACGTTAGACTGGTCCTCGTATACGCCTTGGCCGATCTTGTATCCATAACATTGGGTCCACGCAACGCAATCGTCGAAAATCACGTTGTCCAGCGGCATTGGGTCATGGGGATAAGGCACGGTGGTGCCTATATCTTTTGGCCATGTTTTAGTGGAGAAGCAATCATCCTTCGATATAGCAATCGCTCTATAAGTCCGTACGTTCGTAGATTCCATAACGTCGATCCCATCGTCCTCATAGCCGATATCGAATCTGTTCAAGATCTTGACGTTCTTCAAGGCAACATCGGTACTTTGAATAGGCGTCAGAGCCCAAAATGAGGAATCTCGGATCAATGGGCCGTCGAAAATGAAATGTGCTGTATCCACAGGGACAACCATGTCTGCGATGAAATCGTTGTCAACACGGCCAATACCTCCTTGGCCATCGATAGTACCACGGCCATAGATTTTGATATCTTTACTGTTAAACTCTGTCGAAATCCACCAAGTACCGGGTAAGAGCCCAGTCTTGTTGTAGTGTATAGTATAGTCGCTTTTAATACCAGTGTTACGTATCACAGAGCCGCCGGCAAGGTAGAGTGAGGTTTGCGAACGCACCTTCAGATTCCCAGCTTTATATACCCCAGCGGGGACATAGACAATACTGCCGGGACTCTTGCCTGCGGCATCAAGAGCACTTTGAATGCCGATGTTGAGTGTTACGCCGGTATTGTCGGCCCCATAGTTGAGGACATTGAAGATTCCTGGTCCAGAAGAGGGCGGCACGTCTGTTTCCAACGGATCAGCACAGATTACTATCTCCTTGATACCGTTGATCGTGATTATAAGATAGTGGGCATCCACTACTGAGAAGACGAGGTCTTTGCCGTCTTTTTTGGGTTTGATTTGCCATTTCTCGGGAGAAATGTTATATGAATCGACATTTCCGCCGGGGATTACTCGGAGTCGGAATTCGGTAGGATAACCTTCGGACATGGACAGTTGAACATAGTCGTAGCCAGAATAAGCGACAATTTGCATAGCAGTGCTGTTGACCCAGAGGCTGTACATCCCAGATTTGGGGTAGATAGATGGTCGTTCATAGCCCACTACTTTGCCCGAAGCGAGAAGGGACATGCACATGAGGATAATTAAAAAGAGCTTCATGCTGAACTGTTTGAATGGGCTTGATCGGTCCATTGCAATTGTTTGATTTTTGAAATTCCAATCTCGAGATCCATACATCCTATGTATTATTTCTCATGTATGATGTATGAACCCCAGTCGGGACGCTCCGCCCTCTTCGTAAACCTTGGCCCAATTGGATTATAGAATCGAACACGAGGTTTACGCAAGATTAGGGTCAGTTTCTTCCTAATTAGGAAAAGTGAATTCCCGCAGGGCTGGCTTCCTAGCTAGTGCTCTGCTCTTACTTATGAAGTCATATCCTGCTATTTAAAGAAGCCCATAGCCACTATAATACAAGGATTAATAAGCTACTAGCTATGTGAGGGTAGCCGGTATTCCCACCACCACCCAAGATCGGCATTCCTACCACGCAACCCTTACGCATCAGGCATGCAGCGCACACACCAATACTCCCACCAAACTTGCGGCTGCTGGCGGAGCCAGCTGCGCAAGTTTACATTTGCATTTGTATCAGCGCCTCAAATGAAACACGACAGCGTGGGAGGCCTGTAAGTAGTGCAACTGAGCACGACCCCGGCATCGAGGGATGGGTTCTGTAATCTGCTCCTATCCTTTGCACCAGCGTGCCCCGTTCGCCTGTCCGCGGCTGCCCCGTACCCTTTTCTCAGTCGAAAAAGCTCCGTACAAGGGCGATGTGGATGTTTCCAGAGATTTGCTTTCGTGCCTCCACCTCTACTAGCGACGACGCCATCCCGAACAGGTCCTTCCCTGACTATCCCAAAGAATGATGATGACAGCACCGGCGACATCGAGCGGAATCGTAACGGTTTGCGGTCTTGGCGCCGTGGAACTTGGAAATTTGACACTTAGAACTTGGAACCTCGTGAGTGTCTCCGTACGCTATCTTTTGTGTGTATTTTGACAACTATACAAAATTATATATTGTCTGCTTTAGCAGGGCCTTTGTAAGTTTGAAAGGGGAGCGAAAACGGATACTATCACGAATATCTTAATAGGTTCAAAGTGGTAGCTATATTCTAGATAATAGGTACTAGTAAGACTAATATTTAAAGAATATAGGAATTATAACCGATTTGGGAGGGGGCTAGAAGGGGATCCCCTGAGCATGATCCGGCTGACTTATTAGCGTGCTCAGGATTCAGGGCTCAGCTCAGATTAGAGTAGCGACTACTCAGGTCCAAAGATAGGTTGTAGGTCGGCTGTCCAAAGACGGAACTGGACTTTGGAGAGGTCAAGATTCGGTGTAGATTATATTAGGAGTCTGATTATACCCAGTTCTGTGCCAGGCGCCGAGAGCATTGAAGGAAGATGTGGCACAACTTCTCGGTGGTAGTACATTGATCGATGACTTCAGTTAGCCGTTATCATGCAGCGGCGAGGTAGCTGTATTGCTGTACAGGCTACCCCTGAGAAACACGAGATTTGACCTAAGCGTCTTATTATCCGAAGATAGGAGCGGCAAGGTAATTTTAACCACTAAGCCGTTTGGCCTATGGAGGAAAAAGATTAATAAATATCGCTACCAGGTCGCAGGTTACGAGAAATTGATCGTTGTCTGTCCTTTGAATCTCGGTTTGAAGCATAGCATTCATCATTTCCTTGGCCTCACGGGACCGTAGTCATGCTTGGAGCCAACCCTAGCCTGATCCAACCGGGCCCTGCAAGACAGACAATTCGCACGCCTTTGGTGCTCATACATGACGGCAGCGGCCTCATATTCAGTTATTTCTGGCTGGGGCCACTAGGCCGCGCAGTGTACGGCATCTACAACCCGAATTTTGAGTCCGGCGGGAACTGGGAGGGCGGGCTTCGCCAGATGGCCCAAGCCTATGTACCCCTTATCAAATCTGTGGTGCCTTCGGGCAAGGTCCTCATCGGGGGTTGGTCTCTCGGAGGCTTGCTGGCTCTCGAAATCGCACACTTGCTCGCCCAAGATGACGATGTCGCGGTATCGGGCCTCCTTCTTTTGGATACCGCTTACCCCAAGTTCAACACGGCGGATGAGATCACGACGCGCGACCACTTTGAACTTCCCTCGTCAAGTCCCAATGCATCGCTTGGACTTCAAGTGCAAGAAGCCTTTCGCAATGCCCGGCGGATGATTGACGAATGGGACCCCCCAACCTGGGGCGACAAGGACATACTTCCACGACCAGCCATCCTCCTCAAGGCAACCGACTACGTGTTGGGTCAGGGCGAAGAAGTGGCCACAGTCGACATCGCCCGCCAGACCCAGCGGCTCGGATGGGATGAATACCAGCACAAGTTCATCAGGGTGGTGCTGAGTATCGCTGGTCACCACTTCAATATCTTTGCTGAGGACAAGGTAAGATATGATCCCATAAGAATGTGTGATGGCAGAACATTTAAAGTTTCATTTACTGAGAAAGAAGTCACCCCAGGTCCAGGAGTTTACTAGAAAGATCATGATGGCATGTACAATGCTGGAAGTGCAATCTTGATCAAGTGCACCGGCCTCTAAACGAATCGCGACCACGTTGGTGAGACGATCGCGCGTGCCGCTCGATAGGTAGAGTCTAGGGAAAACCAACTGTTTCTATAAAAAAAAGAAAAGTGACATCGCCTCTTAGTTACGTGACTGAAGAAGATCGTGTCTTATACCTAGTATACTGCAGTAACGGGTCTAGCTTGGTGCATCCCCCCTATTAAGGATGTCGCTCTGTTGTTCCATAGTCGCATGTTCAATAATGTCCTCCATCTCCATCTGATATCCCAACCTCTTGTACTGATCGGCAAGTTGGGCCGCCGCTATGGGGCTACTCCAGATTGAGTAGAACGGAGTCACTGGACCCATCGCCACTTCACCGAATACCTCACGCCAGACTTTTTCAACATCAGATATAATCACAGCTGTCTTGCTTGCATCGACAACGTCACTCGTTGCGTCTTTCGAAGCGTGTTGGCTAGCACTGCCATTGGTCAGCCGAGTGGGATCCATCGCTATCGGCTCAAACGCGGAAGTAACGGATGACAAAGGACTGTCGAGTTCGTTTTGGTGACTGATCTGATCGAGGTATGAGCACAGCAAATCGGCCATATCAGCGACAAGGCTGCTTGAAACACGTTGTGCGCTGTGAAGAAATTGAATGCACATAATGTTCTCATTACCGCCCGATGTGCTGGGCATTGCGTCGACGACAAGATCAGCGAGGTCCGACCGAGGGTTTGTCGCCGACAAAAAGCATTCCAGCCCTTCGCCAAAGGGGATCGTGCCCGGTTCTACGGCTGCGACCTGACACTCCAGCAGCGTGCTGAATCGGGTCCAAGACGGCCACTGCGTGCACTGGGACACAATATCGTCATAGGGGTAAGTTTCGTAGGGCATGCCTTGGAGATTCTGGTCTCGGACGCTCTCCAGCAGCTCGAGCTTCGTGTTTGCCTGTCTAGTATCCACGCGAACAGGAGTAACGTTGATACATGGACCAACGACGTCCTCAATCTGCGCCATGGGAAGGCTGCGCCCACTGACGAGATATCCGAACACAACGTCTGCCTGTCCTGTGACCGCAGCCAGAACCTTGGCCCACGCAGCCTTCAGGACGATGGCAAAAGTAATGCCGCGCTCCAGGAACTCGACTCGAGGGACTCGTCGCATCAGCAACTGGCTGGCGGGGTAGTTGTAGTAAGGCGGCTTCTTGTGCAGGGCGATCTCTGTCATGGAAGCGCCGTCTAGTAAACCGCGATAGAACTCGACAGCGCCGGCGTCATGCATTTCGTGAGCGGTGTAGACGAAGCTAGAGAATCCGGGCCAGCTTGATACGTCGCTTGCCGTGCCTCCATACAAGGCAGCGAGATCTTCTAGTAACAGCGGGAATGATATGCCGTCAAACTGTGCGTGATTGATGCGGAGAGTGAGGCGGAAGCCAGCGGCGCCCCCATCGAAGAACATGAACCGAATGAACGACTTGCCTAGAGCGGCTCTATCATTGACGGTGTCCTCTTCTATCATCCTGTCTGCAAACGTCTCAAGAGACTCGCCGTTGCTGCACTGGTAGTGGCTGAAGGCCCCCGGGAATGACCGTAGCACGACTTGGAGTAACTGTTGTCGACGGGCGAAGAAGACTGTCCGCAGGATTTGGTGACGTTCAACGAGGGCGTGACAAGCAGCCTCGAGACGAGCCGTGTCCAACGTGCTCGTAAAGTTGAGTGATATGTAGTTTGCCTTGGAACGGGGCTCTCTTAGCCCGCGAGCCACGAGTATGGTTTGCATATATGTCGTTTCCAGCACATCTTCGACATCATCATTGCTGTCGACGATGCAGTGGCGAATCATGTCGGACACGACTCCGTCTTCTGTTGAGTTGTGGACGGTAGAAAATCGGCGGTACTGATGTGACTGCTGCTCAGTTGTGGATGCTGTGCGCAGGGCTGCTGCCATCTTGCTCAGGGTCGGATTCTCAAAGATGTCGGCAACGGACAGCTTCAAACCCTCTGACTGGCACAGTGAAACTAGTTTTATGGCACTGATAGAGTCGCCCCCAACTTGCAAAAAGTGGTCGTCGGCCCCGATGGAGTTGACATCGACGGGCAACACCGAGGACCAAAGCTTTTGCAGTAGCTTCTCCATGGGGGTAGATGGCTCACGTTTGGCCACCTTGGATAGGCTATGTAACGCGAGGTCATCCATAGACATGTCAGAGAGCATTGCTCGGAGCGCTCGTCGATTCACCTTGGCCGATGCGGTCATGGGTATCGCGCCTAGCGGTAGATAGACCGATGGAATCATGTAGGATGGCAGGAAACGCGAGAGCTGCGAAGCAGAACTGGAAATCAAGGCATGCAGCGCTTCAATTGCCGCTGGATCAATTTTGCTCAAATCATTAGAGGCAACCTCGGTGCCCAAGGCAACGAAGGCTACCAGGGTGGAGTGAGTTTCGGTCCCTGACAATGACTTTTCGAGCAACTCCACGACAACGCCCTTGGCGCCTGGCATGGCTCGTTGTAGATGATGCTCGATCTCGCCCAGCTCGATTCTCTGCCCTCGTAGTTTCACCTGATTGTCCTTCCTGCCCATGAAGAGAAGAGTGCCGTCATCGTCAAAGCAGGCCAGGTCACCTGTTCTGTAGAGACGCTCGCAATTACCGAGCGTGGGGAAGTTACTGCGCCAGCTTGGAGGCTTCACAAAAGCTGCTGCCGTCTTTTCGGGGTCATTGAGATATCCCCGGGCCAGTATAGGACCTTCAATGAGTACCTCACCCGTGGCGCCTATGGGAGCCAGGATATCGGGGTTTGAAGCGTCAACGATCCAGAACCTCGAAGCCATCGGGCTGCCCACATTCCTGGGATGCGATTTGGCTGTCATGTTGGGATGACACGACATGATAGTGGCACACTCTGTCTGCCCGTAGCCTTGCACTAGCCTGACGTGAGGAGCCCATTTCTCAAGGTCGGAGGACGTCATGCTTTCAGCGCCCATGATAAGTGTCTTGACAGTGGATATCGCTTGCGGGGGGATCAAGCGTGAAAAGCTCGGTGTCATAAACATGTAGTTGATGTTCATTTCCTTGAGGACTTGGGGCAGGCGTGCCCGGGCCTCGCTGGGCACGATGCAAATACTGCCGCCGTAAATGAGAGTTGCGAGCATCTCGGCGATGGCAGCACCGAAACTGTACGAAGCCAGCTGCAGGATGCGCACAGAAGGCCCAAATAGGGCGCCTCGTGCGAGATGAGGCACCATGGAGCAAAAGGCTCGGTGCTCCATAACACAGCCTTTCGGCTCCCCTGAGCTCCCGGATGTGAATATCACGTAGAGTGCGTTGGAGAGGGCGGTGCGTCCACTGATAACCTGGTGGTCAGAGCTGGGGCGGTAGGAGTCGTCAACGACAATCGCAGTCTTCTTTTTGCACCCAGATATCCAGCCTGCCTGATCAGCGGAGCACAGGACTGCATTCGCATTTACGGCGTTCATTATGAACTCTAGACGGTCTCGGGGATGCGCTGGATCCAACGGCACCATGGCTCCTCCGGCTTTGGCCACAGCGAGCATGGCAACCACCATCCACTTTGACTTTTGAAAACACAACGGAACTTTGACCTCGGGGCGGACGCCCACGTTGACCAGGTGTTGCGCCAGACAGTTCGCGGCTTGGTCGAGCGCCTCATAGGTGAGATTGCCGTCCCATGCTTCGATAGCAACTTTTCCTCCGTTTCGGTGGACGCTCGCCTCGAACATCCCGTCCAAGCACAGCTCGGCGCTTTCAAGTAGTAGACTACCGGCGTTCCAACTTTCAATCTCTTCCCGGCCGTTGGGACCGAGCATATCGAGCTCTCCCACCAGACGCGTCTCGTTAGCTTGGAGAAGCTGCTGAACGAGGTGGCTGAACTGGCTCATAACCCTCTGCATTTGCTTATGGCTGATGATCTTGGAATCGTAGGCAGCATCGACCTCGACCGACTGCTCGCCGAGGGAACACTCTACGCCCATGGCATATGTATCCCTCACATTGTCCAATACATCCCCAGCGGCTGCCACCTGGACCGGGCAGACCAAGTCGGAGGTGACGGCAGGCTGGGGCTGAATGACGAGGAGGTTTTGGAAGCGACACGCGGCTCGCGCACCCTCGCTCAGACGTTGAATCCTCTGTATGCCCAACGTCTCGAAGGGCATCATCTCCGCTGCTTGGTCTTGCACCTGGCGTAGATACTCGAACACCGATGTGTCTGGGTTGACTACGGTCCTCACAGGCACCGTACTCGCTGTTGGCCCCGCGATGTTCTCGATTCCCGGCAACGGGGCTGTCCGACCCGTGACGACAGTCCCAAAGAATACATCACGCGAGTCGGTGTACCTAGCGATAAGAATCGCCCACGCGGCGCGGACAATGGTTGGGAGGGTAAAGGCGGCGCTTGCACGCTGCGTGCTGGCTGGTGCTATCTCTATGGTGTGTCGCAGCGCCGAATCGGGTTGAGGTCGCTGGCGTGCTGATGCCAGTGTCATGGGTGGGAAGCCTGCAGGTGTTGCATCCTGTAAAGATGACTGCCAATAGGCCTCGGCGGCCTCTAGGCTGGTATTTTTTTCGAGATACTTAATGTAGGACCTGAATTCTTTGGTGTTTTTCCGGTAAGCGCCATCGTCATGCTTCCGGTGATAGGCGTCATTGACAGCTTTGAGAATGAGTGACAGAGACCATCCATCATATAGAGCATGATGTAGGGTCCAAACGAAGAACCGTCGTCCGGAAGCCTTGTCGTCTACAATGGCGTACCTGGTGAGTGGTCGGCCGAGACCCATTGTCTTGTGGCTGTCTTGAGCCGTATAGTCACTGAGAGACTCTGCGTATTGCCAACATATTGACTCCTTGACCACCACTTGGACGAATTGACCGTCGCTCTGTGACGAGGCGTGAATGAGACGAGTCCTGAGTACTGGGTTGAGCTCGACGGTCTTCTCCCACGCCCCCCTAAGGCGATCAACGTCGACATCGCTCCGGAGCTCCGCCACCCCTTGTGCCGCGTAGGCTCCGGGGATTCTCACCGAAGTCGCCATCATGCCCTCTTGTAAAGCTGTGCATGGATAGATATCCTCGATGTCATCCTGCGCGACGCCGCATTCCATGGCAGCACGCTGGTACATGCTCATCTGTCCAAGAAGAGAGAAGTGCGCCACCTCATCGTCCTCATCACCATCGACAGCCTGGACTTCATCCTGGTTGACCAGCGTTGCCACAGAGGCCATGTCGCGTAAGACTGGGTTCCGGAAGATGTCGCGCGGAGACAGTACAATGTTCTGGGCACGGCACGCTCCAGTGAGGCGGATTGCCGTGATGGAGTCGGCCCCTATTCCGAAGAATGTGTCGCCCGCGCTGATGGTACGCCGCTCCACGCCGAGAACCGTAGCCCAAATCGCTTGCAGGCGTCTTTCCATTGGCGTTGACGGCTCAACGTGTTTCTCGATGACCTTGACCTTGAGTGCATTGAGCTGGCTGAGCGATAGCCTCGAGACGAGCCGCCGGAGCAGAGCTCGGTTGGTCTTGGCGGTGGTCGACATAGGGATGCAGCGGACGGGTATGTATGCGGAGGGTATCATGGTGCTGTGCATAACGGCGATCAAGCCGCCTTCTACTGTGGAGATGATCGATGCAAGCCTTGACCTGGTCGCCGCATCGACGTCACACAAGTCTTTGTCGGACGAGCCGCCATGGGCTTCACTGCTCTTAGCATCTGCCAAGAATGCCACAAGCATTGCCTTGCCCTCAACGTGTACAAGCTCGGCGACAAGGTCCTGCTCATAATCCCGCAGAGCCTTACGAAGATGATGCTCAACCTCGTCCAGTTGGATGCGCAGGCCCCTGAGCTTGACCTGCATGTCGCTTTGCTTGCGGCCCATGTAAATCACGGCCCCGTCCGCATCGTAGCGCACCAGGTCACCTGTCTTGTACATGCGTCGGGGTCGTTGGTATCCATCCTTGAGCAAACGTAGCCATCGAGGAGTCTCCTCGATGAAGGAAGCGGCCGTCCTGGCGGCATCCCCGAGGTACCCACGCGCCAGGACTGGGCCGTCGATTAGCAGCTCGCCGACCGCTCCCACAGGAAGCAGCACGTGATGGTCCTGGGCGTCGACGATCCAGTAGTTGGACATCAAAGGATTGCCAATGTCGTTTGAATGCGTCGTCTCGCCGACATCGACAAGGCTGGAGATGACCGCGCACTCCGTCGGCCCGTACACCTGCACAATATGCACGCGTCCTAGCCAAGGCCGAATGTCGTCTTGGGAGACACCTTCCCCGCCGATCCAGAGTGTTTTGAGGGTGGGCACAGCGGCTGGGTCTATCAGCCTTGCGACGGACGGGGTCAAGAACGCCCAGTTGACCTTCATGTCTGATATAAAGCCTGCAATGTTTTCCAGACGGCTTGCATCCGACGGGATGCACACGCAACCGCCGACCACCAGGGTGGTGAAGATCTCGAGGAGGCTCGCGTCGAACGAGTACGAGGAGAATTGCAGCGATCGAACTGTCGAACCTGCGAAATGCCTGGCGTGCGCCGTCAAGTGACTGCAATAGGCTTGGTGAGTGACCACGCAGCCTTTCGGTTCGCCGGTAGAGCCGCTGGTGAAGATGATGTATGCAGCGTCGTCCAGCCGCTTGTGCCTGCTTCTCAGTGCCTCGGTAGCACCGTCCACTGAAGCCCTTGAGTGACTCAGATAATCATCTCCAACTACGATTACGTTGTCGCATGGGACGTCTCGGAACAAGTTAGCATTCTGCGGCGAGCACAAGACGGTCCCCGCCTGCGTCTGTAGCAAAATACTCTTGAGGCGCGAGAGCGGCTGGCCTGGGTCCATGGGCACGAAAGTGCCTCCAGCTTTGAGAGTTGCGATCATAGCAACCAAGTACCACCTCGTCTTGTGGAAACAAAGGGGAAGGGGAGTCTCCGGTCCAATGCTAAGCTGTATTAAGCGGAGTGCCAGGGATGTTGAGAGGTCATCTAGCTCAGAATAAGTGAAATTGCCATCCCATGCGTGAACGGCAGGCGCTGCGGGACGGAGCAGGGCAGAATTAGAGAACATGTCATCTAGATAGTTGTTGACAGGCGGTAAGGGCGGGCGGTTCCAGTCACTGATTTGCTGGATATCATTGGTGCTGAGAATCTCCAGGCTGCCAAGCGTCGTGGTGAACGATCCTGGAAGGCATAGCTGTGTGAGGGCATGGATGAACTGGTGGAGAACGCGGTCCATCTGAGCCGCATTGATCATATTAGAGTCGTACGTCGCGGTGACCTTGATGCGTGTCTTCGTCATGGTACAGTCCAGGGCTAAGGGATACCCAGCAAAGTCCAGCTCGCCGGGGGGGGAAGTGAATTTGTCGAGCCATCCCTCATTTTCCTTCGCATCATCGCTATTGTCTTGCCCTTCCGGCTGAATTACCAGCAGGCTTCGAAACTGGCAGGCCTCGTAGAAGCTGTCGCTCAGATGTTGAATACGCTGTAGGCCAAAGATCTCGTGAGGAATCATGCTGATTGCCTGCTTCTGAAAGTCGCCTAAATACTGACCAACTGTTTGATTTGGGTCAATCTTGCGGCGAATTGCCACCGTGTTAATTGTAGGGCCCAGGACATGTTCGATGCCTGGAATCGGCGCGTATCTTCCAGAAAGAATCGTGCCAAAAATGACGTCTGCAGAGCCTGTGTACCGGCCAACAACAACAGCCCAGGCGGCCAACGCCAGCGTAGACCTAGTGTACTCACCTCCTAGCAGTGTCCCTGGTGGAAGATCGAAGCTGTGGTGAGTGATTGTGTCTGGTCGTGGGTGGTATGTTAGCCTCGACAGCGGAGGGAATTCAGATAAGGTTGCACCCTCAAGCTGAGATCTCCAGAACTGTTCACTGAGAGCACTTCCAGCTGCTTGATTGCTCTCTGTAACGTATTCGATGTACCTCGAGAAGCCCGTAGGCTTCTCGATTTTTCTACCGGCGTAGATGCTATGAACATGGTCTAAAATCAAACGAATCGTCCAGGCATCATACAGAGCGTGATGCATGGTCCACACGAAATGACAGCGTGCCGCGGAACTACGAACGATGGCGTATCGTGCAAGGCGCTCTCCAAACGACATAGGACTGCTGCGGTCCTGCTCCAGGTAACCGTTCAAGTCCTCACTCGTATGCCACTCGATTGGCTCTTTACACACGACTTGAAGAGAGCCCCTGCTCTCTGTGTTACATATGCGCGTCCGCAAAATAGGTGTCAGTTCGACCAGGTGGTCCCATGAGGCGGAAAATCTGTCAGCGTCGACACCCGCCGAGGTCAAGTCAATAACGGACTGGGACTTGTACGAATCGGTTTCTTTGATCGAAAGTGCCATGAGCCCTTCCTGGAGCGGTGCAGTCGGATATATATCCTCAATAAACGCTTCATTGTGGAGATGGCACTGAGATAATACCTCCTCAAGCGCTGGATTTTGCGCAGGAGTAGTGGGAGCAGTTGGGCTTCTATCGTCATTGAACATCGAAAAGGGTTCTGGGTCCAGGTCAAGCCGGCTTGTTGCAGCAGCCTCGACAGTCTCGGTGCTATTGCCAGTGTTTCCGGTTAAGAGCAGTGCCATGTCCTCCAGCTTGGGACTTTGGAATATCTGCGGGATCGAGAGCTGTAACCCACGCGCACGACAAGCAGCCACCAGGCGAATTGCCCGGATAGAGTCACCACCTATGGCCAAGAAGATGCTCTCTGCGCTAATTTCGTTTGTTTGCATGGATAACACGCCGGCCCACAAGTGCTGCAATTGTCCTTCTGCCCATGTCGACGGGTTTCTGCCGACCACAGCTGGGCCTCGGTACTCAGCCAGTTCTTTGCTTGACAGCGCAGCAACCAAGCTGCAGAGACCTTTTCGATCGAGCTTCTTGGATGCTGTCATGGGTAGACGCCAGAGAGGCACAAACAAAAAAGGGACCATGTATCTTGGGAGGAGGCTCAAGAGTTGCGCTTCAATGTTGTTCAGCGACGATAGGAAGGCCTCGCGCTTAGGGGACGAAGGAATAAGGTACTCATGCTGATGGTTTTGGGCGTCACCGTGTTCCGCATCTTCATTCTTCAGGCACACAAACGCCACTAGCATCGGGTCTTGGATGCTGACAATGTCGACAACAGCTGACTGCACATCCGGGGCAGATCGAAGAATACCAGCCTGGATCTCCCCCAAGTCAATCCGTTGCCCGCGCAGTTTGACTTGTGTATCGCGGCGTCCGAGGAAAATGACATTCCCAGTAGCGTCGTAGCGAACAACATCACCAGTCCGATAAAATCGGCCCTGTCTGTCCGTTGCCCAGACCAAGCCCTTGACGAATGCATTTTCGGTCTTGACAAGATCCCCGAGATAGCCTCGAGCGATAATGGGCCCCTCTATCAGTAGTTCACCCACCGCTCCAATAGGGACCAGCTTGTTCGGGTCGTGGACAGCAGTCACCCAGTACTTTGCGTTGAATGCGCGACCAAGATTGTGCAGCTCGGTGGTCAAGTTGTGGCTGGCGAAACCGCTTGATATTACGCCGCACTCCGTGGGACCATACCATTCAAAGAAGTGGGGGACAGAGGATTCCCATTGAGCAATGTCGCAACGATCCACAGACTCGCCTCCGAGTGCGAGAACTTCTAGTGTAGGTACGCTTTGCGGATCGATGGTCCTGGCCACTGTGGGCGTCAGGAAGGCGGCATTGGCGCCTAACGTTTCCATAGCCGCGCCGAGGTTATGCAGACGATCATGGTCGGAAACAACGCAAACACAGGCACCCAGTATCAAGGGTGTGAGCATCTCAAGGATGCTGACATCGAAGCTATACGAGGAATAAAGAAGTACACGTGACTGGTGAGAAAGAAGGAAGCCCTTTGCATAGGCGATAGCGCTGGAGAGAAAAGCGCCGTGCTCCATAACGACGCCCTTGGGAGTTCCTGTAGACCCGCTCGTGAAAAGCGTATAAAGCGCGGATGAGGCTGATGAAAGTGACAACAAAGAGTGTTCTAGTCGAGGGGAGGGAAGCGATTTACAGAATGCCTCATCTATAACCAGGACTTGATCGCAAACGTCCCGAAAGTCTGACGCGTACTGCCTGGAACAGAGAATGACCTTCGCTTCCACAGCGGAAACAATGACGTGACGGCGGTGCACCGGGTGGAGGGGCTCCATGGGGACAATACATGCTCCGGTCTTGATTGTTGCTATGATTGTGACGATGCTCCATACCGACTTCTCCAAGCAGAGGGGAACAAAAGTGCCAGGTTTGACATCAGCCTTCTCGATCAAGTGGCAGGCCAGGCGTGTGGAAAGGTCTTCCAGCTGTGTGTAACTCAACTTGCCATCCCATCCGCGGACTGCCATCGCTTCTGGTCGGAGTTCCACTTGTTCTGTGAAAAGAGCTTGAAAAGAGGAGTCAACGCTCACAAGACTGGACGAGTTCCATCGCCTCACCTCGGCCCAGTCCGCCTCAGTAATGGATGACATGACACTGTTGTCCATCCGAGCTGAGTGGTCCAGAGTGCAGAACTGACGGACAAGATGCTCATATTGTCTCACGTATCGCGTTACTTGTGTACGATCGAGGACCTTCTCGTCGTAGGCTGCTCTGACGAGTACCTCGTTGGTTGGAGTGACGACGCAATAAAGGATGAAAGTGTAAGTGCCGTAGCTTCCCATCTCGCCGCCCATGATGTTGCCAGGAGGAAACAAAGCATGACTATCGGTCACACTGTCGTCGGGAAGAGTTCGGATGTTGAGAAGACTTTGAAACTGACATGCGTGGTTTGCCCCCTCGCCGAGCCTCTGGATATTTTGCAGTCCTAGCTGCTCAAAGGGAATCATGTCAACGCTTTGCTGCTGAACGCCGACCAGAACGTCGCCCATGGTAGTCGTCCCACTCCAGCGAATTCGTACTGGCACGGTGACAATCGTCGGACCGACCAGTGAGGCTATGTCTGGGATCGATACATTTCGCCCTGACAAGGTGACGCCAAACACCACGTCATTTGAGTCGGTGTAGCAGCCGACGAGACCTGCCATGGCGGCGCGCAGCACCGTGGGCAGGGTATAGTAGGCCGCTTCTCGCCGACGGGGAATCTGGAAGCTGTGATCCAGAGTTGATCTGGCGTCCGGTAGATATATAGGAGTCGAGATCGTGGGAAACATTGGTACCTCGCACTCATCAAGATAGAGCCTCCAGAACTCTTCACTTGCCTCTCCTTCAAGCTGCTTCACCTCCTTTATGAACTGGTTAAAATTGGGAGGCCGTTCAATGTCTCCGCCGGCATAGGCCTTCTCGACCATATTTTTAATGATTGGCATGGACCAAGCATCATAAAGGACGTGATGAATCGTCCATACAAAGTATCTTGTACCGGTGGAGGCGTCTGATACGACGGCATAGCGCGACAAGGACTGTCCCGGGTTCATGACCACACTGCGCTCCGAGTCTAGGATCTCTTGAAGCATGTCAGAGCTTGTAATGGTCTTCTGAAGCCAAGGCCCTGGGGTCGTGAGCACGACTTGGAAGAGTATTTCACCCTCGCCATACACCAACCTTGTCCGCAAGATATCGCACGCCTCGATCGTCTGCTTCCAGGCGCCCTGAAACCTGGACATGTCGATATTTTCGGGCAGCTTAATCACTTCCTGACCAACGTAAGACCCGTGTTGCTTATATGAAAGCGCCATAAGCCCTTCTTGAAGGGCAGTACATGGATATGCATCTTGAATCATGTTAGCATCTCCAATGTCAGTGCATAGTGCAAGCGTCGCGTCGATGAGGGTCTGGACAGATATTGTTTTATCTAGCAAAGAAAAGGGAGAAATCTCTCCTTCTCCTTGTTGGGTCTGATCATTGACAATTTCGAGATCAACAGTGGCCGCCAAGTCCGCGAGTGTCGCAGCGCTCAGGACATTGGCAACTTGCAGTGGAATACCGCTTGCTCGACAGGCAGCAACGAGTTTCATAGCCGTCAAGGAGTCTCCACCGAGTCTGATGAAGTTATCATCGGCACTAATGTCTCTTTGTTCTATTTTAAGTGCTGAGGCCCAGTGGGCCTGGAGTTGCTTTTCAAGGTCCGTAGATGGCTCTCTTGTGTCTGGTCTCAGCGTATGCGAAGTGGCAATGTCCTCGTAAGTCAACCTAGATGTGAGCTCCCTGAGCTTAACCCTGTCAATTTTTCCTGACCGATTGCGAGGCAGGGTTTTGAGCGGAAAGAAAACTGTTGGGATCATGTGCGCCGGTAAGTAATCCACGAGCTTTGCTGCCACTCCTTCCACTGTTGTAGCCAAAACGGCTTTCGTGAGCTCCGAAATGTGTTTGAAATCATTGACCTCTTCCTCTATTTGGTCTTCAAGACATATAAAAGCTGCCATCACCTCCCGAGATGCAATCGACACAACACCAGCGACCACGGGGCCAGTCTCCGGGTGTAGTGAAGCGCGTAGATGATGTTCAATTTCATGCAGCTCGACTCGCTGTCCTCGGATCTTGACCTGACTGTCTTTGCGGCCAACGAAGGTGATGGTGCCATCCGTGTTGAAGAAGCCTAGATCTCCCGACTTATAGAGCCGACGAGGGTCGTCAGAGCTCGAGTCTATGGCCCACCGAGGATTCTCAATAAAGGAAAGCGAAGTCTTGTCGGTATCGTTAAGATAACCCCTCGCAAGAAGGGGACCTTCGATGACTATCTCGCCAGCACAACCCAGAGGTCGCAGCTGGTCGTGATCAGAGGGATTGACGATCCAAGTATTAGCTCCCATATTCCGACCGAGATTGGCAGAGCTCATACTAGGCTTCACTCCGGGATTGCTGGTACAAAGAATGGTGGTTTCTGCCGGGCCATACGCATCGACCAGATACACAGCATCTGCCCATAAGCGGACTATCTCTTGCTTGATGGGCTCGCCACATAATACAAGGGTCTCCAAAGTAGGGACGGCTAATGGATGCAGGATGCTTGCGGCGCTTGGAGTGAGACAGGCCCAGTTGACCCCCATGCGGCTGATGAAACCAGCCAGATCGTTGGATCTCTCGTCCTCAGATGGCACACAGATACAACCTCCATTCATGAGCGTATTCAATATATCACCGTTGCTAATGTCGAAGCTATACGCGGCAAACTGGAGAACCCGGGATGCTGGACCGAGGCGGAGGGTCCGGCCTTGCGTGGCGCCGCTCCAACAGATGGCTCGATGCTCAATGATGATACCCTTGGGGATTCCTGTTGTTCCGGAGGTGAAGGTGACGTAGGCTGCGTGCGAGGAATTGACTGTAGTACAAGGAGAGAAAGGTACGCAGGGTAGGCTTCGGACAAATGCTTCGTCTACCGGTATGATGGTGAGGTCGAGGCCCGAGAACAAGCCCTTACATCGACCAGAAGTGAGAATAACATGGGAATCAGAGTCTTCGATGATCTTGCTCAATCTAGACATGGGATGGCTGCTATCAAGGCCCACGCAAGCTCCGCCAGCTTTGAGAATGGCAAGCATGGATACCACCGCCCACGCTGATTTCTCGAAACAGAAAGGCACCAAGACATCTGGACCGACCCCTAGTCCCCTTAGATGCGATGCCAGGCGGTTGGATAGGCCATCTACTTCCTCATATGTGAATTGAGCGTCCCAAGCAGATACGGCCAACGCGGACGGCTGCCGCTTTGCCTGTTGCTCGATTAAGTGGTGCGCACAGGTATCCAACGTCGATGTGGGAAGGTCAGTCCACGATGCCATCTCGTGGGCGTCTTGGGGGCTAAACACTTCGATATCTCTGACGCGTATGGTTGAGATGTCGCCCGCAGCGGCTGTCAGTTGACGAAGAACATGCTCAAGCTGGTGCACGACTCGCCGCATCTGCTCCTCCTCGACCACTGTAGCATCGAATGTAGCCCTCGTGAGAATCTCGGAGCCGGTGAATTGAAGTCTTAGGCGCAATGTACAGCTTTCCCCTGTTAGCTGAGAGCTGTCGGCTCTTGTCAGGCTCTTTATGGCAGCGTAGTCGCCATTTCGCTCTGCGAGGCACTGTATGAGGAGATGTTTGACTGTGCCATTGGGGAGTACTTCTGGTTGTCGAAGGCGGAGGGAACGAATAAGATCTGCGATTGTCAAGTCTGTGTCGACAGAGGTTTCAACAACAATGGGGTCGACACCCACACTTCTTTCATCAGCATCTGGGTGACTTAAAGCAAATATAACTCGAGTTGATGCGGCCCAAGTGCTCAGCAAGACCGCCCATGCCGCTGAAGCTCTCGTGGTAATGTCACCCTGGTGCTCCGCTGGTGACGTTTGCATGCGTGATTCGAGGGTAATATACATGGCGCACTGAGACGCCTCGAGGTCGTTGTCTGTCAGTGGTATTCGGGCTTGGTGACTAGATTTGTCAAAAAGTGTCGTTTGCTTGGGAGTATTCTCGGCCTCGGATTCAGTCGACGCCAACATCTTTGTGAGAGCATTCGTCATCGATTCGAGGCGAGCGGAGCGTAGTTGAGATGGTTGCTTAGGTGCGGTGGGACTATGCCGAGATTCAGACCAAATGACCAGACGTTGTTGATATCAACCGGAGGTTTTGGACTACGGCGAGCGCGTAATACCACAAATATTTTGTTTCTCATACAAATTAGCTATACTGATAAGCAACAGGAACATTGTTGATTCCACTATGACAGCTGTAAGAAGGGACTCGCAAGTCACTAAGGTTCACGAGATAGACTCAAGAGGCGCAAAGCTCCTAAGGCACGGCACTTTTGGGCGACTATGCCTTATGAACTGGGGGGTCTATATACTCTCCCCCTAATTACTTGTAACAGTGGGCCCCCTGGTCGTAGGGCTATTTTGTATAGGAGGACAGGGGGCCCATTATTACAAATAATTATTAGGGGGGGGGGAGTGTAGTTTGATTAAAGTACTCCGACTACCTTGCAACGAGACTAGCGTACGCTAAAAAAAGAACTACGCCTCCTCCGCCGCCTCCGCCGCCTCCGTATTATATATGCTAATCGCGGTTACCAAATGTGACGGACGGCGCAATCACAGGATCTGCCACATCGTTATATGCTTACTGCAAGGGGTTAAGACGGAGCTAGGCACTAGGGACGATATGAGGAGATAAAAGGTCGAGACTTTATCTCCTCCTTTCCTCTGTAGCTTAGTATTTTCAATACAAGAGATTCTCTAAACTCTGTGCTTTCGACCTTTGCATTGATCTCGCCGTCACACCAAAGCATCTCCAAGTAGAGCAAATTATTATAATTAGATGTCAACACCCTGGCAAAGCACGAATCTGTGATAATCCATACTCGCCCCTAGCATCGGTTGACTTCCGACTCATTCTTTTCCTGTCAATGGCAGTCTTTATATAACCCCCCACGTACTGGTAGATTCTCACTCGCTTGCACTTTTCATTTCAACCCAGGCATAGACGTCGCTAAGCACAACTTTGAGAGACTGTTGCCCTTTGACGAACAGACAGAGGACAACGCAGACGTCTACGTGTCGAATCGATAGCTTCAGCAAATATGAGAGAGCAAGCTGGTCAAACTTCGAGTGTTCAGGATGCGCGAACAAATGGGCACCCTCGGGAAAACGGGTGCGATCCCAAGTTTGAGCCCATGGCCATCGTCGGCATGGCTATGCGCTTGCCCGGCGGCGTTCGCAATGGCAATGACTTTTGGGAGATGATAGTGCAGAAGAAAGACGGTCTTTGCAAAGTCCCCGAGGATCGATATAACATTAAGGGCTTCCATACAGAAGAACCTACGGCAGGCGCTCTTAGACAACCGCTTGGTTATTTTCTACAAGATGTCGACCTGAAGCAGCTCGACACGTCCTTCTTCTCGTTGCCCAAGAAAGAACTCGCACGACTCGACCCTCAACACAGACAGCTACTCGAACTCACTTGGGAGTGCATGGAGAGCGCGGGTGCCACCGGCTGGCGCGGTACTGATATGGGCTGCTTCGTCGGGGTGCTTGGACAAGACTGGCGAGATTTGAACTCCAAGGAGACACACCAGTCCGGAAACTACCGCGTTACGGGCTTCGAGGATTCTTTCCTCTCGAATCGATTATCTTACGAGTTCGACCTGCACGGGCCTAGTCTCACCGTCAAAACCGCGTGTTCATCGTCCATGTACGCTCTGCATCTCGCCTGTGATGCCATCCGTCTGGGCGACTGCTCCTCTGCCCTCGTCGCCGGCAGCAGCCTCATCTTCTCCCCGGGGATGTCGCTGGCTTTTGCGGACCAAGGCATCCTATCACCAACCGGGACCTGCAAGACCTTCGACGCTGGCGCAGACGGATACGCGCGCGGCGAAGCAGTCAACATGATCTATATCAAGAAGTTGAGCGACGCCTTGGATGATGGCGACCCAATCCGTGCCGTCATCCGTGCTACCGCCGCCAACTGCGACGGCAGAGGTGCCGCGTCGGCGGGCATCACGACCCCAAGCCCAGCTTCCCAGGAAGCATTGATCCGCAAGACGTACGCAGCTGCTGGCATTAACGACTTTTCTCAGACGGCATACGTTGAGTGCCATGGCACAGGCACGCAAGTTGGCGACCCCCTAGAAGCCACCGCCGTGGGCAGTGTTTTCGGCGAAAAAGGCGTGTTGATCACGTCTGTCAAGCCCAACGTTGGACACTCGGAAGGCGCAGCAGGGATTACCAGCGTGATCAAGGCCGTTCTCTCACTTGAGAACCGAACAATTCCGCCCAACATCTTTTTCAACAAGCCTAATCCCCAGAGTATGTAATAAGTTTCTTCTCTTTCCGGGAAATTCCTGTATAAACGCTTACTCACATGACCTAGTTCCGTTTGCCGAAGCATCTCTGCGGGTCCCTATTGAGCCTGAACCGTGGCCAAAGGATCGCAAGTTGAGGGTCAGCGTGAACTCATTTGGTATAGGTGGATCAAACGCCCACGTAAGTTCTGCATCAAGATGGCCGTGCTGAAGGGTGGTTTAAAGGCTAATCGCCGTATCAAGGCTATTATTGAGGCGTGGCAACCAACGGAGAATGGGGAGCATCTCCAAACGCTTACAAATGGACGAGATGACCATCAAAGCCACCTGCTCGTATTCTCGGCGCAAAACGCCGACTCTTTGAGGTGCAGCATCGACAAGTACGCCACTTTCATGACCAACACGGCTGTACGATTGAAAGACCTGGCGTATACGCTGGCTGTTAGACGCGAAGCCCTAGCGTACCGCTCGTTTGCCGTCATGGACAATGCATCAAGCCCCTTGGTCCATGTGCCAGCAGAGCAGGCAGGACCCAGGCCCCAAGTCGTGTTTATCTTCACAGGACAGGGTGCTCAGTGGCCGCAGATGGGTAAACGGCTGCTAGATACTAATCTAGTGTTCAAGAATACAATTAGGCAGCTAGACCAGCAACTGAAATGTGCTCTTCCGTCAATCGGCTGGACCATCGAAGGTATCTGAGTGATTGCCTATTCCATCCCTTATCCCTGGGCGTCTTATGTACTAATGGCATGCTGCTAGATGAACTATGTAAATCTGCTTCAGACAGCAAGATTCACACGGCCGAAATGTCCCAGCCAATCTGTACAGCTGTCCAGATTGCCTTGGTGGAAACTTTGCGTGCTTGGGGTGTCAGGCCTGAAGCCGTACTTGGCCATTCGTCTGGCGAGATTGCTGCTGCGTACGCCAGTGGTGCCCTCTCAATGAAGGTAGCCATGACAATTGCCAGTATGCGAGGCATCTCGGTGCAGGAATCCGCAAAGGTTGGTGGAATGGCTGCTGTCGGGCTTGGACGGGAGGAGCTGCTCCCCTTCCTTGAAGAGGGAGCCGTCGTGGCCTGTGAGAACAGCCACCGCAGTAGCACTATCTCTGGCGATCTGGAAGTCGTTCAGCTGGTGGTCGCCAGGATAAAGACGGAGCTCCCCGACGTCTTCGTTCGTATGCTCAAGGTGGAAAGGGCTTACCACTCGCGTACGTGCAACCCAGCGTTTACTCCACTCTGATTGGTTTCCAACTGATGTCTTCTGCGCAGACCATATGCGAGCTTTTGGGGCAACTTATCAAGAGCAGCTGACACGAGGAAAGGTGGCCAGCAAAGAGCCACAGATCCCGCATTACTCCAGTGTCACATCTAGTAGGATCTGGGGCAAGGACGCCTTGGGACCGGCGTACTGGCGCGAGAATCTCGAAAGCCCAGTCCTCTTCAACACAGCGCTCCGTGCGCTGCGAGACGACTTTGGCAAGGAGAAGCTGATTTTTGTTGAGATTGGCCCTCATCCAGCCCTCAAGGGTTACGTGGAGCAGATTGTTCGTGACGTTGGCCATGCAGATGACGTTCACATTGGAACTCTAAGCCGGGCAAGTGACTGCCAGCAAGTGCTGCTGAGTACGGCGGGAAAGCTATTCATGTACAACTGCCCAAGTCTAGATCTTGCGGCTGTTGTGTCTCCAGGGTCCGTTCTCACCAACCTACCCAGCTACTCATGGACGCAAAACAATATACACTGGGACGAATCGCGTGTCTCGAAGGAGTGGAGGTTCCGCAGCGAGCCTCCACACGAACTTCTTGGGACGAGGGTTCTGGAACTCAACAACGAGCCGCACTGGAGGAACATGATCTCCCTGGACGACCTTCCGTGGCTAGAAGGACATCAAGTGGCTAGCCAGATCGTCTTTCCCGCAGCAGGCTACATCGCAATGGTGGGGGAAGCTATTCGCCAGCTTTCGGAGGAACGTGTGTACAGCCTGAGACAGGTCAACATCAAGTCCGCCCTCGTGCTCGCACACAGTGCACCCGTTGAGGTTGTCACGACTCTTTCTCCGCTTTTCGCATCATCGCCCGATGCTTCTGCCTGGTATTCATTCCACGTCAGCTCTTTCAATGGCACCAACTGGACCACACATTGTTCCGGGGAAGCGCGGCCACGGTACGACGGGCTTTGCTATCCGACAGATGTCGAAGCTGCTGTGACTACCATGCCACGCAAGGTGGACCCCAAGTCGTGGTATGATATGGTGGATGAGGCAGGCTTCTGCTACAGCGGTCTGTTCCGCGGTCTCAAGGACATCTCGTCCTCTACGACTGCAAGCGAAGCTCTCGGCGCAACCTCAATCGCTGACATTCCGGGTCCTCCCCGCTACACATTGCATCCAGCTCTGATTGACCAGTGCTTCCAGATGCTGTGCATCTCTTCAATCCAGGGCCAGACGCACAAATACCTCAGATTGGCTGTGCCTACCTATATTGAAGATATCGTCATCTTTGCCGGTGGAAATAACCTGCAAGTAAAAGCTACAGGCGTCGCTTCGCAAACGGGCTCATTCAGCGGCGACGTGTTCGCCCAACACGACGGTAAGCCGTCCCTGTTCATGAAAGCTCTCAAATCGTCGCCCCTCGAATCCAGCTCGATCCCTGGTCAAGATCTTCGGCTTTTTCAGCAATTTGAGTGGAGGCTTGACAGCGACTTGAACCCCTTGGAGCGAAATTTTGTTGCGCCTCAAGATGGATGCACAGATGGATTCCTAGAGCTCGAGTCTCTTTTTGTACTGTGTGCTGCGGAATATGTCGAACGCATCCGGCCCGCTAGCACTACTCCAAGCCACCTAAATAAGCTTCATAAGTGGGCAAGGGAAGAGATCGACAGAGCCTCAAAAGGCGGCAAGATGCTTGTCGAGCCCAGCCATGCGCTGTGCGACCGCTCCGAGAGGCTTGCTCGAATCAAGGCCATCGCTTCTCAGGCTCAGGCGACCCGGTGGGCTCCATGCGCTGTTGCCATCACGCGTCTGCTAGATTCAGCCCCGGATATATTCTCCGGTAGCGTAGAACCCTTGACGGTCCTGATGGAAGGAGACTTGCTGAGTCGCATCTACGATATTTTGGACGCTGGCGACTATTCAGCCACCATTCGCTCCATTGCCCACAAGAACCCGCGGCTAAGAATCCTCGAGGTTGGCGCTGGAACTGGCGCTGCCACTGAGAAGATTCTGAAGGCGCTGACGACGTCGTTTGGAACACGTAGCTATAGTAAATACACGTACACCGACATCTCTCCAGGCTTCATGAACGCAGCCAAGGAGCGCTTCAGCAGCTACGCCAACATCGAGTATCGCGTTTTCGATGTCAGCAAGCATCCAGCCGATCAAGGTTTCGAGCTGGCATCTTACGACCTCATCATCGGCGCCAATGTTATACACGCAACGCCATCTCTGCACACCTCTCTCACACACCTACGAGCCCTCTTGCGACCCGCTGGTCAGCTGTTTCTCCAGGAGCTCAGCCCTGAGGCGAAGTGGATCAATTTTGTTTGGGGACATCTCCCTGGTTGGTGGCTGGGTGAAGATGACGGGCGGCCAGATTCGCCGTGGGTGTCGCCGCAGCGGTGGACAAACGAGCTCGTGGCTACCGACTTCCAAACTCCGCACACCATTGTCTATGACTATCCACCGCCATTCCATATCAACGCGTCCATCATCGCGACGGTGGCCTCCGAAGCGAAACCAGCTTCGACGGTCACTCTTCTCTGTAACTGTGAGGAAGAACCGCACGTACAGGTGATGAAGGAGAGGCTCAAGACAGACGGTAGCGACGTCAACGTGTGCCTCTTTGGCCATGGATCTGCCATCCCTAATTACGGGGGAGACATCATCTGCTTTTTGGACAAACCAGCTCCCATCCTATACGATATGCCGCAAGAAACATTTCAGCAGATCTTCCGTCACCTCCTTGCTGCAAGGGGCAACATCTTCTGGGTTACTGGTCTGGCGCAGATTAACTGCCAGGATCCGCGCAATGGCATGGTCCTCGGCCTCGCTCGATCTCTCCGACAGGAGGAGAACAAAAAGATGTACACCATCGAGTTGGACGACAAGACGCCCGTCGACACAGCTATCGACCACATTGCCGCAATCCAGAGGGTGTCACACAGGGATGCCCCGTGGGACGACATGGACGTGGATTGGGAGTACGCCATCATTGGCGGCTTGGTATATGTCCCACGCATGCACTGGCAGACCAGGGCTGGGACACTCACAGAGCAAGTTGCCGACGAGGACACAGCAGTCACCCTGAAGACTCAGAGCCTGGCAATCGGGAGTCCAGGTTTGCTCCATACGATGCACTGGGAAGAGCAGCCAGTTACCGAGCTGCAAGAAGACGAGGTCCGCATCCGAGTGAAATCTGTGGCAATGAATTTCAAAGATGTTCTCATTGCCATGGCGATTGTCAACGCCAATCTTGGGGAAATAGGCAGAGATGTAGCTGGCGTCGTCGAGGCTCGGGGCAGCGCCGTAACCGGCTTGGAAATTGGCGACCGCGTCATCTCTTTGTATCCCGGCTGCTTTACTACGTACAAGAATCTCCCCGCATCACACTGCGTCAAGCTCGAGTCAAATCTCACTTTTGAGGAGGGCGCCGCCATTCCTTGCGTTTATGCCACCGCCATGATGTGTCTTGTTGACAGAGGAAACTTGAAGAAGGGCCAGGTTAGCAGCCTCTATCACTTGTTACGCAACTCACGTTGTAGACTTTCTGACTGACACTCTCCCGTAGACTGTATTGATTCACTCGGCATGCGGTGGTGTCGGTCTTGCTGCTGTTCAGATTGCTCTGTCTCTAGGCGCCCAGGTAAGCTCCCGCCGATGGATTCAGGTTTCCGTAGACCTCCGAACTCTTCAGTGTGGCCCCCTTATCATGTCTTTGTTTGCTAACATAAGCCGCTCCTTGACAAGGTCTTCTGTACGGTCGGAAACGCGGCCAAGGTCGCCTACCTGGTTGATGAATTCGGCATATCGGCCTCACACATCTTCAACTCTCGAGATGATTCGTTTGCTGCCGACGTGATGAACGCAACTCACGGCAGAGGAGTGGACTTGGTTCTCAACAGCTTAGCAGGCGAGCTTCTTCACGCCTCGTGGAAATGTGTAGCCGAGTTTGGCGTCATGATCGAGATCGGCAAGCGGGACTTCCAACGGCACGCGAAGCTGAGCATGGACGTTTTTGAACTCAACCGCGGTTTCGTGGGCCTTGACCTGGGCCACATCCTTCTTCACCGGCCAGCAGAAGCCCTGGATGCTCTGCAAAGATGCATGAAGCTTCTCCACGACGGGGCCATCAAGCCACTGCCTCTGGCAAGAGTATTTGATGCATCGGAGATCCAGGAGGCTTTCCGGAGCATGCAAGGAGGCCAGCATATTGGGAAGATGGTTGTCAACATGCCGGATGAGCCGCAGACCCTCCAGGCTGTCAAGACATCGCCCGATCTGAAGTTCCGCTCCGATCGCAGTTACATGCTGGTCGGGGGACTGGGTGGTCTAGGCAAGGTGATCGCAGGATGGATGGTCGAGCATGGGGCACGCCATCTCATCTTCCTGGCTCGGTCCGGGGACTCGCACCCGGAAACTCAAGACTTTCTGGCAGAACTGCAGAGCGTTGGGTGCCAAACACAGGTCTTCGCTGGCAGTGTGGGCAGCAAAGGCGACGTGGCAGCCGCAGTCCAGGGGGCTTCGTTGCCAATAGCGGGCGTGATGAACATGTCGCTGGTATTGAAGGATGTTGCTGCGGCCAACATGACCTTCGAAGACTGGAACACAGTCATGCCGCCGAAGGTGCAAGGTACTTTGAACCTACACGAGGCTCTGCCCTCAGATCTGGACTTCTTTGTCCTGTTCGGATCTTACAGCGGAATCGCTGGGCAGTGGGGCCAAGTCAACTACGGCGCCGCCAACACGTACGTGGACGCTTTCGTGCAATACCGACATGCCCACGGCCTTGCGGCCTCGGTCATCGACCTTGGCGCCGTTGGAGACGCAGGGTACGTCTCACAGAACCCGGACGTGCTAGCCTACATGCGAAACAGCGGTACCTACATGCTGCATAGTTGGGAGGTTCTTGATGCGGTGCAACTGGCCGTGCAAAGGTCAAGGCCTTTGCTCTCTGATCTTTCCTCGGCAGGGTACATCAACTCGAGTCAGATTATCGTTGGTGTCTTGACAGGAATGTCAATCTCAGACAAGAGGGCACGCCTGCCCTGGAAGCGGGATCCTCGGATGAGCTACTACCAGAACCTGACCAGCGACACCGACGCTCCGACCGGCGCGTCTCCGCAGCATGATGATGTGCGCGAGTTGCTTGCGCAGGCATCTTCGTCTCCCAAAATGCTGGCCACCGAGGACACGCAACGATTGCTTGCGTCGGTGCTTGGGATGGCTCTTTCTAGCTTCCTCCTGAAGCCGCCCGAGGATATGCATCCGGACACGTCCTTGGCCAGCATCGGCGTGGATTCGCTGGTGGCTATGGAGCTGCGCAACTGGGTGCGGCAAAAATTTGCCGTAGAACTCAAGACTTTCGACATTATCCAGAGCGCTTCTCTCCTTGCTCTCGCAGAGCTCGTTTCGCAGGCGTTGACGCTACGGTATGGAGCTCCCGCTTCTTAGCGTCCGGCCCTGCGCCGGGACGGCCCTCTTTAGCAGCCGTGCCAACTGTCATGCTGTAAGGCTGTAGCGTGGCATTAAGCGAAGCGGCCGCCTAGACGATTATTTAAGCTTCCCCTAAACCTAGTAACTTAAGAATCAAGTCCGCCTTTGCGTCACGGGTCAGCTGGACGTAAGACACGAACAGGTGATTGTATTCCAAGGAGGTAAAGCTAAAGAGAAGAAGAAGAGAGAGAAGCTTTCTTCCCTTTATATTTATAAGGAGCTCTATCGGAAGATCTCTCCCGAATATCGTACGAGCTTTTAAATCAAATGGCCCACAATAGACGTTAAGATGCGGGATTGTAGCTAGCGTATTATAGAGCCTCATTTGGTGCCTAAGGCCCAAATCCTACAACGGTCCATACTGTCACACTTTGCACTCTACCTCTCCTCTTGCTCTGACCTAGTCTCTACCAATCAATGCAGTATGCCAAGTCACGTGCCAGTGCCACTGCCGAAAATAGGGCTAATATACGGTACTTTTATTTATAGGCAATATTATTTATAGAATATAAGGGTATTGTGACGGGTTGTACTCGTAAGCTGGACTCAGCTGCCTTAGGCAGCTCTCGTTGCCCTAACAACCACCCGTTAGCCCCTTACAGGCCCCTTACGGGCAGAGAGCTCGTGCTTCTGTCTTCTTCTTCCTTATGCAATTCTTCTTATACCTTACAGTAGCTCGCAATATACTTTATTCGACCTAGCCTATCACAGGTATTTCTTAAACCTAGCCTACCCTTGTTTTATAATATTAAGCTTGTGTAATAGTAGTCTATCCGTTGCACCGGCACGCTAGTACATAGCGCTAAACTGTAGTAAGCTAGAGTGTGTTCGCTACACGCTCATATTGGCCCATTCGACGATTCAACGTGACTTTCTGTCGGAATCTACAACGGGAATTCGCTTAAATTCGCCTGACGTTCCATTCAGACCTTACTATATCCGCCACTAGCGCTGTGTACTAGCGTGCCGGCCCAAGGGATAAAGAAATAATAGTAAATAGCTTAATTTGACAGCGATTGTTAAAACTACAGTTATCTATAAAATATTCTCCATGTAGATATTCACAACTTGCTAGCGAGTAGTAGCCCTAGCTCCACGTCCAGATTCCTCGAACAGCAGTAACTCGTCGAGCGGCAGTGGCTGGATGTAAGATAACGTGAAGGACCTCCTAGACTGTTTCTTAGCATTCTTGCCCTCCTTGATCGACTTGAATTCCATTCCCCAGGCAAGAAAGGCTGCCAGTCCGGACATGGCCAGCGCTGCGTAGAAGACGTGGTCAATTGCGTCGTTGTAGGCGGCCAGAACAGCTTGCAGCAGCTCGGCTGGAACAGCTGTCTTCAGGGTCGTGGCGCCATGGGACAGCAATGTTTCGGAACTCACAGCAGGAGCCGTGTCCTTGAGATGGGCGATCAAGCGGTTCAGGAAAATGCTGTTCCCCAGCGAGATGAAGATGGCGCTTCCAATACTCTGCGAGAAGAATATAAGTGAAATCCCGGCCGGCACATCCTGGTCCTCGAGGACCGTCTGCACCGCGATCTGGGGTTGCTGAAACCCCATACCAGACGCAATTCCGATGAAGATTAGGTAGCCAATCCAGACAGGCTGGGGGGTGTCCACCTCTAGTGTAGTAAGCAATCCCGCAGCCACGGTTGTCAAGATGCCGCAAACGATCGCCAAGGGAGTGTAATACCCGGTCCACGTGACGAGCAAGCTTCCAATGATGACTCCCGTCACCAAGCCCAAAATAGCCGGCAGGAGCATGACGCCGGCGGCGAGCGCGGATGCACCCTTGACGCCCTGGAACCAGAGGGGCAGGTAGTAAGTCCAGATGGCGAGTGCCGAGGAGAGGGAAAAGGAGAACAGAGCCCCGAAAACAACGCTCCGCGACTTCAGTACTCTGACTGAGATAGTTGCTTTTTCTGGCGAGAGGAGAGTCTGGATAACAAAGAAGATGATGAGAAGAGTTATACCGACAACGAGGGCCACGATGATGCGGGCATCGCTCCATGGATATTTAGAACCACCCCACTGCAAACCAAGAATCAGGGAGAGAATGGCCGGGCCAACAATCAAGGCCCCGAACCAGTCAAAGCGCCTCAGTTTTTCCCTGACGGTCAACGAGAAGGCCGAGGCTGATTCGTTTTGGGGTGGCTTGAGCAGAATCTCCATAACGACAGCGGTGACGGCGCCGACGGGCAGGTTAATCCAGAAGCACCATCTCCAGCTGGCCTTGTCTGTGATTGCACCCCCAAGCATCGGCCCCATGATGTAGCCAAGCGCTTCCATGGCCCCAAGAATGGCAATGAACGTGGGGCGACTCCGCAAAGGCACGCACTGGGTAATAATCAGGAGAGAGCCGCCTGTCATCCCAGCGGAACCCACGCCCGACACGGCGCGGCCGGTAATGAAAGCGTTCGAGGTCGGTGCGGCGGCCGATATTAGACTACCCACTTCAAAAAGAATAAGGCTGCCCATGAACACCCGCTTTACGGGGAAGAGCAGGTACACCTTGCCCCATGTCAGCTGAGTGGCGCAGACTGTCAACTGGCTATCATCAGAGGTCAGCGATAGTGCCATCAAAGATGCTTCGATCCGCTGTCAGGAGGGTTTCCAAAGGCGAGCTCTTACAATGCAGACCCGTACCAGCCGACGTCCACAAGGGAGTTGAAATCGTCCGTGATCTTTGGATTCGCTGTGGCAACAATGCTAGCATCCTGTTCCACGACGACGACTTGTCAGTTTATCGCGCTACGATGATACAGAGAGACCAAATTGACGAGGGAAAAGGGGGCAGCAGACGCACCAGCCCAACCATCAGAACCGAAAGCGCTAACACTACAGACACGGCGTAAAGCCGGAAGCCTGTGTGGATGCTGGAGGTATCTTCCTTCATGGTCGACTTTCTAGTTTCTCTGCATGTTCAAGTCGCAGCAAAGTGGGCGATAGTAGACACGAGTCCGCATGCTGTGTTTACAGAAAACACGAAGAGACGGAGGGATGAAGCGAGGAAGAAAGAGACGACATCGGGAAACTACTCTAGAGGAGCGAGCGAATAAGTTGCTACCTCAGTAAGGAAAGAGGGTGAAACAGCACGAAAGGAAGTTGAAGAGTGTAGTCTGTAATATGTATGGAAGATTGTTTTAAAAGTAATGTCTGCGTGCACGGCGTAGTTGCTTCGTTAGCATCTCTTCGAACAGTGCGTTCCAACTATAATTAGATCATAATATTCCCTGCCTTCTTCGCTGAAGGCGAAACATGCCCCCTGTATTTTCTGAAACATAGACCTATTTATTACGTCAAAAGGAAAAGCCCGGAAAGATACTAGTAACATCCTTGTCAAAGAACAAGCTGTTCCTTCCGCCTACTTTCTAAAAACGGAATAATAGCTAAGATCAATTTATTTATTTTTGCCCAAAGTACCGACCAAGTGTTTCCTTTTTCTCGTTCCTGATTAAGGCGTTTAACTACTCTTCTACGGAGTGGATAATTTCATCTTACTGATGAGTAAAACTTTAAATGATATATTTAAATATTATAATAAAAGCTAAGGGTTCCCTCAGCTTGGAGCTGCTTATCCCTTGGAATGTCATATAGCCTTACTTGCTACGTATGTTGTGACAAGCAGCGGAAATTGCAATGTGGATTCCCTTGTCTTCCTCCATCCGACACTGCCTGCCCCTGGTAACACTGCCTCCCAACATTGCCCCTGGTAATAAACCCTAGGCATCCTTAGATTGATCTTACGTGATCTGCATGGTGAGCCGTAATAAACCCTAGGCATCTGTGACGGCGAGATTAATACAAAGGTCGAAAGTACAGAGTTCAGAGAATCTCTTGTATTGAAAATACTAAGCTAAAGATGAAAGGAGAAGAGGAAGTCTTGATATTTTATCTCCTTATATTGTCCTTAGTACTTAGCTTTATCTTAACCCTTTATAGTATGTATATAACGATATAATGGATCTTATAATTATGTCTATTATTAAACTTTATTAAATACTCCTTTTAATAGTATTAAACCCCCCTTTATTATTAATACTAAAGTTCTCCTACTCGCATATCAAAATTCCAAAGATAGCTCCTTACCTAGTGGTTTTATTATAGCTTCAGGCTATAAGAGCTACCATCCGCGCCACACCCCACCTACGGAGTCTCTTGGGTAGGTAGCTTCCAGTACGATGCTAGCATTGCAGTAGCTAGGCAAGGGTGACATGGAGTTGGTAGTACGTACATTACGTTGCACTTTTTTATCAGGCCAGATGAGCACAGGAAATCAGGTACCTTTTTAGTATGCTTCTGTCTTTTACAACACTCCCAACTCACTCAGAGTCTTTCTCGGAGCAGTATCAATGCTCCAGTCTGTAGTCGATTCCAGGCTATGAGTTTGACATTTTGACTGTCGTGCCGGAACTCGAGTTTCTACGGTCAAGCGATGGATCCTGCTACGAATCTGCATCCTGACCATCTCCCCCCCATTTGGGCCCGGGGATGGCCCTATGCTATCAATCTTCTACCCAAGCTCATTGCACTTATCGCAATCTATGCTGCTACAGTTTGCGTGTATCGCGTCTTCTTCCACCCTTTGGCTCGCTTTCCGGGCCCTGCTCTGGCAAAAATAAGCAATTTCCACGCTGCCTATTACGCTTGGCGGGGAACCATCCGCGAGGACATTTTACGATGCCATGAGAGATACGGTAAGAGAGACTCTCCGACCCCTCGTTGAATGTACTCAACCAAAGCATTTTCGTTGACGAGGAGATGTGAGGGCAGGTAATTATGTGCGTTATGCACCGGATCGCGTCCTCTTCAACTCAGCGCAAGCTGTGTCGGATATATATTCCCATCGCGCCAACACCATCAAGTCAAAGACGTACCTTATGTTGGCGCACCAGGCGGCGAATTCACTGACGATGCGGGACAAGGTGTTGCACGGCAAAAGAAGACGCGTCGTGAGCCAGGCGTTTTCTGAAGCCACCATGCGCTCCTTCGAGCCGAAAATCGTTGAAAAAATTCAGCGGCTGAGCGATGCCATACGCAAGTCCTTGGGGGAAGACGGATGGTCTGAAACGAAGGATATGGGCCGTTATTGTGAGTCTACATTCCCCAAGTCCTGGGCCGGGTCCTAGGGGAGCTGAGCTTGGCTAATGCCGGCCTGTCAACAGCCGATTATCTAGCTTTTGATATCATGGCCGATGTTGTGTTTAGTGCGCAGTACAATACAGTCGAGAACGAAAAATTCCGCTATGTCATCGGCGCGATTGCGGATCACAATGTGCGGCTAGGGGTAATAGCTCAGGCCCCCGAGCTATCCATCAGAGCATTGCAGAGACCAATGTTCATGCGGGCTATCAAGGCCAGGGACAGATTCGTCAAGTTTATTCGAATTCTACTGGTCATTCGTCTGAAAAACAAGACAAAACAGAGAGACATCTTCTCATATATCCAAGACGCCAAAGATCCGGACACCGGCAAGGGCCTGGACTTCACTGAACTGAGCACCGAGACAGCGACCATGATCGTGGCGGGTATGCAGTTCCGTGTCCTTTCCCTACACTTTCATTGATAGGCTGGACATGTCATTCCTTAGACGGCTATGAGGCTGACTGATTTGTAGGCTCTGACACAACTTCCACTACGCTAGCGGCAACCGTGCACTATGTTGGCTATTCTCCCATATGCTACGACGAGGTCATGAAGGAGGTTAGGAGCCGGTTCAAGAGTCTAGACGAAATTCGCATGGGCCCGACGCTCAATTCTTGTGTCTATCTCCGGGCATGCATCGACGAGGCCCTCCGCATGGCGCCCCCGGCTGGGGGCACTCTCTGGCGAGAGGTGGACCACGGAGGCGCGGTCATCGATGGGATCCCTATCCCTGCTGGCTACGACGTTGGAATAGCAATCCACAACCTGCATCATAATGCAGCTTACTTCCCCAAGCCCTGGAGCTACGACCCCAATCGCTGGCTTAGGTCTGGTGGCGACAAGTCTGCGTCCGCGGAGACCATGACAGCGGCTTACAATCCGTTCGGAGCCGGCCCAAGGAGCTGCGTCGGTAAACCACTTGCACTCCATCAGCTTATGTTAACCTTGGCAACTCTTTTCTACCAGTTTGATTTCTGTCCAACCGGCCGAGACGAAGAAGCTTGGCAAAGTAAAAATATGGTAGCGGAGCCCTTCTTACTCAAGGATCACGTCAGTGGACAGAAAACTGGACCATTTGTCAGGTTTAGGATCCGGGAGTAATTGAATTAGAAGCTCTGCAGCTGTGTATTAATGTCCCGCACTCTCTGCCTGCTGGCGGTACGCCCTCTCACGGCACGACCATCAATATACACATTTTCTCTGCATCGTCGCCATCACATACGCAAAGTGTCATTGATGAGACATCTAGTTTCCACTAGTCATTCCAAGTCTTTTATACGCTATTTCTAGGAGGTAATATTCCCCCTCGCGTTGAGAAAAAGTCCCATCTATCTACCAGTAACCAATACGAGGCCATCAGGCCTATCTCTACTGTTAAACAGAGGAGTGTCGTGGATATCTTCCATCCAAGCTATCAAACATGCCTTCTGATATATACGTTATTCATATGGGGTGGCCGTGTATCTGTCGCTGAAACCCGCCAATTATTCAAACCGTTCTGTGAACGCCGAAGACCATATGTTCTAAATGCTGTCATAGGACGAAACCGACTCATGCGGAATGTTGAAGTAATTGTTGCCTCTATGGAAACCACGCAAACGTAATGTACGTGATGTGGATGGAGGACACAGGTAGTGAGGCACATAGGTGCCTCTTGGCACACCACCTGTAGATAGCTCTTCTCGTGCTATCACCAAGGCAGACGAATTCATCACCTTCACACCTCACACTTGTCCGATACTTGTGAACCCTACACTTTAGGCCCATGACCGAACCCTAAGTCTATCTAAGACCTAGAGATCAAGAGGAATTGAGAGAAATATTGAGAAATTAAGGTGAATTCTGCCTAAAGCTAGCCTTAAGAAGTTGTCATGAAACGCATTGATTTTCTTCCTATTTACTTCGTATATTCCTGCGATTTGATTCATGTATCTCATGGGGCTCTTCACAATTCATCACTGCTGCGACCCATTTTCCTTTGCAACCCGTTCCGCCTCTAGTTGTCCTAACTTGGGGAAAAGCTCCATTGGAGCATTCATAACGTCCTCACCGTCCGCTGCCCCTATGACAAGCATGGCGATGGTGTTACCATCTGCTCTCTCAGAGAAGGCCTTTAAAACCATCCCCCTCGTTGTCTGCAGCTCCGCGAGATGCTGGGCTAAAATTCGCGGGGGACCAGGGAAAGGCAACCATGCAACTGTTGCCCAGTTGTAACCCAGGCTCGTGAAGTGAGTTTGGCATGCCGGTAGGATCAAGCTTCCGTTGATGCGGGGGTTAATATCAACCAGCCACCCGGTCTCGTCAGAAGGAGAGCAGACGATGTCCACGCCGGCTACACCCACAAAGCCTTCATTGCGCATCTTTGTAGCCAGCTGGAGAATTTGAGGCTGAAATCGCTGCTTGAGAGAGTCCTGTCCGGAATAGTCAATCCGTGCCCCCGCCCACGAGGAATTTTCACCCAGTATCTGTTCGGCAACGCCGAGGATGAAGCCATCCCCATTTCGAGGAACGCAAAAGTTCACACAGAAGCTCTCCTCTACATCTTTGAGCTCCTGGATGAGAACTCCAAGTTTGTCTCCGGTGAATGGCGCATGTTCTGGCCGACGATATTGCTGTAATCGCTCCTCCAAGGCCTTGACACACTCCTCTCGCGCCTCATCTGTGCGCAGGATGAAGTTAGAGCCGCTCATCCCACCAGTCAGCTTCACGACGACTGGCAACGTCCAGTGCCGAAGCCGCTGCTGGAATTCCTCAAAGGAGACTGGCTCGCCACCAGATCTCATAACATCGTCCTTGGCCTCTGTCTTGCCTACGTCAATGGCAAGCAGTTCGCCTCTAGGGGTTTGCAAGCCATCTGTTTCTTGGAGGAAGGATTTGCACTCGAGCCGCCACATGACAGAGTTTTCCACAAGCAGAGGAAGTTCGTCCTGGAAGTCGTGAGCGACGCAGCTGTAGAACATTTGCTGGGGCGAGATAGATGCAAGCAAGGCCGGCCCAACCGCGTTGTCAGCGTTGATGAAGCGTACATCGGGGCGCTGCTCCTTGACGAGTTGCGACGACGCAAATTGGTGCATGTCAGGGTCTGCGTAGCCATATGACTTGCCAGAGTCGCCGCTCGAGAAGGCGAGGTAACGTGTAGGTCCACATAGCTGGAGGACAGATTGCGAGTAAGCATTCAGCGACTGGTCCCCATTTTCCCGTCTTGAGGATTCCTCAGGATCTTTGTACCAGCTCAGCGCCGTGTCAACTGCGTATTTGCGGTCGCGGGGAATGCCTGGGGCAATGTCATATGGAGGAGAGTGCAGAAGCGCAAAGACGGCCAGCTCGCCTAACTCGTGCTCACGGGCTATGCTGTCGATGGTAAAATCGAGTTGGAGCGTCGATTTGAAAGTCGGCCAGGCCATGATGGAAGGTGAGTGGCGGGAAAGCTACGGGCTTCTTGCGTGATGGACAGCACGTGCAGCAAATATATATATATATATATATATATCTTGCGTCACATTCAACAGCGCCTTAGCCTTAGCCATATATTTATACTCCGTACATCATAGACCTACATGGTTGTCCCAATTCACCAAGGCACTATGCTATAGAGTAGGGGTCTAGGATAAGACCCAAGTTTATTAGCCGCCTTGCTGTGGGGCTGGGCTGAGGTTTGAGGTGAGATGCACCGCCTACCTACGTACTAATCGTGCCGCACCCTAGCATAAATAATGGTTTCGCACTTCGCTGTACTATTATAGATGAAACGTGCAATCCAACAGTGCCCCGTGGCACAGGTAGTTCCTTCATCCTTCGTGAGTACTAACTATTGAAAATTGCTAGGATTCATCATAGCAGCCTTACGCCGCTATACAGCATGCCAAGCCCCAACTATATTTAGCTAAGTCTTTACTATCTTAGACTTTTCTCTCTTTTATATCAATTAATCTATACTTTACTTTTATTAAAAACTTACTAACTTCTATTTACACTTTTAATTATTTAATACCTCGACTTAGAATAATAATCCTTTTATTAGATTCCTTAAATTAAATTAAATTCAACTTTATTATAGAATAAGTCTAAGTGTAGCGGTTTAAGCTGTTGAATTCGGCAAGTTTAGTCGCTGTTTTATACTACCCAAACCGCTCGCTTAGCCTGCCCGCGGCTAAGGGGTCGAAGTGGTACTAGTAATATAGAAAAGCACAAGTTAGGATCGGTTGCCTTCAGCGTCAAGTATAACCCTCATTTGATAACGCTATCGTCCGCATCTTACGCTGTCACCACGCTGTTATCTCCATCGTCGACAGCTCCTTTCACCCGTCCTCGGTAGCGGATATCCTGGCTGGCATTGACACCTCTTTGAGTCCCATTCTGTCGATAACGATTCACTGCATACATCCGCTCTAGTAGTACCCCGCACAGGACTATGGCCCCCACTCGAGCAGAGGAGACCCTCAAAGCCGTCCAGAATGTTCTCAAACGACGTAGGGACACCGATTGTATACTAAAGGAGGAAAAAAGGTGCGAAGGTATTAAAGCGTCAGCTGCTGCAAATTCCCAACAGTCAGACGAAAATCCCAAGAAAAGGATCTATCCGAAAGAATAGGACGTGGAAAATCATTTGTCTATTTTTCAAGCACTAGCCTTCAAAAACCGGCGAGCTCGATACTATTACTATAACTAAGAGATATATTACTAAGAGCCTACAAAATGCCGCGATACATATAGCAAAATGCTAATATATACCAAGAAATATTTCTCGACCCAAGGTTCAAACCTTCAAGAACAGTCCTATTCTGTAAAGGACATTTCTCAAACTCGGAGATACGTTCGTGAAGTAATTTCAGTTTTACCAGGACCCAGTATACAAGAATCCCAGAGCTAGATATATATATTGTAGCTCGGCATTCAAATATCTTCTACTAACTCTACAAAATCACCTTGCGAAGTATACAAAATTACCTGCAGACAAAGAGCGCCCTATTCCCCGTTCTATCTATTGCACATATTGCAAAGGCTATACTTATGAATGTAGTTTCGACGAGCATGTTGTTGCTTGTCGTAATAAAGATTATCAATGCTGGCGATGCGGCATTAAAATTTCACCGTCTGAGCAGGACACTCATCATGAAGATTGTAGGATACGGGTTTGGCGTTGCCAAGTGTGTCGCACGATTGGGATACCAGTGGAGGAGCGGCAGAGTCATCGCAAAAATTGTTTGTACTACTTCTGTTCTAGCTGTGGCAAGAGTATTCTTATAACCGACCGAGAGAGCCATGTCCAAGCTTGTGAATATTGGCGATGCAATCATTGCCTCAAGTACTTTCTGATGGCCAACCGAGATATATATCTCCAAGCCTGTGACCCCTGGAGGTGCCGTCGTTGCCGCCAACGCATTCCTCGAGCCGACCGAGAAAGTCATCTCCAGGCCTGTGAATATTGGCGCTGCTCTCGCTGTGTTAGATACTTTCCAGCAGTCGAACGGGATGCCCATTTGAAGGCTTGTAAGCATTGGTTATGTGGCCACTGCTGGAGGCCGTTTCTTACAGCTGACCGAGAAGAGCATACTCGGGCCTGTGAATATTGGCGATGTAGCCGTTGCTCCGGGCAATTTGCTGCGGTCGACCAACATGTGCATTGGAACACATGCAAGTCCTGGGTATGTAGCTATTGCTACAAAGTCTTCCTTCGAGTAGAGAGATATGCACATAGACAAACCTGCGAATTTTTGCTTTGCCCTAAGTGCGGAACTCATTGCCACAAGGAGGAGTTTTCTCTGCACATTTGCACAAGACGGATATGCGGACGCTGTAACAGACGTTTTCCTGCAGAGCAGTATGATGACCATCATGCTACGTGTTCGTACATTGTTTGCGAGAGATGTTCCTCTCGAATGCCGTTTGCCTCATTTGCCAACCACAAACCTGCTTGCGCTGGCATGGAAGTACGTGCTAAAACTCATGAGCCAGATCAATACAAGATAGCATCGAGAGCGATAATGGACTTAAAGAAGTCATTCCCTTTGACAAAGTCAATTCAACTTGATATGGAACCATGGTTCAATAATCCGTATACAACAATCGTCGCCGACTTCGAGTACAGTTCTCAATTGCTTGACACCCTGGGCCACGATGCTATTTTCCAGATTGCAGTTTCAAACGCCCTAGGGGAATGGATTGTCCCCCCGCCCTCAATCAATCATCATATGTCAACACGTGAATATTTCGAGAAACTGACATCATGCTGTAAGAAACATGGAGGAGGCCAAAATACTTATCATGGGCTCTTTTATCAAGGACAATTTGAAAAGTACTATGGAAGTATTGACCAAATGACTACCCAAGGGCTATCGTGGAATGAAATTGGCGACTTGTTTGATTCTTACATGAAGGTGAGCAATCCGACACAGCTTTTTGTATGTCACTAACATGTCTACAGAAACATGGGAGCTTGCAGATCTTTCTTGAGTGGTCGCAGAATCGTGGAGACTACCGATGCTTACAGAAAGGATTGAGGATAACTAAGAAAGCCAACTTGATGCCGCCGCTGCCGAATAAATCGGGAAGCCCTTTGGCATAGTGGGGAGAATTCAGAAGAGTCAATAGTTTTTCGACACAATCCTTTCCCCTGGCGCTGGGTAGGGTATACCGCATCGTATTCCCAGAGCGGCTCGAGCTTTCAAAGCATTGGCGCAATGCTAGAGCCGATGTTATTATGACTATACAGCTTATACAAGCATATTTCGATAGGGCTAGAAATCGTCCAATCGAGGGGAAGATCACAACTCACTTCCCAATCAGTCAAAATATTACTAATTTCTCAGGTCAAGAGGAAGTTTCAGAGGAACCAACGTCGGTGGACTATAACGACGAGGACGAGGAATATTATGACGAGTTGCCTGATACTGAGATGCAATATTTATATGAAGAGCAAGGCTCATTCAATGAGGATGCCTTGGAACACATGGTTAATGCCGGGCTTATCCCATCGGCAGAGGAAGACGAAGAGTGGCAGGAAGGGGGTTTGGATGAGAATGCTACCTCGTAAAGTTGGGGTACAGATTGTGGGCTTGCGGGTCTTGGTCATTCTGCTTTGAGCAAGTTTGGTAGGGGATTAGTCACATCTGTGCGCATATTCTTCAGCAACTTTGCGAAGATATCAAGACTTGCGAAATTCAGACTATACCAGTGTATACTTCGCTAACCTAAGGCACTACCCTAGTAGGGTCTCGCGGAAACATGCTCGCAAGTCTAATGTTTGGAAGTCCCAAGTAGAATTGCACAATCCGCTCTAGCCCAAACCCACCCCTGCCATGAGGTGCGCATCCATACTTAAAGCCGGCAACGTAATCCTTCAGCCCAGCCTGTTCAGGGTTCATGTTTAGCTCCCGGATTCTTTGGACAAGGAGTTCATAAGAGTGGATGCGCTGCGCTCCTGAACAAATTTCTTGCCCCCTCATAAACATATCGTACGAATTCGAGTAGTTGTCTGGGTCGGTGGAAGACGGCATGGTGTAGAAGGGGCGGAGAGCCTTAGGGAACTGATCCAGGGTGTAGAAATCCGAGCCATACTGCAAAATATTAGTAGTAAGTAATAGTGCAGGTCAAAGGAGGAGCTCAATAGAGATCATACCTTTTCGAGAACGAGCTGACCCAATTTCTTTTCTTGAGGTGTCGTCAGATCGTCGTAATCTCCGATGGACTCACCAGCTTTACGAAGCATTTTGATGCCCTCAGCAAAGTGAAGTCTCGGAGCGTTTGCAGGGAGCTTGAAAGGTTGTACCGGATAAACTTTGCGTATCAACTCTGTTTCGTCGCTGTAACGCTCTTGGAGACCCTTGAAAATGAAGAGCATCAACTTCTCCAAAACATCTACAACTTCATGATAGTCCTCTTCAAATTCCATTTCAACATCAAGGCCGGTGAACTCGGTCAAATGCCGTGCCGTGAATGACTTCTCAGCTCTGAACACCGGTCCTATCTCCATAACTCTCGGAAATCGTGCCTGAATAGCCATCTGTTTGTACAGCTGAGGACTTTGAGCCAAATAACAGTTGCCTTGGAAGTAGTCGAGACGGAAAACATTGCTGCCACCTGGGCGTTTGTTAGTTACGCACAGAATAGTCTGATTGATAGAAATAGCAATACCTTCACTTGGAGCGCCGATGATCTTCGGAGTATGGATTCGTATGAATCCTTGAGCTCGCAGAAATTCTTGGAATAACGAATCCACGCCGTCCTGAAGAATGAAGATACAATGGTTTATCTTGGCTCGTAGGTCGAGTACCCTATTGTTCAGTCGTGTATTAAGTGACACGAGTGGGCTGTTAACATCCTCATTAGTCTCCGAAGGTAGTGCCCGTTCTGAGTCCGCTGGTTGTAAAGGTAGCGGCGTAGAAGCTTTAGAGACGAGATAAATTTTCTTGGCTTGAATTTCGAAGCCCTGGACGGTTGTACTTTTGATCTGCTCAGTCGTTCTTTTCACAATTCCGTGTATAACGCAGAGAGACTCTGCCGGAATATCTCCAGCAAATTTAACCATTTGTCTTGAGACGTTCTCTCCATCCTCAGCTACAACCACTTGAATCGACTGTAATCGTTGGCTCACGCTAAGAAAGGCTAGCTTTGTCGACTGAATGCGGGCATTCTCGATAGCACACCGAAATATGCATAGCCGATCTTCCCATTCCTCAACCTTGGTGAGCTGTAACCATTCGCAATGGGATACAGGAGCCGTGGTCGGGGGATGTTCGCCATAATTACTAGCAGCAAAGTCATTTGCTGCTTCTTCCCGCTGTCGAAGCTGGAGTTCTTTTTCGCGAAGTCTGGCTTGTTCTGCTTTTTTCTCGGCCTTTTCAGCTTCTTTCGCAGCCTTCTTTATGGCATTCTTGGATAGTTGCGTTGACGATGGTTCAGCCGTATCTACGCAACTAGAATATGATCAACTCGCAAAAAGAGTATTATCCTACAAGGTGGTGTTATAGAAGAGGGAATTATTCGAGGGAATGAAGATGAAGGTAGAATTAGAAAAGTGGTGCGTCAATGCCACTACGGAACGGAAAAAATATTTTGCCGAGAGGACATGCTGCTTTTTCAAAATTGTGCCGGTATATTTCCTCCCTCTACTTCCACCTACTACTTCTAACTGATTACAGACAAAATTGTCCCGATAAAGCTACTCCCTACATGTTGCGTCAGAACTTTCCGAAAAAATTGAGCAGGTGCCCGCCATTCTCTCGCCGCCTGGCTGGTAAAGCCGTGGTAGGTTCGGGTGGGAGCTTCCGCCGCCGCTTTGCAGGTCGTGCATCACCGTCCTCCTCAGCACTGGTGTTGTGACTTTCCATTATGAATTAGATAGATTCATCCTCTGGGGAGCCACTTTTCTTATACCTTGAGTTCTAGTTATCAAGTTATCGTTTTGTTACCAGGTTGTTAAAGTCACCAACTTGGACCGGGCTCAGTTTGAAGGAGGCCAAGATTGGACCCGGTTCAGGCTAACAGTAGCCATGAGAAGGAATTGGATATAAGGAGAAGTTGTGATCTGAGGAATGTTACAAGAACCTGATTTCTTGAGCTGAGTCTTCGAAACGGGAAGTCCAGAGGTATTATATAGCCGTACCCATAAACATTCGTTATCATATACGAAGACTGGTCCTGTGTCCCATCTACCGCTCAAAATTGCCACCCTCTCGTCGCAAGCCCCCAAGGTATTCGCAAAGGATCCTGCGGAATGCATGAAGCACCCCTGGCTTCTCCCGTCTCCACCTCACTGAGACCTGTAAGTCACATGATCGTTCAGGCCTTATGCGCTAGCGCTCCTTGCTCTGGCCCGATATCCATACGAATCTGCCTCTCATAGTACACCGTATTTGCTGTCTCTATATAACGCTCAAAGGCCAAGCTTCATCCTTCTGCCTACATCAGGACTGCGGAAATATCCAAATCTAAGGTCAAACACCTTTGCTTGCCTATAATCGTATATATATCCCTTGCCTAGAATTCCTTGGCCTCGTCGACGATCGAGAGATAGTGCTGTAATCGACCAAGTTCACCTTCCTAGAGCTGAATCTCGTAGTCGAAACGGTAGTTTAGTGCTTGAACCAAGGCAGTCGCGGAAGAGTCTACCTGGATAGATGTAGTACGTGGCGTCCTATCTGCAACAGTACACTATACGTAGTACCTTCGCGCAGCCCTCTTTTATCAGAGTTGATTGAATGACCGATGCCGAGCATAGGGGGGGACGCGGCCCTTATGGACATTGAAAGCGGCGGCTGGCCCGTGCACACACTTTGCCTGATGCAGCGGATGCCATTCCCGGAGGGGCAAACCGCTGTACTAAGATTATATATTATTATTTCTTTAGATTTAAAGTAATATAAGTAAAAAGTAATATATAAATATAATTTATAACTAAATTATATATATAGTAGCGTTTATATAGCGCTTTAAGTAGCTAAAAAAACTAGAATTAAAAAAACCCCCCAAAACAAAAACGACTACATTCGGGAGTCTAGCCACCATCTCCTAATACTATTATCTTTCTACGAATCCTTTAGCAAGGGTAGCCCGATCTTCAGCCGCATACTACCAAGCAGACTATTAAGCTGAAGCTGCACGTCCTCGTCAAATTCCCAATTTCTTCGATTTTGGGTCTCTTCGTCATCAAATAGTGCTCCGACTAGCGGTTCGACTTCCGTTTCAGTCGTGCTGCTGAGCACTTCTTTCAATGAATAGCTTTCCATTTCATTGAATTCTTGCTGGCCCTCGATAAAGTGTTTTTCAACCAGTGAAGGGAAGTCAAGTCGTGGCGTGAACCCACCAGCTTGCTGGAGCTGCGCGACACGGTGTAGCGATTGTTTGCCGATATCTTTTCCACGTTGAACTTCCCCGCTTTGCGCGACCCGGATCCAGGTTGCCTGGAGAACTGGATCAGCCTCGCGAACTTCGATGAGTGTGCCGGATAAGAGATATTGGTGGCTTCCCATAAAAGCCATGAGCACTGTACCAATTTCTTCGTCTAAGGCGTAGCGTAGCAGGCCGAGGCCAGATGGGATACCGAGGGCGGTGGTTTCGCCGTGCAAGTTTCGGTCGATGAATGCGGACACGCTGTCCCAGTAAGCACATGCGGTTGCTAGTTTCCAGGCCGTGATTATTATGACGCGGTCGATACTACCGACATTTTGGAAGCGCTCTTCGGCTAGTGCATTGCTTTTGAGTCGGGATGCGTCGGATATTAGAGGTTCTTTGTGCTTGATAATTTGTTTGAACTTTCCCTTTAGTGCGTCGCGTTTGCTGGGTTTGGGTGGAGGAACAGCGACGGAAGATGGAGGAGTCTCGATGGCTGGTCTGAGAGTATTTCCTGGTTGAGAAGGCATTCGGGTGAAGCCAACTTCGAAATGCTTCAAGAGCAGATGAACGATTGGCGCGTTCCGGGAGAGAACTGCGTGTTCTAAGAGAGACACCCCATGTTGGTCCAACACGTAAATATCTGCTCCCTTGTCAATCAAAATTTCGGCGATTGTGCATATCTTTGCTAACGTCTCCCCCGGGTTCTTGAAACTTGTGGCCTTTCCTAAGCTAATACACCGTCTGAGTGGAGTCCATCCGACGTTGTCGAGGATATCCACGGATGCTCCAAGTTCTAGAAGATCTTGAACGAATATCACATCGTGATTGTCGATTGCTTGATGGAGCATGCATGGCACTTGCCAACCTGTGGATCGATAATCGAGGCTTATATCCTTTTCAACAATTAACTCGAGTAATGGCCGTCGAATGTGATGATTTCGCTCGTCATCATTGCCAGAGAAGGGGAAAGCAATTAAATGAAAGGAAGTATTTCCTTGGTCGTCTAGAATCCCTGGATCTGCACCTGCCTTGAGCAACACAGAACAACATCTGCTTGCTGACTCTGTATCTTTCCTCAGGGAATACGCAGCAAGATGTAGTGCTGTGAATCCGAAAGCCAGGGTCTTCAAATTGATATCCATTTTCTTCGAAAATACGTCCAAGAGGGCATCATGCAGTTGGCTTGCCGCGCAATGCATGCAATTATATCCACTATATTGATGCGAACCAGAGTTGAATGCAGAAACATCTGCACCAGCTTCTAGAAGGATATTGACAACTGCGACATCTCCTTTGAGAGCGGCAGCAAGCAGAGGGGTATTCCCACCACCATCCTGTTGTGACAAGAGTTCGACTTTCTGCGCCAGGGTACGAGATTCGGTTGCGGGCGACATCGCTTCATCGAAACCCCTTTTCAAAAGCAAGGAAATAACGTCGAGATTCCCTACGTGGATTGCACAATGCAGACCTGAAAGCGAGGTCACATTTCCCCCACCACACAAGATAGTTGGATCTGCTCCTTCTTGAATCAACAGCGAAACGTCTTCGAGTCTATCTTTCTTGATCGCGAGCTGTAGAGCGGTGTCCTTAGTTTCCCCGTTCAGACCTTCTCGGGCATTTGGATCTGCGCCGGCGTCAAGCAGTTTCTTGATTGAGTACGTTTCAGAGAATCCGCTATTAATTAAGTAGTGAAGAGGATACAATCCCTTGGTGTCTTTGACGTTCAGGGAAGCACCATGCTCGATGAACCAGTCCAGTATTTCTGCGCGATGAAACTCAATAGCCGTGTTGATTGCTCGCTGCTCATCCGCTCCACTTAGATTGCAATCAAGATGGGAGCCACGGGAAAGAGCAAACTCCAACAGCCAATAGCAATCAGGCATGTCAAATGCTCCCGAACATGCCGCTTTCGTGCACATGAGCATGAGCAGATTCCTGTTTTCCACTGAAAGTCGCGACTCCATGGTTCCATCCTCACTTTGCTCCGGAAATGGTAATCCGGCGTTAGCAATGGCAATGTCACCCATCTCTATCGATGATCTAATAAGTCCGGTTGTTGTAAGCATAGGGGTTGAAGGGTATGCTGTTACCAGCGTCTCTCGCAGGTAAAAGAGCATTTCTTCAATAGCCCGCTGCTTGTGTCGACCATGGATGAATGTCCGTTCTACTGTGGATGATTCAGCCAGGGACCTCCACGCCGATTGTAAGCAATGCTTAATGCCTTCACCATTTACGTTGTTATTTATGGTACGTAGTCGCTCTTGAGTTTCGTTCACAAGAAGGTCTAGAATATTGACCAAGTGCAGGCTGGTGGCTAAATGGACAGGGCTCCCATTTCGAGCGTCGGATGTCCAGTCTCGAGGACCATTTGTCGGACCAGCCCCAAGATGTAGCAAAAGCTCCACTGCATCTTGAGAACCAACAGCAACTGCGAATGCGAGCGGGGTTCCAACAAGTTGAAGTGGAAATTGACGATCAAGATACCGTGGCTCGCTGACAATGTTATCAATAAACCCCCTCGATGTACCTTTTGCTTCGGCACATCGGCGTTCCGCAGCAGAATAGTCCTCGGGGGTTGGAAATGAGGAATTCTCGTCGACGGGCTGTTTCCCCTTATCTTCCCTGATTGATGAAGGGGACTTAGGGTCTACTAAATTAGGGTCCTCTGAAACTGCCGGCACCTGATCATCGAGTTGGTAAGTTAAACGAGCAGGCTTGGAGGAGTTAAAAGCAAGAGGGAAATATCCTCACCTCGGTAGTCGCTTGATCGTAAGTAATACCACTTCGAGTCGCTACAAACCTTGCCCCTTGGTATTCTGCGATATGCCCATCCTCGTGATCTTGGGGTTTAGGAGGGGAAGTGTTGGCAGTACCTTCGAGTGGTGGGTCTTCGCCACTGAAGTCAACGAACATGCGCGGGAAAATGCCACTTTTGCCCCTTGAATCTATACCAAGCCACCACTCCTCGTCGACAGCGTGCAACACTATAACCTCCTCGCCTAGTATCAGTGTCAAGGCATTATCTTCTACCGGGTGAAACTCGTACTTCACAAGTGCGGTTTTAGTAATTGATGCAGATTTCACAGAAATAACCGACGCAGGGCGTGGGAGTGTGGGTTGTTGAAAGCGGTCAAAGCCTAGCAGGAGACATGCTGCTAATTTCATGTATTCCGGAGGGAACATGCAAATGAAATGCACCGGAAGACACCCATCGTGGGCGGCCAAATAAGGATCTGCACCGACCGAGATAAGGTCGTGAACAGCATGGATATCCCCTAATTGGCAGGCAAGACTCAGTGCCGTCTCTCCAGTTGAGTGGGACGGAAGATTGATATTGTCTCGACCAGTCAAGGATTTTGTAAGCCCGTGGCGAACCGCATAGTGAGCAAAGTAGAATGGCGTTTGTACCTCGTTCTCTTGATTTTCACGTTCATGATCCTCAGTAATCTGTTTCAGCTCAGCATATGTAAGTGTTGTTGTAGAAGGTATCGCGTCTAGGTATGGGATTTCCAGTCTGCGGAAAGCCTCGCGAATGATTCTTGTGTATCGCTGCTGACTTTCGAGTGGCTCCGAAGTTCTGTCGTTCAAGTATGTCTCCGTGATAAGCTCATGTAGGGTACCGGCATTCGGCAAACCTTTGAAGCCACTTTTCGTGGCCCATTCCAGGGCTTGATCTGTATCAGCATTGGTGCCGAATCCTAAAAGATACACAAGAGACACATGGAAAGCCGCGTGTGCTGTCATGAGTAAAGTCAGCATAAGCCTGAGAGCACGCCACCATTTACGGGGTCACTCATTGCAGGCAGCTCTAAACTCACCTGAAGCGATGGAGCGGCCAGCTTCCGATCCTAGGCGAACACAATCATTCAAGATTTGTATTTTTACTAGATGTGGAATTTGAGCAACTTGAGATGGCCGAAACACCTGTACTAGTTAGTGAACTATAAACATGGGCATTATTCACGCCGCGGTAGCGTACCTCGAATGACCATTCAGCAGACTTGCCCGAAGACTGTCCAACTCTTAATCGGCCAGTTCTCGCTCTGAGGTTCAATTAGTCACGCCATTCGATTCTCAGCAAATACTATTGAAACGTACTTGGTTTTGAGAAGCAGGGGTAGCATAGGGATGTCGGCTACTCTCTGATCGGGGTCAACGTCCAACGTTGCTTGAAAAAGTTCGCGGAGCTTGCCCTTCTCAAAAGAATAGAGGTCTCCGACAATTTCAGAGTCTAAGAAGTCTATTGCAACTTCTTGCAATCGGTCAGACAGTGCGGAAAGACTCCCCAGGATACTTTCAGTGGTTGATGTTGTTTCCTTGCTCGTAGATGTTGAGCCTTTGCTGGCACTGGCAGAGTGATCAGAGGTTGATCTGGAGTCAGTTTTCGTAAATGCAATAAGGTCCCGAATTCGATCGCTTTTGTAGTACGGGGAGCCATTGTCTAAAGACTCCCAGCATAAGAGACCCAGTGCCCAGACATCGCATTTTCGAAAGTTGAGCGTCTGGTGATCGAGACCGTGGCTCTTCGCTATCTCAGGGGCATTGTATGCTAATGTACCACCATACTTCTGGTCTTCTTTTGCCTCGTCATCCTCGTACAAGAGAAGGGAGTGGCCGAAATCCGAAATCTTCGCAACTACAGTCTGTGACGACAATTCTGGTCCAGACTGTGCACTGGTGTGAGGCGTGACAAGGACATTATCCAGCTTCAAGTCGCCATGTGCTATACCACATAGATGCAGTTCATGAAGACCCCGAGCAACATTGACACACATCAACAGTCTATCCCTAGAAGGTAGCCGATATCGTCGGAGATAATCCCGTAGGGTGCCGCTAGATGCAAACTCGGTGACCAGAAATGGAATTGAACCGCTTCCCCTGAAGTTCCATCCATAACCCAGGATATTCAACATATTCTCATGGCCGGCAAGAGGGCCATGGGACATGACCTCGAGGCAAACGTCAGTCAAATCCATACTTCACGTGGCATAGTAGGAGACCAACCTCGATATCTCTCATTACACATGCTACTTGCCGATCAAAGGCCTCTTGACTCGACGCTGATGGCAGTTTTATCTGCTTCACAGCAACGACCTTCCCAGTGGACCTCTGGAGGCATTTGAAGACTTTGTAGCTGACACCTTCGCCGAGCCATTTTTGCTCCTGGAGGACGTGACCTTGGATGAATTCGAGGCCTAGCGGTTGAATTATTCCTAGGAGTTCTTGCAACGATCTGATCTGCCGTTTGTTGGGTTGTGAGAAGCCACCAACGCTGGAAAGTAGGGTTCTGTCTAGAGTAGTGAACCCAGCAGTGAACTTCGAGGGATGCACTTAGCATAGGGAGGTTGATGGGAACCGGCCCGAGCCGAGCTCGAGTCCAGCGGGCCGGATCGCTAGAGTAGGGAGGGAAGGAACGTACCTCGAGAGACACCCCCTCTAGAGAAGCCATAGCTCGCTCTCAATACACACCATCAGCGATTATATACAATACAATACAATACGGCACACCACCAACAACACGACGCAACCATGAGATCAGAAGCTTCATCGAAATTTCTGGGCATGGGAGCGCTAGCCTCGTGGCCCCCATCCTGCGGCCCAGGGCCGTCCACTCCCCAGCCGCACTTCTGGGCGCTGCAGTAGCGGCGGCTTCAACACCTAGAGAGGAGCCTCGCGACGTGATCATCGCTGCTCCTGCGTACCAAAAGACTCTCCGGGTTTAGAATCCTCAATATTGTTGTCTCGTGGGACGCTGTCCTTCATATTGGAATCATGATCGATCCGCTGTCCATTGCCGGCCTGACCATCTCGATATTTGACCAGCTCCTCAAGCTGGGCGAACGGACTGCGCAGCTCATAGCCGATGCGAAGACATTTGACGATGTGAGGCGCATTTCGTCCAGTACCTTGATTCCCCTCAATGTCTCACAAAAACTGACCGATACCTGCGAAACTTGGGGCGACGATCAATAACGAACCATTGCTGACTTCAACGCGTGGCTTAGGATACTGATGCCCTTTACGACAAGCTAAAGGACGAGAATAACCGCTCGCGGCAGCTAAGACACCTACTTTTCGAATCTTCCCCTATATACGGCGGTCAAGCGCTCTTCGAGAAATTTGACGAAGATGTTCAGGACCAGATCAAGATATTCTTGGGCCGACTGGTGAGCATTCTACACGAGGGGTATGAACTTTTGCATCGACGTTATGGAACAACTGGAACAATCATCCGGAGCCCTTCTCCCCAGAGTTCGATATCCGATCTATCAATCTCCCAAAAGAGCTCCAGTACTCTCGATCTGCTCAAGACGTTCCCGAAATCTTCCATGATGGTCATCCGTTGGTCGTTGCGAGACAAGAAAAGGACGGAGGAAGTGCTCAACAATTTTGCAGATTTGAATAGTCGGATACACGAGAACATAAAGTTATGGAGTCTTGCAACGTCAATTGGGCTGGACATTCAACATCTTGAACGGTTGAAGAACGACAAATACTCTATTGACCTGGGTTTTAACGTTGATGCAACGCTCCAAATTGCTGCAGGCGATGCACAATCAATCGATGGAACCTTGGAACTTGGGGAACAGGATTGGACGAACGCGATAAATTCCTCAAAACCGGTGGAAGAACGCTTCGGCTTGATGCAGCTGAATGGCATGAGGTTTCTACAGGAGAATCGATCGTACGATGAACATCGACATGGATCTTCATCTACGGAAGTAGACCCACGTACTCGAGATCGCGTCGATGGTCTAGCAAAGCTACTCCAACACCCGAAGGAACGCGTGTTTTGTATTCCCCGGTGCGTTGGTTGGAAATATGTTCCCAGCGCTCGTCGTATCGCATTCGCATTTGAGATCCCCGCAGATATCACGACCGAGCCGGTTAGCCTGCGACGATTGCTCGACGGCACAGAGAAACCGGAGCTCGGGGACAAGTTTCAACTGGCATTCGGCCTTGCAAGATGTATTGCACAGCTACAGATGGTCAAATGGGTCAGGTCCTCCAGACTTCTATATACCATCCTCCAACTGACACTACCAGGTACATGAGAGTTTTCGCAGCGAGAACATCCTGTTCTTCCCTCCAGAGAAGGATAAAGACGCCAAGTCTATGAAGATGTCGGCGTCGACAATCGATTACTCGCAGCCCTGGGTGCTCGGCTTCGAATACAGCCGTCCGGAATCAGACTTTTCGTTAGGAATTACCGACGTCTGTCTAGCACGCGATATATATCGACATCCAGTGCGCCAAGGCCAGCCAGGAATGATGTTCAACAAGATACATGATATATACGCACTCGGTGTCGTTTTACTGGAGATTGGGCTCTGGGAGCCAGCCATCACACTGGAGAAAAATCAATTCAAGCACGCACGAGATCCATATGTTATTCAGGCACAGCTTCAAAAGCAGACAGCGCGAAGACTAGGTTCAAGAATGGGAGAACGATATAAGCAAGTCGTTTTGAAATGCTTAAGTGGAGACTTTGGTGTTGTCGATGATACCAAAGAGGACTTGAAGCTGCAACAAGGATTCCGAACTCAAGTCGTAGATGTTCTCGAGAGAGCTTCCGCTAATGTATGATTGCAGCTATCCTCAGGGTATACTTTTTTCATCCTCTTAGCCTTCAACTGATGAAGGAAGTCGCGCATTCTTTTATCCATGGAGTTTGCATTGGTAGCATTAAATGCTTGACTGATGAGCCTGCATTTTAGGTTTACTCATAGCATCTGGAGTACTGTTGGAACAGCGTCTTGTTGTGATTTATGACTCAATGAATATTTTTAGATCCAAGTTGATTGTCTATAGGGTGCGACATTTGTACAGACCTTCATTTGGATGATCTAATTGGCTACTACCTTCATTCTCCTATGCTATGCCACATATTTCGATGACTCCGATTCTCAAAATATTAACCACATCTTCAAGTCCGGACTTTCCATACTTTCTTGCTCCTATCCAGATCCCCGAAACCTCATTTTTTTTATACTTCTTCCGGTTCCGCCAAACTAGCTTAACGATGCTACACTCTGCCGCTTCGCCGAAGAGCAACAACCCGACGTCTAATCGAGCCTACTAAAACTGTGCCCGAGTAAAAGCTAAGTGCACGCCGCAGGGTGATGGCACCGGTAGTCAATGCGCAAGGTGAATAGACTCCGGTGAATAAGCTTTGCGGAGCACCTGCTAATGTAATGCAAGATGTTTTCGCCTGAAAAAGCAATGTGTAGCTCTACTAAGGAGCAACCGTAAAAGGAGGTCACCTAATACTACCACGTGAGTACAACTTTTGCTTATGTTGTTTTGCAAATATATGCTTCGAAAACAATTCCCGGTAATGATTATGATTGTCAAAAGATTCAGAATGGTATCAGGATTCTATTTACGCTTATTGTCACCTTGATTTTGGGTGTTGATGACCATCCTTACTTTCCCGCTGTTGTCTATAGAAGTCGCCGTCTTTATACCGCGTGGTTGCTGTAGTGATTGGTATAAGATAATAATATCTTACGTCAACTGGGCGATCAAGGAGTCTCTAGAATGTCTCTGGATAGAAGCTCTAATTCTTCCAGTGGTTGATTAATCTGTCCAAGCATTTTTGGAAAGCGATAAGTTTCCAGCCCTCTAACGCCCTTTTCAATCACTCATACGATGTAGGACATTATTATCTTATATACCAATCGATGCGGTATAGGAAATCGTGTTCTTTATGTATTATGCAACAACACGCGAACCAACCTCAAGGCTGACTTATTGAATGGGAACACAGCTTAATTAGAGGAGAAGATCGAAAGTCTCGTCACTCTACTTGCCGCTGCACATGGAACTGTGATAAAACCAGACAACGTATCGCCACAAAGCCCAGACCAGACCATTTCTGTTGCATCAACGCCACCAGTTAACAATCCAACGCCAGCTCTGTGGGGAAATCAGGATGTATCTTGGAACGGGCCCGCGCGGACCCAAACCTAGCTTCCTGTTAAGCCCCCTGATGCAACTCCACTCTCGGGCTTCAAAACGCCTTTGTGAATACACCGTTGGCTTCTAGGCCAACGCCCCTTCCTTCTCAAAGTTATATGACTTCCAACAACAATAATACTGTAGAAGATGAGGACGATCTGCTGTGTGCTTTTAGGGAGCAATTCCTTGTTCGCTTTCCCTTTGTCGTCATTCCATCTAATATCAGCGCCAACGACCTGCGCGTCCAAAACCCTTTCCTGCATCGAGTTATTATGACGGTGGCTTCACAAAGACGGGGTATACAGCAGATTGGGATGGCGAAACAGATATGTATGGACATTGCAGCCGCTCTAATTATTAGGGGTGAAAGAAGCATGGATATGTTCCAGGCGTTGGTTGTGTACAATACATGGTCAGTTCAACCCTCCTAGCCTAACGCCTCAACTTAACTACGAATTCTCCATCTTTCGGGCTCTGGTGCGCCATGGAAAGCTGACATTATAAAGGTTATATTATTACTCCCCTACAACTCCACAAACACAATCAACGGCAATGTACCAGCGATCTTTTGCTTTGATATTCGATTTGGTGTTAAGCCGCCCGGTTCGTGAGCATGAAGGGCCGGATATGTTTTCACTCTCTCTACCTTCTCTGAAGAGCTTTAGGAACAGGAAAAGCTAATTGCTGTGGTATATTATACTTGACCCTTCCAAGACCGTAGCTGAGATCAATCCAAGAGAAGCTAAACGCACTCTTGACGAACGGCGAGCCTTCCTTTGCTGCTACATCTTGACTTCGGTGTAAAGCCCTATGACTTTTCAACATAAGTTCTTGTGGCTAATTTTCCTCAGAACCTCTTTGTACCTCAAGAAAGCCGACGGCTTGCAATATTCACCATATATGGATTACAGCTACAAAACTTTAGAACAAGCAAACGAATGCGAATCTAACCTCCTTCTCATTGCTCTTGTGCGATTGCAAGTTGTGTCTAAAGTCTACCCACGGAATATATCGAGCAAATCCAAGGAATCTCGAGACTCCGATGATCTCAAAACACCTTCCTAGATGTACGTCAAGGCTATGAAAAGCGAATTACAGAGCCTCTCGAAGTCTTCCCCCCAGCCTTCAACAAAATAGTCATTGACTGCAATTCTCCCGTCCGACCTCATACCAATTAATCATCACAACAGAATTCCTCATCATGAACTACCGCGGCATAGAAATCTTCCTCTACAAACCCGCCCTCCACTCAAACCCCATTTCCATCGGCTTCAACACCGGAAACTCCCAACGTATGGACATGCTCCACTCATGCCTCGTCTCCGCCAAATCCCTTCTCGACCCCAACCTTGAGCAACCCCTGTCCGTCTACAACCCCCCCCCCCCCGTAATCGAACTCTCCCACTTGGGCCAAGCCATCGTCACAATCTTCAAACTATCTCTCGTCGACCTGACCGGCTAGGACCTAACCTATGTCCTCAAAACAATCTCGACATACGACTACTTCGACCGCATTATCGCTAATCTCGACAAAGTGGGAGCGCTGATCGATCAGAGCTTGCTAGAACTGTGTCGAAACCCTTTTCCAACCGGCTGTGCTAATGCGATGCGTAGGATCAAGAGCGTGTATGAGGCAAAAGTTGCGGCGGAGCAGGCTAGGAACTCGGTGGTTTTTGAAGGCGTAGGGATTAATGGAGATCAGATGGATTGGTTGGACGATGCTTATTGGCAGGAGTTGTTGAATGATGGGACGTTTTTGCAGTATACGGCTGTGTAGACTGGTGTTTAGATGTGGATTTTGTATTGTTATACCCCTCTCCGATCATGAAAAACCTGGACGACTAATTCGAGAGGTATATTGAAATGTACTTGTAGTTGTTGATGAGCAGTATGAGAAATGGACTTTTCAAAGGGGTAAATAACCGATATTGTTCATTTCACTATTTATACTTTTCCTTCATATTGCTACTTGTAGGTTGCAATACTATCTGCGAACACGATGGCGCTGATCTAAGAGCTGAGATACTTTAGTAGAAGGGCATGGAAAGTTTTAGGTTCTATTCAGAGGGGAGATGTTGTTCTTTAAGTCGGTTTCCGCCCTGTGAAGCGTAAAAGATGCTACGTATTAGAGATTGTTGGCACTGGCTGTATAGTATTGACACTTATAAGGTTTCTTGCCAACGAAAATAACTACGATATTAACAAAGCGTCTTATAGACCTTCTTCCACTGCGGCCACGTACTCTCATCATCCCTCCACTGCTGTCTTACAAACTCACTCTCAAATGTATTCCTCCCCGTTTGCAGATCGATCTCGCCAACCCTTATCCATCTTGTCTTATACCAAACCTTATAAAATATATAAAACAGAAATACTACAGGCGCCGCTAAACAAGCCTCAAAGAAATTACTTATACGCTCGCCGGCCTTCTCGTTACCAGTACTCCCAGCAGGTGAAATCGCGACAAAGACCTGTGCTATTAGAACTAAAACTAGGCTAATAAGTCCGACCCACGACCCCGTCGTTCCGACTGGTGAGCGGTATATTAGGTCGGAGGGCGAGTTGCCTTGTAACGCCCAGGCCTTGCGAAACATAATATGTGCGTAGCAGATAGAGAGCCAGGTAAAGATAGAGGAGAGGCCCGACAACGCAAGGAGCCAGGTAAAGGCGGCTCCTTGGATAGGAGAGATATAGAGGTAGGCGACCAAGCCGATTATAGAAGCAAGGAGGATACTAGCTATAGGCCGGCCTTCGCGGTCCACGTAGGCGAGGATTCGAGGTGCTTGGCCCTGTTCTGCAAGGGCCTGGAGGGTACGCGTTGCACCACTAGACAGGAAGATTAGTATTTTTGTTAGGTTGTTAATAGTAAGGAGTAGGTTTAAGGAGAGTAGTGCCTTTAGAAAGTAGAATAAAGAAGCTTCTAGCAAAGAAATAGATTATACTTACTACATAGAGGAATTAGCAACGCTGAGGACAGCTATTAGTACAATAGTATTTATAACCGAGTCAAGGCCTTGGATTTTGGCGTCCGTGATAGCAATAATAAAAGGAGACGATTTGCTGTCTACATCGTTCCGGCCTACTAACCGTGGATCAGTATACGGGACTAGTAAACCAACAATAGTAATAGCTAGTACGTAGAACTAGTTAACTTGTTAGTTAATAACATTTTAGGGCGCCTCCAGTAGCAAGGTAAACAGACAATTAAAATACGCCAGAATACTTGTTTACTAGCTGTCGGCAGCGATTGACTAGGGTTGTGCGTCTCTGCTGCCGCCAAACCGACAAGTTCTGTCCCGGAAAATGAGAAGGCAGCAGTAACAAGAATACTAGTAAAGCCACTCATGCCGCCATGAAAAGCCCCTGGATCAGCCCAGTATCGGCCTCCAATATAACCGCTATCTGGTGTCCCGGCGCAGTTGATTATAACGCCTAGAATTCTGGTAAGATTATTAGTTAAGAGCTCTTCTTGTTTTGACTTAGTGTTTTGACTTAGCTATTAAGCACTTACATAAACCCAACCACAGCCGCGACTTTCATAATAGAAAAACAATACTCGGCTTCGCCAAAGAATCTAACTCCGAATAGATTGATAGAAATAATAAGGAGTAGGAAGAATGTAATAGACGCCCATCGAGGAATAGGCAATGACCAAAACTCTAGACAGATTGCTGCTGCCATTACTTCTAATGGCATTACGAATAGCCACTGCATTCCATAATTCCACCCAGATGCAAAACCCCAAGCTGGATCAATAAATCGCGTTGCAAAGGCCGAAAATGAACCGGCGATAGGGAACGTAACAGCCATCTCCCCAAGAGCCTGCACTGTGCAAAACAAGACTCCTCCAATAAGGATGAAGGCAATTAGAAGCGACGCTGGCCCTCCAGTTGCAAGAGCCTGGCCGGAACCAATAAATAGCCCAGCACCTAGTAAGTTTTGCTGTTAGCCGTCAAGGTTTCATATAGGACGGACCGAGTAGCTACCTATTGACCCCCCAATTGCTATCATCTGAAGATGTCGGCCTTTTAACTTTCTCACCAGGGCCGTGTTTGCAGTATTGTGCGCTGCCGCATCGGCATTAAATACCCTCCCATGCTTGCCAACCAACACCCGGGAGGCCTTGTGAGCAGGATGAGGGCGGAAGCTGTCAAATATTCGTGAGGGTGAGGACGACACTTTTGCTCCATCTGGCCGGCGAAGTAGGGGAGGGCCGGTGGAAGACGAATCCGAGTATCTTTTGGGGGTCTCCATCTCGGTGATGGAGGGGTCATCCAGCTTGACGACTTGCGGCATTGTTTGGAACTTTTGACGTGAGGGGCTAGCCACCAATTGGCCGGGAAGGAGTACAGATACGAAGTCGTGTCGTGTCGTGGTGGGCAATCAAGAAAATCTCCCTCGTGGGTGGTAGCTGGTGCTTGTTCGGTGGCTATTGTATCAATGATATCTGGGCCCCGAACGAAGCCATAGGACAAGAGCCCAAGGTCGATAGACGACACTACACCGTTCGGCGACCTCTGACTGGTCGCAAAGGTCCAGGTCAATACTGCATGCCTACTTGGCACGCACGGGGGATGGGGACCGAGCACACGGCTGCTTCTACAAAACCCCCGCGGCCAAGAGGGCGCACTGTTACAATTAATAGGGCTTTGTTGTGCTACTCGCCATGTACAGAGTAAGCCAAGTGCTCGCCAGTGCTCACATCCACTTTAGGTCTCAGGCAGCAACACTTCTGGTGCGATCCCGTGATATTCGGCCCGGATATTCATCCGGCCGGTGATACGCGATCACACGTGTGGCTCGTGGCTCGTGGCTTGTGGCTTGCGGGCTGTGGCTTGCATGCCAAGGGGACTTCGAACTTACGGAGTCGTATGCACAGGCCGAAGCGGTACGGAGTAGTACATGCTGCCCTGCCCGCCCCTGATGATGATCTGGGGCTCTCTCTCCGCGATACAGCAAGCAAGCACCCAGCCCCCTTTTGCCTCTGCCAATACTCGTTACCTAAGGTTCTCCAACGTAGTAACGCTTGCATTGGTCATGTCATCATGGACACCAACGCCATATTAATAATTGTACCTTGTAGCTTGTAGCTTGACCGCCCAAACCATCCTCGTGGGGTCTGACCGCACGCTTATCTTGTACCCCAAGATTGCACCCCATGATCCGGACGCCTCCTGTGATGTTCGGTCGTGAAGTGTGCGGCGGTGATAGGCCGCGTATCTGGAGTGCCGGATATCCTGTAGAATGGCGTACAAGTATTCCCCTTTAACTTTTCGCTAGTTTCAAGCAATTCGGTGGTTGTCCCTTCCTCCATTGCTTTCTCCCACGACACGACCGTGTTGGCGTGACAATTGTAACTTGATCTTCCTCACCTCACTGGGCTGATGATATTTGAGCTGCGATGGACATATTTCGTCGGCTTGCTGCGGAAGCGCCTGAGCCCCGAGGGTTTCGGGAGGACAAACCGACACTTATTATGAGTTGGGTATGTAGACTCGGGGAGTGTCAACGGCAGCAATGTTTTCTAACGGTTTTTTATATAGTGGTGTACTATCTATGCGATTACTACCATATTACTGCGGATTGCCGGGCGGTATATTAGGACTGAACATATCTATATTGAAGATAGAGTTATGCTTCTGGCTATCGTGCCGCTTCTTATCCGGATAGCCGTAGTACACCCTATCCTCCTCTATGGTACCAATAATACCGTTATCACAGAATTATTGCCAGCAAGTATTCGCCAGCGAGAAATAGGAAGTCAGCTTGTGCTAGCCTCACGGGTGATGTACGCCGCATAGTAAGCCAGCCCCCTTCTCCCCGGGAGAATAGTCGATACCTAAGACTCATAGAATCAAACTAGTCTCTGGATGGTAAAATATAGCACCAGCGTCTTCCTCTTCAGCCACATCAGGAAAACCTCCCCCCGACATGTCCACCGCTTAGAACATCTCCTCCTATCTCTTACATTCCTGGCGACTTTTATTAGCGCTCTAGCACCATGTCAACCGTTTACACATTACTGGCAAGTGGTGCCGGATCCGGGACCCCAATGCCGACAAGGATACGTCTTTTTGTTTGTAATGGGTACTCTAAATATCATCACGAATCTAGCCTTTGTCGTTCTCCCTCTCCGGGTAGTGTTTATGTCAAGTTTATCGAAGATACAGTAAGGGTTCAACTCTCGCAAATAGCCAAAAAAAGAAGACATCCCCGTGTTTTGCTCTATTGGACCCACGGGTTAAATGAAGGCTAATAAGGAACTCAGGAAATTCTCTATAACTGTTCGCCTTGCTCTACCGCTGGCTAGCGTAGCACTCACTCTCTACCGTAAGTCTCATTTATTCTCTCCATCCGCCTGTGCCAATTTTCCACCCTCGTTTCCCGAACATGTGTAGTATCTCAAATTTATTACCAAATCGAACCATTCTCGAGCTATTATGTCTCCCTGCCTGAACCGCCAACCACAACGCGAAAGGACACTCTTCATGTCGTATCTCTTCTTAGTTCATTACTGACAATCACCACCTAGAAATTCCCGCAGTCATCCAGCACCAGGGTCTTCAGCCCTTCCGCACCCTCATCGCCTCCATAGACATTCTCCTCGCAACAGTCGTGGCCAATGCCCCGGTCCTCGTCTCACTCATCCAAGACCGCGGCGCAAAGAAGAGCAAGTTTAAATGGAGACCTAGTCTTGCCAGCGATAATGAAGGCGCTTTACGGAAGGCCGAAGCAGGCTGGAAGACGAAATGGCAGGATGGCAACGGTAAGAGTAAGGGGCGACCTGACGGGAAGAGCGCGGCTGGGGGGCAGGAGATAGATAGAGGGATGGCGCTAGAGATGGATGATATGAGGCCGTTATGTGGCGGGAGGGAATTTAGCCGTGTGGATGTGAATGTGGGTGTGGGTACGCCCGAGAATGTGCGGCTAGGCGATATTAGAGTTGCGACTACATGGGAGGTAACACAGGCTGGTAGGGTAGCAAATGTATAACGAATGAAAGTAATAAACTACGATTTCGAACAATTGAGTAATAGCTTTCTAGGGGATAGAAGATAAAAACAAGTCGGGGGGAGAGTTAGTCTAAGCAGGGCTATAGTAATTTATAATTAAAGAGTAGAATTAGAAGTAAATTACGATTAAGTACTTAGTAATTACTTACGAAATAATATATATTATATATAATTTATAACAAGCTGAATTCTTATATAAACTTTCTTTAATATATTCGTCCCTAGATTCAAGTAAAAACGGCAGTTCGAGCTGGGTAAATGAAGTCGACATCGGGATCTGCTTTCCTGTGATTCCTTCAGTTCCAGAGGATCATTTACCCAGGAGAACTTGGAAAAAGTGATTCGTTGTAAATATATCCGGCTCTGGAAACTCCGCAAATTCGGTCAGAACGCATGGCCCATAAAAGCCTCGCAAGCCTGCCTTAACAAAGAATACATACAACAAATGAGTGATGTCAGAGTACCTAACAAATATCTTGGGGTTGTTGCGGACGATTTCGTAATCGATATGCCGCAAGATCTCGTTTGCTTCTGTCCCTCCTATTGTAGTGATAATACAAGTTACTTGGGGGTCAAGGAAGGCTTTATGGATTTCATTAGCGATATACTGAGCCTTTTGGAGGAATATCGAAGTAGAATTGGAGGTCGGTATTAGTGAGTATATTATTTTGACTAGATATCCTCTACCCCCAAAGAATTTCATACCTCGTGACATAGGAGGTAGTAGTAATTCATCTAGCCGTAACGAAAGGGAAACAAATGCTATTGTATCGCCCGATTTTAAGGCTTTAGGGATGATTATGGTCGTTGTTGGGCTCGTGTTGAGAGAGTTGTTTCTATATTGTAATGCTTGAATCAGAGGAGTATTAGGTTTGGAGAAAGCGAAACGTAGACAAAACTACTCGACAGTGATAGGACAATCGATGTTATTAGTGAGTCTGCATTCATATTCACAGGGTGTCATTCACAGGGCGCCGGGAGGAGTATATACGAAGGTTGGTTAGGTAAGTATTCAATTTCACTAGCTAGGATGCTCATCGACCAGGGCTGTGACATTTACCAAGGTGTCAACTCCTATAACAGTAATGCGTTTAAGGAGCATATAAAGCTCTAAGGGTTATTATTGATATTTGTAGAAGAACTAGGATTTTTGCAATACGAAATATAACTTGCTAGCAAAGGTAGTACAATTGCGACTTGGCTCCGCCCACCTTGATTTCCACCAGAAATATCGAGGGAAACTAGATTTGCGTTTCTCCGTGGAATAGGCTCTGACAGCTGCCTAAGTTTAGTAGTAGGGAGAAAGCTTGTAGCAAGAGGCCGGTCAACTTGTGATCGTCGGGATCGTAATATTCCGGACGAGGCATTTCAGACAGATGCACTAATTGGTAGGTCCATCTGTCCGGGAGATTGGAGGAGAGCCTCGGGAATAAGGGATTGAGGAGTTAGCTTACTAGTAGATTACAGAGCGCCCGCATTTTACGCATGATTGTTCTATAGTTGTCTTCCTGGTTAAAGTCCCGCTATTCTTCTACTCCTGAGCTCGTACATATGGCCAAAAGTTCTGAAGTTAGACAACAAGAGGGTTTGATAGCACTTGTATTAAAGAAAGCCCCGATTGGCACACATTTTAATACGGGCCGCCGGACAAGGAGCTTCAAGAGAAACTTGCCAGTTTCAGAAAACTTTCGACAGGCTTGTAGCAAAGCCCATGCTCACCAATCAGATTCCAGCTGCCGCGGTTCTTCCCAGGGAGGAAGGTCCAACTTTGTCGGGACACTGTTCGATGATTTTGCACTCTATACACAGATGAGACACCATTGGACAACATCATCGCAGGAAGTCAGCCATTAGACTTTCCGCCGTTTTGCCCCATTTTCTATGAAGGCAACGTTCTTTTCAGTTCGGTGCTGCAAAGAGATGACAAGAGTAGGAAGATCTCTTGCTGCTTCGGTCAGATCTATCAACCGATCTCTTTTGGCCCGGTTGACGCTCTTCGGGCCACTAATTTTTGCTTCTGTCAGTAACAAATGCAGTTGGACTGTAAGAGAGCTATCTGGGAAACGAATTATATCAGGGAAATATGTGGAGTCCTTCTCAAGACGAACCATGTCCAATATCAACGAGTGTGACGAAGCCTTCTCCACTTATAGGATTCTGAGACATAATACTTGGCATAAAAGCCATTTGAATGTGTTTGCTAACGATAAATCAGCCCGAGATTTGAGATATGTCCACGCTGATGGGACCATATATTTTGCATATACAGTACCCTGACGAGGTCTTCAGCGAAAGGACGTTCCGGTTGACGAATAGTGGCAAATTGCGATAATCTCACTCATACAGACTTTCGCCAGCTTTCGTATCTGATAATCTCCTGATACTCATCCACAAAGCTAGCGGGTATTACTATACGCCCAGAATCCAGTGCGAATTTTGGAGAGTCCATGCTGAGGTAGGAATTAAATTAACGGACAGTTTTGGTTGGTCCTGTGGGAATTTGTTGATTTTTAAACACCACACAGACCTCTGCTTTATATACGTAAAATCCACCATCTTTCCTTCCATTTGGGTACAATTGGATAAGCTAAATAGGTACTGGTTTAAGTAGAAAAGCTGCTTGCGTTATGAAAGAGTGAAACCAGCTACTATGACTGAAAATAGAACATGCAGATTCTGGTTGTGGAATACGGTCCCATGATCTCAATCCGGGGTGGAGGGGAGAGTGGAGGGGCAGCCGAAGTGCGCGTTACCGAATTAGACAAAATACCAAGTGTGACCAAGTTATATATACTTAGATATCGAGGATCCTGCTGAGCCGGTTCGAATATTGTTGCCATTAACGTTGTCCTGCCGATGATGTTGTAGGTTCTATATTCCACACTACTCCGTCGAGTCTGTACCCTCCTGAGTTCTTGGCTGATTCGAGCGTAGCCGGGGCCGTGCTTAACGTGAGTGTGACTTGGGGGAGGAGGCACCCATTTCGCAGATATGGCCTTGGATAGCCGGCCTCACGTTTGCTTCCGAGGCCGGCCTCGCTGTCTCTTCTGCTGTGGGCCAATTGATGCGTTGACTTGAGCCACGTCTCGCGCTCAGATCGACGGAAAGAAGACAAGACCGACAACCTTCGAAGAATACATACGTGCCTGCCACAATAAGCACGGGGTAAGAGCATCAATATTGGTTTGAGTCACAACTTGTACGGGGCGTTGCCCACACGACATGAACAGAAGGTGTAGACAAGGAACCCATTTTTCGAGAATAATCCTTCAGAATCCCACATTTCCCAACATCTTATCCACACTTTCAGCCAAGTCCATAGAAGCGCTTGTCAGGGTAACATGCAGAGATGAAGCCGAGCTTTAACATTAAAAGAAGCAGCCCAAAAGACCTCAGCTCCTGGTGCAAAAGCACAAAAACCAAGTTTAGGGAACCCATATTTGCTCGAACCTTCATATTCTAACAAACTGAATTAACCTTTCTTTCAGCCCATCTCGTCTGCGCCTCAAAACCCACCCGCTCTTTTCCAGTAAGATTCTTCAATCCTTCCTCCCTAAGCTTAGCGAATATCTCAAGTGCCTGGTCGTATGCCTCATTGGAAGTCCATCCATCACGGCTAACGAACCCAGCTAATGAGTCCCAAAATCTGCACGCTCGTTCCACCCCTCACCGTCTCTATAATGAACCTGCAGTTCCTCTTCTGTGAAGTGTATTGGACAAGGAGTATTGAAGCCTAATTCGTCCCAATGCCTGTGTATGTTACATGTTAATAGTATTCTAAACAACATAGAACGAGGAATGAACAAACCGTTCGAGTCGAATAAGGAATTGCCGAAAAGGTATAATATCTCCATCCCAAGTGTTCGCAGTAAACTGTACTGTTTTTCTCCTTATTCGGCCATGATGTATGCGAGAATCTCGCTTCTTCAAGGCCCTCGTAATTCTCTGGGAGCTTTAGCAGCATCTGGCCATTATAATCCACGAGTTTCGGACGCCGGAATTGAAGGAATAGAGGGCCAGCCCATGTATCCTGCTAGTCAATGAGGCTAGTACTTCGACTGCCTTCTACAAAGAGGTTTGCAGAATGAATATCCCAATGCCAAAGGGTGGAGCCGGAAAGCTTCTCGTTTTTGGGGAAAAGGTATGGTATAGTACATAAGAACATTTTGTAGAGCGAAATGGGAGAACTGGGTGAATTCTGAGATTTAGATGCGACAAATATATCTTTTTGCGGTTTTGGAACAGCAAAGCTACTTATCCAAGCAATCTCCCGATTAGCTATCGCTGTCAGATAATCATCTGGGCTTTCCTCTACATATTGGAATTAGCATACCGTAGTCATATTGAAATGCAAACGGGTTGAATTTACAAGGACCTCGGTCAATGACCATCGACGCACGCTTTCCATTCCAAAACTCTCTGTCAACAACTGGTCCGATGGTAAAACGCTCTTCTGCAACTCTTTTCAATTCTGCAGGAATATCGCCCACAACCTTAGCTGTTTCACATCCTGGAAATGGATCGGTTGCGAAGTAAATATTGCCATACCTAGTCTAAGATTAGTGCTATTTTTTAATACCATTTTCCCCCACGAAATACAAACTGTGTGAAAGACACTGAGAGTAGCTTCTTCTAAATTTCGACTAAGCCCCTGACGATATTTATTTTGCCAGAAATTGTTTTGCCGTCCCACACGTCCTCTAGCTGTATCCCTGGTGCCTCCTCCATTACAATATACTCGGCTTCTACAGGATTGTTTGCTGTTGCGCTCCAAGCGAAAACCTTTGGAACGGGATATTGAGTACGGTTCTAGCCTACACAAAGGTGCAGTGCTAGTCAATATCCTTTTGCGATATCAAATTAATAATAGAGAGAAATCTCACAAAATCCATAGTTGCAACTTCAGAAGCAGTCGTCTTATAGGCAGGGCCAGCGTTCGGATTTGGAATACGTGCAATCGCAACAGAACCGTTGTCCATGACCAGGCGGAACACCTTGTTGTATCCGCCTTCAGCGAGTTTGGTTATGGATACGCAGGATTGCGCCCCAACGCTTTCGGCTGCGATGCGCTGGAGCTCTTGCACATTGAAACCAGGAATCGCTCACGTTGCCGGCTCTCTTCATCCCATAGCCAGCGGCCACTCTTGTAGTGGAAGAAGTGCTCATACGGTGAGGTTGAATTCGTGGACATTGTCCGTGACAGATTGTAGCGGATACTAGACTTGCTGGAACCGAAGCCGGGTAGAATTTGTATCGGAAGACAATATTTGATGAGGGAACTATGTAGGGGTCGATAAAGAATGCGAGTAAGGTGAGGCATCTGGGCTAGGTTGCTACGGTTGGAGGAGGATTTGAAAGGAACATCGCAGATGTGGGGAAGGCTGGTTCATTTTTCAACAGCTTAGAAGAGTTCGCTGGTCAACTGCCCACCTCTGAACACCCAAAAATTGGAACTTTCTGAGAATAGCTAAGAATTTGATAAAACTTGGGAATATGGTGTAGATGAAGCTTGACTTAGTCAGCTAATAATACCTGATTACCTGACCTAATCTTTCCACTATAGTATTATTGGCGGAGCTACCGTCAAGACCCCGACTTCAATAACAATATCGTCCACTATCCCGACTAACATGATGAGCACCCTTGTTCAGACTGGAATAGCAACAAATTGTAACATGGTTCAATACAGCGCAATCGCATCTTTATATGGCATCTCCCTCGCCGATTTTTATAACCGGAACCCTGCTGTTGGAAGCTCATGCCAAGCCTTGTGGCTTGACACATATGTTTGCGTGAATGTGATTAGAGGAACAACAAGTACGTCTTCGAAACCTCTTACAACCACCTCTGCAACTGGGATTACTACCCCAACTCTGATACAAGTTGGAATACACTACCTTTTGGTTCACCACAACTCTTCTCGGTATGGTTTGAGACTCGATATCCATCAACCTAAGCATTTCCCTCTCGTCCAAAACCGTCATGAGCGTCTTATTTTATAGGTATAGTCCGAGAGTTACGAGCTAACGACCCCAAAGGGCCGACTTAGCGGTGGGTGGCTGGCTGACCTCGCGATTAGTTCTGCGCGGGAGCGGCGTAGTCACGGCCACGGGCCGCCCACGGGCTTCCGCACCACCCTAAAACCCGAGTGACGGGCTGACGCGTGGTTATTCAGCGATTGGGAATGTGCATTGCATTGCGACTATTGAATGTCTCGTACTGTACGTACTCTAATGCAAGGCGGAGATCTCGGGGAGATTTGGACTCGGGAGATCGAGGGATCTTCGATGCAGTTACAAGTACTCGAGTACTACCAAGATACCGCTATGCTAGTAGCTATGTTTTGTATTTGTGTGGTTGTGCTTCACATTGCACAGAAAACCTGCATCCAGTCGGCAGATGCGCAGATGTGATACGACTGACTCTATGCAGGTTCTGCAATATTGGCTACAGCAGGTAGTGACATTCATTAGTTATGCCAGGTTTGACAGTGGTTGCTGTTAAACCAAAGAGGGCAATTGCTGTCATCTGTCTCTAGTATTGCAAGAGATCATTTACTTATCTCATTTGTTATAAATTAAAAACCTATGGAGTCAACCCTAGATCCAACTGGTTCTACGTTTTTGAAAACTTTACTATCCTTTCTTTAGCGATAAACCACATGGGGGGGGTTTGCATCCGTAGTCTTTTTAGCCTAAGGCGCTATGTAGACGCTGTTATATATAGAACTTAATTACAAATTGTGCCTATATACTGCTTTTTGCCCGTATCGCTCCAGATCTGAAGAAATAATAACAAATAAAATATAAAAGAAAGTGATCCATTTTACCTAAAACTCCCTGAAAGCTTCAACTGTATTCCATCATTTCGTTTCTCTGTGTTTGTGACTGTGTGTCAGGCCCCTCCAGGCCTCGATTTCCACTGTGTCTCCAATCGTCGTTCTACTTCCCTTTACTCTAGTACTGACATCTGTGTGTTGTATGCCCTGAACTGATCAAGTAGATCTATTGCTATAATAAAGTTGATTGCTTTTGGGATCAGCTTGGAGCTCTTCAAGAAGATCCTTGCGTCCTTTACTACCCAGCTTCCTAGGTAGTATTTCCTATTTTTCCTGTGTTTTACACAGTCCTCAATAATGTGTGATGCTGTCTGGTATGCGCTGTTACACTCATGCCATGCTGTCTCAGCTCTATTGATCTTAAAGTGGTATCCATTAGGCCGATCCTTTCGGTTCTCATCCGGATGAGAACTGAACTCTACGCCCTATAAACCACGCACTAGAGAAATAGTCACTTCGCTGTATCCCTGCTAGCGTTGCCATGTTTCAGCGGACCAAGGGACAAGTGCTTTTTATGCGTCTACATTCCATTAGTAGCTTGGCTGGCTAGTTAGATGTCCTGTAGCTTCCTCCACTTGTTTTCCACAGATAGCACGGCAATTTAAATACCCCTACTAAGAGAGCACCATTGCCCATCGCAACTCAGCATTCTACCCTCATTATCAAAACCTGATCCCGAACTTCACTTATCAGAAATCATATAAGAGCAATATAGAATATGGCTCTCTCCACCTTGGCTTCTAGTCTCATCCTTCTCCTTGCCCTACCTTTCACCACTTGTACGCCAACAAACGTCCGTCTGACGCTCGATGTATCTCTTAACCTACCTGATGTTGTTACTACGGCCGGTTTCGTCTGCGAAAATGAGGGGTTCTTTGGTGACCTCTGTGACTGCACAAAATTCCATCGCTGCGTGATTTATGAGTACGTACAAGTTGTCTTATATAAGTTCTGAAATTCCGACTTCCTTAACTTTAATTATCACTGATATGCTAACATAAGATTTGAAATAGTTGGACAAAACCAAAGGAGTTTACACGGTTCGATTTCAGTTGCGGTGAAGGTACCGAATTCGATGAAGCCCTTTCAGTGTGCAATCATCCATGGGCTATTTCCCCACCTCCCGTCTGTCACACCGGCCCGTGGGACGGGTGCCCCAATCACCCAAAGGCGGATCCAGAAACTTTCACGACCACGGATACTCTTACGAAAACTGGTCCTCAAGCTCTCGTCGGACATCATCAGCGCAAAGGAAATAAGAACTATTCTACGGCATTCTCTTGTACGACAGACGGCATGTTTCCTGACGCCTCTGATTGTAATAAGTATCATGAATGCTCCTTGAATTCGGACGGTAGTTGGAAGCATGATATCGACTTCTGTGGCAAAACACAGCAATTCTGTGCACCTTTGGGGGCCTGTGGACCTGCAGAGGGATGCCCTGTGCCTTGTGGTTCCAGTAATGAGCATCTGAAAGATAGGGAGTTGAAGTGACTGCGGGCAAAGGGGGGGATGATGTTGTAAAGTTGTACCAAGCTTTGATGTCGTTTGGTATGCTTTGCATGCATAATCGCTGAAGGCTTGCTTGGCAGGAGATCGTTAGCTGTGAATTATAAAAACATGAAATAACCGACCTCCCTGATTCTCAAGACACCTTGGTCACACGATCAGATATCTGTCACGTTTTGATAGGCTTATGGACTGCATTGGCGCCTAGATGGCAGCAAAGCATTGTACCTGACATGATAAATAACAACTTTCCCTTGCGGCCATTCATTCCAGTAGGTATTATCTAGATGGGAAAGGAATCCAAAGAGGGCAAAAATGAAAACTTACAAGAGGCGGTAGGTATTTGCCCAGGTAGATAAAAGGTGCAAAAAAGGACAAAAACATACAACAGCAGGTATTCGCTGGTGGTCACCCACCCAACTACTAATCTGCCGATCTGAGGCTTGAAGTGGATTAATACTCAGGACGGTGCTATTCGGACTAGCGGGTGAGCGTCGCCGCCTCAAGATTTTGATGCCCTCACGATGATCTGGTTATCTCCCTCAGTTACCTGATGGCGACCACGTCGACACGAACGAAGTGGGTCTTGTATTGAGACGCGATGAACGCGATACACCGCGACTTTCAATGGCCATGGATAATCCGGTACCTGGGTAAGCGTCGGTGATCGAGGGTGAGCTTGAAAATAGTATAAAAGGCATACTCCCGCCATGTCTAGATTTTACAGTCTACCACCTACAATATTCATCCATATTCAAGGACTTACCTACTACTATAGGACGGAAAACCCTCTTCAAAGAAGGACGAGCTACTCTTGCACGGTCACGAGGATTCTTCGAGCAGAGAATATCTACTCAACAGGATAAATTAAATCAAATGAAATAATATTCTCTCTCCGGCACTACCAAATCCAAGTATATAGACGCGGAGGAAGTATTCCAAGAGTACGTACGTGAGACTTAATACTATGTATAGTACTACTAACAGAGATATTAGTTTTTTGAAGTATACTGTGGTGGGGATCCAAGGGATTACCAATTATTTACTTTGTTTTTGTATTTTTACCTTTACTAGAATTAGCACGTCGATAAGTGGAGCTACCTGGGCATATACGCTCCTGGCACTCACTCTCTCTTTTACATACATGCTGCTCAGGGCACATCAACACATGTGATTCACTACAATACAGCTGGACTAAGGAGAAGCTAGCTGGTTAGGATAATTATAAATATAAACTTAATTTAATATACTTATATTAATAACTAGATCTTCGTCCCGAAATACTACTACCTAAGTATACTTTGAATATTCACTTCCTCAAAAGAATATTAAACTATAGTTTAGATTTCTTTAGCTAGATAACTAAACGACGATAATCTGATACTATACTTACTACCTAGAGAATACTTATTACTTTAACTATAATTTTTTAGTTGTTTTATCTACAATTCCTCTTAATATTCCTAAGAGTCCTTCTAGCTCCCTTATAATATTATATATACGATTAGTAGTAGTTCTACTTTACTATTATAGTAGTAAATTCCAAGTCGAGTCTCTTAACTTTGTACCTTAGTAGTTAGTCGCTAGCGATCCGCTAGCTAAATAATCTAAGGAGGAAATAGTAGCTCCCAAGAAACGCAAAGCTACTATAATTAAGGTCTCTAGTAGTTCGCTAGCCGCTACCTAGAAGAAGGTCAAGAAGGCGGTTGCGTCTAGCTCCAAGGATAATAAGCTCCTGGCTATCCTGGGCCCTAATATTAATAATAGATTTGGGAGCAAGGGTTTTGTCTATACTAGTAAAAATAATAATAGTAACGATCCCTTCGCTAGTCCTGCTCTAGAGTCTATTGCCGACAACTTCAAAATGCGTTATGAGAATATAGTAGCTAAGAGAGCTCTTAAAAGCAAAGGCAAATCAGTCGCTCCCGCTCCTGTCGCCCAAGCTAAGCTGGCCAAAGGCCAGCCAATTGCTAGCGTTACGCTAGAGGACAATAATAATAAATTAGAAGGAATACTTGCTAAATTAGATAAGGGTAAACGCGATGAGGTAGCTATACAATCTACATACCCCATAGAGTTCTTCAGGTTCACATATTATACGGCTCCATCCAGACGAGGTATGAGAGGATGTCGTGCCGCCTGTAAACCTCCGGGTTTGGAAGGACCATCTGTTAGAATATAAGAGTTATGGGAGTTCCCCTGGCCGGCTGGTCAAGCCACTTAGGCACCCCACTTGGCACTTCTCCACCACAAAGGAGAAATGAGATATATGTACTCGCGATGAGCCGAATACACGGATATCATCGCATCCCATACTAATTAGTATAGCATATGATAATAGAAGCCCTGGGAAGCTATTCGGATACCATCAGTATTATTTCCTTGAGTCACCTGATTGATCACCTGACCCCATACATTCATTTGCTTATATATATGAGGCTTTCACCCTATAGTATTAAGCTTTGGAATCAATTCAATTACCCTATTCTATAACCTATTCTGACTAATCAATTACTTATATTAAGTATACCAATTTAGGTCCCATTAATCAACAGTTATAAGCCCAGGTTGCTAAAGCATCACGTAGCAAACAAATTATTTGAATGTTCTTCATACTTATTTGGAATCCCATTGATTCTACTACCAATTCTTCAATACTTTCAAATCCCTTGCAATCTACACTTCTTACTACCTTATACCTTTCATATCCACCAATATATCGACAGAGTATTCAACTCTAACTATATCCAGACTACCCCTGGTTCTTGATAAGCCCAGAGACTGGGAACTCTAGCTTGAGACAGTTAGATCAATAGTTTCAGGAGAAGACTAGTGTTACGAACGCCAACTTTATAGCTTGAAGCTCGAGTAGTACGCAGCATTACTACAGAGAACTATAAAGGCATGTGACGAGGTCACGTGACAGTAGGAATCACGGGACTAGTGTCACGTGATAGATAGTATAGATAGTATAGATAGCGAGGATAGCTCTGATTTATCTACTTTATCTAGAAACAGGAAAGTCTTATATAATTAATATAAATTCTTTACTAGATAAGAACTTCGTACTCAACTTGAATAACAATCAAAACAGTTTACTTTGATTATACTTAACTTTTTCCGTGATTCACTTACTTTGATATTACTTATAGATTATTAAAAGAGATTACTATATTACTTCGCTATATAAACGAAATAGAACACTTCTGTTAGGATTCTTTATCGGAAGAATAATAGAACTATTATACTTTGAGTACTTCTTTGCCGAAATAAGTAAATTACTATAACTCTAATAATTCTACTAGTTGCGAAACTACTTACTACGAAGTAGTTAACTGTCGCTAACCTGAGTACTAGTCAAGTGAACTTTATATTATCGATTAGTAGATTCTAGGAAGATATCGAGATATCCGACTTACTTTATAAATTTAAAGTCGAAACTAATAAATCGATTTATATTATTCTTTCCGACAAATATAATAGTAACTGAAAAGATTTCGAAACTTTCATCTTTCAAATAAAGATCTATTTCAATTTCAACTACGAGAAGTTCGAAATTAACTACAATTAATAAAACTTTTAAATAACTTTTTATTTACGAAAGTTAATTTTAGAATAAATCTAACTATTTTTTGAAAACTTTTTTAGAAATGAATCGGAAAATAGGAAAATAGTAGTTACGAAAACTATTTTCAAATTATAGAATAGAATAAAGAAAGAAATATAACGAATATTTAGAGATATCGATATTATTTAAATAATAATATAAAAGATATTTGATTTTCGTTAAACTAGAATAACTTTTATTTATATAATAGAATTCTAAAAATATAATACTAAAATAGAATAAAATAGTTTTATTTTAATAGAATTATTCTATCGAAAATTAAAAGAATATATTTATAAAGAAATAGTACGATAAAATATAATCTATAATAATATTATTAATATAATTGAAAACGTTATCTAGTTAAATAATTGTTTATAAGAATTTAAGAAGAACTACATTCTACGAGAAAGTTAGAAAAGAAACTACTAGTCTAGACAAAGATATTAGTAGAAGAAAACTAGAACGATTAATACGATTTAATATAGAAAGAAGAAGTTCGTCTCGAATAAAGAACAAGATTAATATTAGGAGAAAAGTTTATACTTCGACTATAGACTTCTAAAATATTAAACTATATTTTACTATAAAAGAAAGTAATAAAAAGATAAACAATTTTAGAAAAGAAAGTTTCGACAAATCAATATTACTAACTACTGACAAATAAATATAACTAAACGAAGAAATCTAACTGAAAAAGACTTTAAGTCTATAGATATCTATAGTTAACTTAGAACTATAGAAACTCAGCGAGCTAATAATTCTCTATTATACTAGATAGTAGAGAACTTAGTATTATAAGTAGAAACTATTAGTTTAGAAGATTTAACTTTATTCGACTTTCAGGAAAGATTCGAAGAACTTAGTAAATAGATAATACTCGACGAGAATATAGAAATAAGAATAATATATTATAAATACTAACTTTATAACTTGAAGCTCAAGTAATATATTATATTACTACAGAGAACTATAGAAGTATATAACGAAATCACGTGATAGTAGAGAATCATATAATAAGATCACGTGAAGAAGATCTAGGAGGATCTAGATCTGTTTAAACTTTAGATCTAAATAGATCTAGATCTAACTAGATCTAGAAATAGGAAAGTTCTATATAAATAATATAATTTCTTTACTAAATAAGAACTTCGTATTTAATTTGATTTTTGAATATTAATTATAATAACTTATTTTAATTATATTTGACTTTTTTTATAATTTATTTATTTTAATATTATTTATAAATTATTAAAAGAAATTATTATATTATTTCGTTATATAAACGAAATAGAATATTTCTGATAAGATTCTTTGTTAGAAGAATATTAGAAATATTATATTTTAAATACTTCTTTACTGAAATAAATAAATTATT